TCCTGAAATCCACATTGCCTCTCAAAATACAAACATTTAGTACGAAATATCGAAAAAATTACTTACCGAATAATGACGTCATAATTACCGAATAATAATAAGTCATAACAGAAATACCAAATTATTGGCATCATGATAAAAGTTTTTCCCCTCTAATCTGCATCGAGGTAAAAAAAGCAGACAGTTTACTCAACTCTTCTTTCAAGTTCACGATTTGCGTTGTTGTATTTTCTTAACTTTGTTACTTCACGAGATTATTTAGTGGTGCCACTTTTTTTATCCGGATAGTTTGTGGATAAATTAAGAGTATTTTAAATTTCAGTCCTTTTTAATACAATGACAGATAAGAAACGCGCTCATGATTTTGGTGCTTGTAACGTTGAAAAACGTAAATATGTTGCATTGATGGTAATGCAAAAAGTGCTAATTCTGCAAAAGATGGAGGCAGGTGCTACTCCTCGGTTTAGAGCAGAATCGTATGGAATTGCGACACGATTGTGTATGATATACAGAAAAATAAAAAAAAGCTGTTGAAATTTTACAGCAACAGTGATTCTAACACCGAGATCCGAAACCGGAAATCTGCATGAGGCGAAATCGGCAAACCTCGATGCTGTGTACATATAACACAATGAATAACATAATCAATTTATATATGTAATAATAATTTAATGCATATAATTAGTTATTGCAATAATGTATATAATAATTTAATTAAATGCATCTAATACGCATTATTTATTTTGCACTTTTAGTCTGAATATTACGATTTATCTTTTCTGTCCTGAAATCTGCAAAATCCTAAAATCCACACAACTTTTGGTCCCAGGCTCTGCGGATTTCTGGACTTTTACTGTATCTGAAAATTTTAGAATCATGGCAATTTTTATTCATCATAACTGTTATTTTTACTAAATATTTCATTTTTTTTTAAATTCCAGCAAAAATTATTATCTAAATTTAAAATAGTGTGCCACCAAACAAATCCTCACCATTTCAATATTACAACTTCAAACATGAAGTATCAACTTTTAGGTTTATTACAATTATCAGTCTACTTTAATTACCTAAAAAACCCTGTGATAATTATGCATGAAATTAGCATCCCCTCATTTCTTTAATCTACTTCATTCAAAGAAATGCTTCACATATGATTATTTATCAAATAATTTCACAACCTAAAGAAATCCTGAAAACTGAATTCTTCAAATGAGGCATAAACAATTTGCCCAATCACTGACATCACTGCATTTTCATGGATACTTGAAAAGCAAACAGAAAATAAAAGCCTAAAACTATTTTAATCAAAGTTATCACCAGCAGTATCAAACATAATATCAAGAGCAATATGAAGCAGTATTTCAAGTGACATATTTATACTGAATGAGATGTATAAATGAGTACACACAAATTCAAAAGAAACACATTCAAAGTTTACTTTTGCGAATAAATGCACTGCAGTTTAATACAGCACTGAGAACGCAGTTGTTGAGAGGAAACTAAATGTACTAACCTACTATACTGACTGGTTGTATTTATGGATGGAACAGTACGTCCTTAAGCAGGAGAATGGGAAGAAGACATGCATGACTGCATTTCTCAGACATGCATAAGAATGCAAGAAAGGAATATTATACTGACAGTTTGGAAAAAATTTACTGCTTTTTATTGCAAAGCTTTTGATGATATATGATACTGATAAAACATTGAGTGATTCAAAATGTTCTGTAGTTTTTTATGTTAAATAGAAATGAAGTAGTATAGAAATTTAAAAACGTTTCATAAAATCACAGAAGCACCAGTTTTTACTATCTCCCTGGCAACTGGAAAACTCCTTTTTTAAAGAAAGTCATTAGATTTATTCATAAAGTAGTAATCAAAATACTGTTTACCAGTCTTCAAAGAAGTGAATTCCAGGTTGTTCAGATAATTTTAAAGTGACCTGAAGCTACAAAAATCCAATGAGACAAAACCTAGGGAATATGAGAGGTGACAAAAACATTCCAGCCAGATTCAGTAAATCTATATGGCATTCATTGAAATGTGGGTCCAATAATTATCATAATGGAAGACAATACCTCAATGATTCATCAGTTACGATATTCAATACTTTGTAACAATATTCAATTCTTTGCTTCAATTTCTTCCTTCAGAACTGCCATTCAGGCATAGTATTTTTCCAAATTTATTGTCTGATTTGGTGGCAACAATTCATAATATATTATTCCTTTGGCACAAAGCATTATTATTATTATTATTATTATTATTATTATTATTATTATTATTATTATTATTATTATTATTTTAGGAATAGCCCTCTCTAAGCATTATTAAAGGAGGTTCTTTTGCTTACCCTATGATCTCTTGCTTGTAATTTTATTTATTGTAAAGTGTCCATTTCTCCTCTCAAGTAAAGAACATTTTAAAAAAGAAGCTTCTTTATATCTTTTCAGCAAAGAATCATATGCCAAAACTTCAGTAAACCTATTCTGCCCTATTAAAATATGGGGCACCTATGCATCACAGCAGCTTATATACCTAATTTTTTTCAATGATCATGTACTGTATTTTTCAGATATTTAGTCTGATAGTTCCTGAATAGTATAACATATATTTTTAGCAACAGCTTCTTTTAATAGGTTCTTGTTTACACAGGATGGTTGTCCAGTGCATGAATCACCTTCAAAGCTGAATTTCCATGTTTAAACTTTCTCAGACCACCTTGAAACTAGGTCATCAGAAAAAAGCAATTTGTTCATACACATTACCGTAATTTCCGGAAGAAAGGCCGCATCAGCGTAAACGCTGCACTCGAGAAAAATGGCGGGAAAAAAATTAAAATTACACAGAAACGCCGCATCAGCGTAAACGGCGCAATAGATTAAATTGCACGTGACATCGTCGTGGGCCGTATAGATGCAAAAACTCAACCTAAGACCTGATATATGACATACCAGTTAAGAAAAATGCATGAAATGAAACCATAACTCAAAAATAAATTAAAGGTAAGAAATGTATAGCTTCTGTGCCGTTTACAGACATTTTCAAAAATTTTTCCGCTCCCTAATTAAAAACTATCCAACAAGTACTTGTACCCTAACTGATGGGATCTGTATTTGGCAGAATGCCAAGAAAAATCCATTCATGCTGAAGGAGAAATATGTCAGAGTTCGTTATTGGGAGGCAGGTGAAGTCGTGTCTGCCTTTGAAAAAAATTGCAGAAAAGGCAGGGTTGGAAAGAGGATGGGTCCTGGAAGATTCATCGAATGGCAGAGGAGAGAGACTATTCAAACTGATGAGAATGTTGATTTGAAAGGGGGAAGAATGTTATTGTTCTGAGATCTCGTTTAGGGTGAATAAGGCATGTAGGTCCGTTCAAGGGAAAGAACGTAACCAAATAAAGTTCGCAAAAAGCAACTGTGTGGTATTTTGTGTGGGAACAGCACCAATCTATGCACAATGACAAGGCCATCCAAACTATGTACAATGACCATCATAGGAAATATTTTATTTTTAGTGCACCTAAACGCCGCATGGGTAGAAACGCTGCACCCGCTGAAAATTTAAGTTTTAAACAAGTAAACGCCGCGGCGTTTCTTCCGGAAATTACGATATATTTTATGAGCAGTCTGACAAGCACTTTTTCCTTCATAATGCAGAGATGGCAGTGGTAGCATTAATTTTTATATCACAACCAGCATGAAGGTAGTCAATGACATTTTGTGACATTGCAGAACACTGCATAGCATTCTGAATATTGTAATGCAAATGAAACTCTTGAAACATGGTATTGTATTGTTCTAGATACTTCTTTAATACTGCTGCTGATAAATTTGATTAAAATAGTTTTTGAGGATATATGTTCACTAGTAAAATATTAGGTCCTTCACAGAGTTCTGCAGTTTCTTGATGAAAAATACAAATGAAGCAATACAAAAACTTTAGAAAATTTCATTGAATCACAAAAACCCCATTTTTACCCGACTTTTTGCCATCTCTTCTGACAACTGGAAAATACACCCCCCCCTTTTTTTTAAGACATTATTTTTTTGCTTTTTAAGCTTCCATTCACTGCAATTGCATTGACTTAAATTAGACGCAATATGCCTCAATAAGCAAGGATTTGTTATTTATCTTTCATCAAATCATTACATTCTCTATAAGGATATTTATGAACTCAAATTTCTGTAGCTTTTTGCAGTTACAATATTAAACTTTTGTAAATCAAACACTGTATTATTATTTTTTCCCATTTCATCTGTAAGTCAAAGTGTTCTAATTTGTGTTAATTTGCTGTAATTTAATAATTATTTTTTTCTTGCTAGAATTCTTATTTTTTCGTTTTTTTTGAATGTAAATTCTCAGTAAGGTCAGAGACCAGGTTTTTTCCGGACAGTTTTTTTAACTGATGTCAATTGCCATTTCATTTCATTGTCTTCACTTAGCCATTTAACACCAATAATTCTTAAGCGCAAGCTCTAATGTATTATCTCATAGTTCTTGTCATGCAGACTAGGAATTATTGAAAATTAATATAAATCTAAAGTAATGTTGTTCTTCTTTATTATTTAAGTTTTTTAAATATTATTTATTACCAAAGAATTTTTCATCAAACCAAACTTTCAAAACTTAGTATTATGTTTCTACATGAATTTCAAATAAATGCCTAAATCATTCAGTATTATTTCAAAAAAATTTCTTTTTGAAGTAATTCCTAATTAGCTGCATACTATTAAATTTCAAGATAGGTTAGGTATTTAGCAACTGCAAAGCAAACAAATGCCTCAAGATAGAAACGTGAATTCAGATTGAGAGGGTGATTGCACGGAGGACTTCCTAAAATGGTCTTCCATAAAGGACTAGCTCATATTTATACTATGAATGAAAAAACATTAAGATTTCATCAGCCTTTTCTACTGATAAAACTATCAATATTTAATGGTAATAACCATTCAGCTATTGATGGGATCCTTAAATTTTAAGGATTAAATTTTTACAGATCACCTACTTCTACCTTTAAACATCCAAAAATTACACTTTTGCTCAGCCCATCCTCGCCACCTGAACCTGAAATGATTCTTAATGATAAACCATTTGCATTCACCAATTGTGTCTGCCCTTTTGGTAGTAGGGCCAAAATTATTCCTGTCACTAAAACCCCCCCTGCCTGTATAAGGAGATTGCTCTATATTCAGTTTGCCCCCCAATCCACCACCTTCATATTTAACCCCGCCCACTTTTAGTTTCCCCTTGATCACAATTTTATGCCAACCCATTGGCCCTTGCACAATTCCACCAAACTCAGCCTGGTAGATCTCTGGAATTAAATTTTACAGGATATTCCAATTTATAATCTGGTACACTTTTTTCCATATTATTTTCGCTTTTTTCACTTGATTTCGTTTTGATTGCTCTTCACTTTTCTATCCACACCCCCCATCCGGAATTGTTGACCTTAGGATTGATTTTAATCTTCACTTTGGCTTTAGTATTACCTAAAAAAGTCAATCTCTTTAATTTATCATAGATTCTATCTCATGCGGGAATCCGTCTATTTGCCCTAAGCTTTGTGAATTTCGCTTTATCAATTAATTTTATTGCGCCCGAAGCTCTTTTCCTTTTCAAAGTTAGCCTTATTTCCCTGTTAGGCTTGCGCACTGAATTGGTATCATTGACCTGCGTGCATGAAATAAGGTTCTTACCCCAACCATTGTTCTTTTTTCCATCGTATCCTCACACCTATTTCTTTTCTCGACCTCAGTCCTCCTTTGCTATTCTGTTCATTTCTTCGGAGTCTGTGTATGCCAGGTGGATAGTCTCCTGACCAACCCTGCAATCTTTATTTCAACCAACACCTTAATCCCTTTCCGATTAGGCAATTTTCGGGATAATTAAAACCAAAAAAACCCAAGGGTTTTGTCACGGTTGCCTGATGAAGATAGAAATCTGTACGGATGACGCAGAGTTCTAGCACCCAAGTGTACTTTTTCCACAATTCTTTACATCAGAAAATTTGAGTTCTTTTTATCAAGACCTCTCCGTTTCCATCCCCCCCTCCCCGCCTTTTTTCAATTTCTTCACCCAACCCCCGTTTTGGTTTTCTTTTCTGGCACAAGAAATGAACAAGTAACTATCCAATTTTTTAAAAAAACAATCTGATGTGTGCACCACATGACTTCCTTGTACAGAATATTAAATTATATGCATTTTTTCTGGAATTTCATTTAAACTTATTGGATTGAATTAAACTACTTGTCATAGAAATAACCCACATAGAAAAATGCCCTATTAAATGATCTTTTTACATAGCGACACTTTGGCCCTGGCTCATTAAAAGCCGCATCAATCATTTTTTAACTCAGATGCACAAAATTTATATCATCTTAAGAATTATCTAACGTTGAGTCTATTCAAACACTATAATAAATCTACAATCTTAAACACTTATTTGCTCAAATAAATTCCAGATGGATGAAGCATGATTCGCAATAAATAAAAGAAGGCATTATTTGTCTTGCGAAGTTACTTTCTCTAGATTGGCAACAAATCTACTATTCTGTTGTTTCAAATGTAAACAAGCAATGCCGACATGGGTTAGGCTTTCGCAATTGTTAAACTTGTTGAATCATTCTAAAAATATGCATACAGTATTAAGGCATAAAACCTTAACGGAAGATAAAACAACATAATTCTATAATTGTTTAAAGCAAAAAACTGATTACAAACTCAGTAAAGACCGAGATCACTGAGCAGAGTACGAGTGGATACTATATGCAGCGTCCATAAATTGGCATTCGGAGTCATGCGGACTCCTAACTACATATATCACCATATTTCGAATCTACAATTTCAGGATCGATGGTACATCACAATTGAACTACATACACAAGACGTAAAATGTTCGGTGGTGCATTATACGGAGTGCCAATCGCCCAAAGGACACATTTGGATGATTTTTTATTCCGGTTAAATTATGATTGAGTGTATGGAAGATCAGACGATTGCCCAAGTGTCTCTCCAGGCTTTGGCCAGCTTTCCATGATGGAAACAGCACAGGTCGTCCCCAATGCTGAGAACCGGTATTGGCCAGTTACTAGCACAGCCTCAGACTGTCAGGTCCTCTCATCCAACTGTACGAAAAGCTTCGGCAGATGGTCTATATGCTCGTGGATGTTATGCTTTCCACTACTGCAACTCACTGTCGCCTACGGTTTGGCCGTTGGTGGCGTGGGCTTGTTGATTTCGACGCGTCCAGGTTTAGTTGCAGTTGATTTCGTTGGTTCTATGCTGGGCCAGACACACCCGTCCACCAGTGAACAAACGTGCAGGAAACATTTTCAGTTCCCCCCTGACCTGCATGTTCCAAATTGGACACCAACATTTTTTGGGGCGATGGGCGCACAATTTGTGTTTTGGAGTGAACACTCGTAAGCGAATGTAGGATATCACCCGTATGGATGGCCAGCATTACAGGACTTCCATCCCCTGTGGCCCCTTGCCCTGCTTGGCGACGACTTCAGCCCGTCCCATGCTCCTACTGTCTCGGAAACTTAGTAGGCAATGCTTTCCCCGTGGTGTAATATCAGATCGATAATTTGATCGCAGCATGCTAGCGTGTACGGACTGTAATGCATCGTCTGGGAGACATACAATGTATTAACAATCATACCAACCATGTAATATTGGTTTTTTGTAAATAGGGTTTTTTTTTTTTTTTTGTAATTTGCTCCAGGAAGAAAAAAATCGCTAAATTTTTAATAATATCAAACATATAGCATCTTTTTTGCTCTTTACCTTTTGTTTAATAAATAAGCTTTACAAATAAGTCAAATTTGTTTTGCTTCTAACTCTTTCTTTGCCTAATTTTGCATTATCCTTAATTTATGGACATGAGTGTATTGATATGCTTTTGGTGCGGCTGATTGCAACCAAAACATAAGGTGCACATTTACATGTTATAGCAGTCCTATACACAAAATATCAGCATTCTGAGGCTACTCGTTTTTGAGTTATGCAAGATACATATATACACACAGATGCCAAGCAAAATTCTCTTCAGAATTCATTTTAAATTAGTTTTAAATTTTTTTTTTTTTTTAGGGGAAAAAGAGTCCTTTATTCTGTCCTCACGAACAGATGTCAAGCAAAAACATCGTTAAATTGCATTCGATAGCGGTGAAAATGGATATTTGCATTGAAATATGATGCCTGAAACTTTTCGCGATTACAATACTTCCTTTTTACTTCGTACAAGGAAGTAAAAAGAGAGAGAAAACCAAATCAGTGCAGCTCTGCCCCGACCGATTTTAACTACAAATGAGCAAATGGGGTGTTGGATGGATTGATATAGTGCAGGCAGGTGGAGGTTATGTGATGTGGAACAGGCTCATGTGACTAACAAACGAGTTCAGTGAGAGCTAATTGATCACAGCTTGTATGTCTGTGTGTACAGTGGTCAGTGCCTGGCATGTCGAAAAGTCTTAGATGTGTATCTACTCAGCACGTTAAGTTACTTTATTTTTTAACCAGCAGCAGATCTCGCAGGTATTTTCGGCATCAATTTAATAAATTGTTATAATTTTTTACTGCTGCTTTTATTGTTATAAAATGAAACATATTTTAGATTCCACCATTTTTGACATGATTACGATGAAAAACAAGGAAAAACGGAAGACCAAAAACTGTCAATTTAAAGTTAAATGGACCAAATCACTTGCATTTATACAAAACTCCGAAATGTCTTACATGTCAAGAAAAACAGGTGCATGACATCAAATTTTTAGAGGCACTTTACAACTAAACAGATGTATTCAGTATGTGTTCAATTATTACTACCCTAATGTCATTTTAACAATATTTTCCTAAATCCGAAAATAAAGCAACTACATATATAAAAGACACTTCCAATGCGAAACCTTTGTGCAGTTGTTATTAAGTACAGCAAAACACTCTGATATCCTGACCTAGCAAGCAAATCAAGAGTTTCACTAGCAAAAAACTTAAATTCATGAGATTTTGAATGTTTACACTTAGCTAATGGAAATTTTCATCCATCACTCAACTTTTAGTTTTACCTTTTGCACAACATACACTTTTTAATTGAATTTAATTTCATGCACTAATGGTAGAGAGCTTTCCTACTTAAAAGAGATTTTCTGAAACTTGATTCAAACATATTTGACAGTTTTTATTTTGGTCAATTTTAAAACACAAAATGCCTTCTCCATTGCAGACATGGCCATTTTGTCTACTCAATCGTATTTCATCTAAAGGTCATCTAAGTCACCACACTGAATACTGAGAAAGAAACTTCACATTTGCGTCCAAATAATCCTTTAGGTTTCACTCTGATATTTTGTAAAATAGTTTTTAATGAATTATTGTAACTGTATACTTTAATCTGTAATAAGCTGGATATTGTCAAAAAATACAGCAAAAGACAAGACAATATTACTGGAAATCAGTACTAATTCCATATACAGGTTACATTCTCAAATTGTAATGCAAAGAGTTAAGAGATTAAAATAAATCTCACCTTCAACTATAGCTGCATTTGTAGGAACTGATGCCAAGGTCTCTAAAGGCAGTGGCGATGGGCACCTTTCATAGGGACTTAATTTCTTAAGAATTTGTGTCAAAGCAGACCATTCTGAAAGCAAACCATTTGCATTTTTCTTTACAGATGGAGGCAGAATCAAAGAAGCTTTCTGAGCTGCAGATTCCAATTCATATTGCTGACGCACCAATTTTGAAACAGCAGCATGGTGTTCTCTTAGTTTATCTTGAGCCACCTGTAGCACAAGAAAACACGAAAGAGAATTTTAATTGCACACATACATATTACATATATATATCATTATGTGTGTTAATTCTGTTAGATTGAGCTTCTTTATCAGTATGAACATATAATTAAAAATTATTCTTAAATTTTAATTATGTAAAAGAATAAAATACAAATAAGCGATTTAAATAAAATAAATGATCTTGCGAATACTGACATAAATATATAAATTAACTTCTTGAAGCAAACTGCATTGTAATGTCCAAAATTAGGGATTAAAACTCGCTATTTAATCATTCAAAAGATCTGCTTTTACATGATCAATTATTAATCACTTCCTGATATTACCAAGGAAATAAATTGATACTTACAATATTTTTCTCATCAACAGTTCTTCCTGCACTGTATAGTGCAAGTCGATCTTCCAATTTCTTTCTAGTCTCTAGTAACCAATCCTTTTCAATTAATGACTGCTCCTCAAATTCTGAAAAGTTTCGTACATAACATTCCAAATGCTTCCTTCGTTCAGGTATAAGACTAGTTACCTACAAAAATGTATATAAAACGAACTTTGTAACTATGTATATAGGCAAATAGTGCAGCATCTGAATTAATAATAAATAAATACACTCAGGTGATCATGCATAATGTGATCATGATTAATGTTATCATTGTGATACTCTTATCAGATTGCCAAAATCCCACCCATTTGTGTGTGAAACCATGAAAAATACATTGGTTATTGTGATCAACAATTTGGTTAATGATGTCAAATATATTATTAAATATTTTTTTAACTGAAGTTTAGAAAGCCAAAATATATAGCAGATATTGCAGCCAAGTACCAGAAAAATTTTGCTAAATAAGGGATTATGTTGCCAAGCAGCTGTTTTCGATTTTAGTTAACCATTTAGAAATTGGCAAAAAAGCAAACTTAGTTTGGCTTAGATATTGGATAACTCTAGTGATTATGAGGATGATCTAATACAAGACTTCCCTCTTTAAGAGCAAAAAAATTTCTGCACACTTTTTTCCTTTCTTAAAAACGTTTGTGCTAAATTAAGGTTGTTTGCATCTGTATTTTTATGAGTAGGTGTCTGGCATCTGTGAAATAATTTCCAGAAATGTTTTGAACTACAGCCATAAAGATATTTTGAACAGTTCATAAATAATTTTTGTATTTTCTTAACAATAATTCTGTGAAGGTACTTATTTATACGTTTCTTGTGTATTTATATTAAATTCATGAAATTTCATTGCTGCTTTGAAGTGTATTTTTTCTCATTCTCATATTATCATTTCGTTAATGTTATCAAAATAGTCATGGACAAACAAGATCACATTTAGCAGTGCCTACTGTAAATAAATAAAATAAGCTTGTTTTAAATTTAAGTCCAGCAACCATCTCAGAATTGTTAGAAAGTAAAGATGCAGAAATTTAAAGCAATAATAGAAATTTTACATCAAAGCAACATTTATTAATAAAATATCAGTTACAGTAATAAAATAAAAGATGAATGAAAGAAATAATATTACAGTTGCAAATGAAATATTATGCATAGAACATATGAATCTAAAGCATTTTAAAAAATAAATAGTGTTTTTAAAAAACATCTAACTCTGGGGAGGGTGATTATTAATTTGCAAACGAAATTTATAACAAGACATCGTAAATTGTTTAGTGTTTCAAAATAACACTAGAAAATTAGACTTATACTGGACTGAAGAAGATTTTACTTATTACAGGTATTTAATATAATGTACTATACAATGTAAGAAATTCTTAACTATTTATTTTTGAAGCACAATCACAGCAACAAACTTCTAGTTCTTTGATTACACTTCTAAAGATTGATATAGAAGAACAGTTATGTCTCTAAAGAAAAGAATAAATATTTGCTTACTACAAGTGAAAAAGACTGTGTGTCGATAAAATTGCATCAGAGAGGGTAAAATAAGAAAAGCAAAAATTACACTTTTTTAAGGAGCAATTTATTTATTTATTTATTTACTTTTATTGAGTACTATTAAAACAAGCTTTTTATTATTTGAATAGTTCCTTGACCACTTACCCACTTACTTCCTTCCACCCAGGGTTACAAGTTAAGCGTGAAAGTATGTCTGATCAAGCTTTATATGTAACCTTTAAAATGTTATGTTAAAAACCTTAAAATGCCAATTACGATATAATGAAATATAACTTAAGAAGATGTTAATTATATACAAAATATCAATTATGCTTTTGATGCTTTATCTTGATTGCATGACTTGTATGTATTGAACTTATTTATTATAACATTTTAAATGTGAACAGTGTCCAAAAACATTAGAGTAATGAATTTCTGTTTAAGTTGAGGTCCATCAGTGGGTGAGTGATAAATAGCATAACATGGGAAATTTCATCTTGAAACTTGAACCTTAAGTAAAACATTTCTAGCTGCATAGGCAATTTCACTGTTTTGCATACTTGTAAAATAAATAGAAATAAATTGTCAATAAGAAATTTCTACATAAATGCTCTGCTCTCCAACTAATGAACTGTTGTGACTTGCCATAATTCAAATAACCTAAACTTTTAGTTGATATGGAAAAAATTCAAATAAATGTCAGTCAAAGGTTAAATTTATTACAGAGTGTTTTGATCTATTTCTTTCTTCAAAATCAGTATATCTAACTCAATCTAAGTCAATCTCACAAATATATAATTAATTCAGATGTTAAAACTAAACCACTGTTACATAAAATTAATAAACTTGGAAAACTAAGATCTAAAATACATTCTCTAAAACTAATAATTTATACATTTACATTCTGAATTATTCAAACCTTAGAATATCGCTGCTCTAATGTTTCAACTTCCTCTGTGTTAACTAAAGTTCCAGCCAGCATTATTGTCAGTAAGCTACTTCTTCGATATGGTATATCTTGTTCAATATCCTAAAGATTTCAAAAATTGAATGATATATTTTCAAAAGAAGTAAAAACTGTCAAAGAAATTTATAAATTATCAATTCATACTTTTAATTTTCCAAGCAATATTTTAGCAGCAGACAAGTCTGTTGTACGTGGTGTTCCACATAGTAACATTTCTGTTTCTTTCAACCACAATGAAAGATCTTCTATTTCATCTTTCACAACAGCTAAAGTAGTTTTATCTTCTTCCAGTCTTCACATTAAAAAAAGAAAAATTAGAATTATAATGAAAATATTTAATTTAATAATTCATTGGTGTTAATATAAAACTTAGAAAAAATATTTAACACAAAATAAAAGCTAAATTTAGGAAATTAATGAATGAAACAATAGATTGATGAATGAATTGGACAAAAACAGGGAGGGGAAGTCTTGGAGACTAAAACTTACTTTGCTTTTCGTGCTGCCAGTTCGGCAACTAGAGATTTCCAGCGCTTATTTAAAGAATCAAGTTGTTCTTGTAACAGAATTGCATCAGGTGCAGAACACTGTTCTAGTACTTTATGTCCTATCACATTTAAACGTTCCATCATAGCCATTTTTTCACTCACTTGTTTTTGCAGCATCTAAAATTATTACATTAACTCAAAATTTTAAATATATAAAGGTAAAAAAATAATAGTTTAACATATAGATGTCATTAAAAATTTTAAATAAATGTAGTATCTGTAAGTGCAACACAGCCACCAGAGGGCCTCACCTATGCGCCTGCAGCGAGAGCAAAGTGAAAGAGGAGTATGACAGATAGACCGATATGGAGCCCACGAGAAGATGGTAAGATGCAGGTCTACACATGAAGGTGGTGAATATAGAAGTGTATGTTTCCACAAAGAGGTGGTAACTTAACTGCATATACGACAGTTAGTGCGAGTAAGTGCTAAGCTGCTATTTAAATTCTAAAAGTGATAAAAAAACGGCCTTTATATCTAACAAGTGTGAGAAGGTGCAACAGCACTTTTATTTAATTCAATCTGCACCTTTTCTGTTATTTTCATTAAATGCTCTGTGGTGTGGAAAACGTTGGAATTGTTAATTACCCTAGACTAGCATCTTCAACTTCCACTGAAAATCTGGAGGCTCGGCCAGGATACTTGGATACTTTAGAGAAGGTACTGTGAAAACTTTTTTGCTTTTCTTCAAAAGAGTGATACTTTTGTTTCGTTTTTAAAATGAGTTTCTTAAATAATTTAAAGAAAAGTGATTTAATAGTAATTGCGGAACAAATCGGAGAGACTGTTCCAGAGAATGCTAAAAAAAAGCTGACATTAAAAAAAATTGTCCAAAATTCTGATGCCTTCAAGACGAACGCTGAATTTGTTTGTGGCCTCGTTAAATCGATCGCCAAGGATCGGACGCCTACAACAAGTAATGAACACTATCTGTTAGAGATCGAACGTCTTAAATTAACTCAAATTGAGAAGCAGATTGAGTTAGAAAATTTAAAATCACAATCATTATTGGGTAATAGAAGAAACGCGCAGACTAGTGTTGAAGATAAGAGCATTAAAACACTAACTATAGCTGTACCCCAGAAACCGGAAGCCCTGCATTTGTTTTTTTAGTCACTTAAGAAAGCTTTTACTACTAAAAGCATACCAGTGGAGTTAAAATCAGAAGTGTTGATTAATTTATTAGGTGATATAATTAATTTATTAGGTGATAAATGTAATAATGTTTTGACGTATGTTTCTGAACAAGAGATTGCAGATTATGATAAATTAAAAGCACTAATATTGAAAGAATTTCAGACGACACCACGTGAATGTTTGAACAATTTTAAAAATGCACTGAGATATTCATCTGAATCGCATGTTCAGTTTGCGTCTCGACTCAGTGCAACTTTCAATTATTATTGTAAGTTAAGAGAGGTAGATGACTTTAAGAAATTGTGTGATCTCATTGATTGTATCTGATAAGTTGTATGACACTCTGGATTCTAAAACAAAGGAACATAATAGTGTTCTGGAGGGCCAAAGTTGGTTCCCAACTAATCAATTGGGAAGAGAATGTGATTTATTTTATTAATCCAGGGGTAAGTCTTTAGCTGATACCAGCAACATGCGAATCGAAACTCCAGAAAATAAAAAGCTTAATTTTTCCAAAAACAATCATAGAAAAGCTCAGAGCAATTTCAAGGATTCAGGGAAGCTTGTAAATCGTAATAGTAGTAAAACAGAACGTATTTGCTATGTATGTGGAAGTAAAGTGGAATTATTTCCTTTTGCGAGAAATTGTCTCAAACGGTTAGAAAAGGAGGAAAGTTTGTCTCCAAAAAAGGTATCTGGGTTAAAGATTCGATCGAATAATGCAGCTAGAACTAAGTTAGAATTTATTGAACTGCTGATTGATGGTAAGAAAGTAAAATGTTTAATAGATTCTGGGAGTGACTTGATACTTGTAAAGAAATCTCTTTTCCCGAATAATATCATGTGGATGTATAGAACTCAAAAGTTCGTTTGGTCATGTGGTTAAAGCAGAAACAGCTAAGTTTACTTTTTACTTAATGTGAAAGCAAAAAACAAATAAAGCTAGAAGCAGCAATGGTTTATGACTTGATAACAGACTTATTTTACCCCCTTCAAGGTGATGATTACACAATATGAAAATGATTCCATCTCTCTGGAAAGGAATTTTTTGTCTTTTATTTTTGCAGCCATTGAGGGAAACAGCAAAATAGATTTATCACACATTAAGGATAAAGGATTATGCAATACTGTTTCTACTGTTTCTACTCTTATTAATGAACATAAACCCCTAGAAAAGCCACGCAGTACAGACTTAAAAAGAAAGTAATATTAAAAGATGAAATTCCAATTTCTCAGCGTTCGGGGAGAATTCCTTTTGCTGACCAAAAAATTGTTGATGATCAAATAGATGAATGGTTAATGGATGGGATTATAAAGCCATCGTGTTCAGAATATGCTTCACCAATTGTTTTGTGGAGAAAAAAATGTGGCAAGACATGAATTTGTGTTGACTTCAGGCAATTAAATAAAAAAAATAGTTAAGGATTCTTTTCCCATGGCACAAATAGGAGAGGTTTTAAATCATTTGGTGAAGCAAAGGTTTTTTGACATTAGACTTAAAGAATGGTTTTTTTCATGTTCCACTGGAGGAAAACTCCATTTGGCATTTATTACTCATGCAGGTTTTTACGAATTCCTAAAAGCACCTTTTGGTTTGTGCATGTCCCCTAGTGTGTTCCAAAGATTTATTTATAATGTGTTTAGAGATTTAATTCGTGATGACATTGTTGTTACTTACATGGATGATTTTATTATTCCAGCACGAAACTAGAATGAAGGTTTAGAAAAGTTAAAATGCGTTTTAGAAGTAGCCAAAGAATACGGTTTGGAGATCAATTTCAATAAATACCAATTTTTGAAAAGAAAAATATAATTTCTCGGGTATGTTACTGAGGATGTTACAATTTGCCCCTCTACTGAAAAAAACCAGGGCTGTTCAAAATTTCCCGGAACCCAAAAACCTTAAGCAGATTCAGTTTCTTGGGTCTTACTGGGTATTTTAGGAAATTTATTGCCAACTATTCAAAAATAGCGAAACCACTAGGTGATCTTCTTCTTAACGCAGCAGAATTCAAATTTGGGTCTGAGCAAAAAGATGCATTTAACAAACTGAAAGAACTTTTATCGACAAGTCCAGTTCTTCATATTTTTAAACAAGAAGCACCATTAGAATTGCATACAGATGAAAGCAGTCATGGTTTCGGCGCTTTATTGCTACAAAAGTCAGATGCTGGACAGTTACACCCCATTTACTTCAAGCGTAAAAAAATTAGCCTCCAACAAGAGAAGCTATCTAGTTATGAGCTTGAAGTTTTAACTAGTTATGAACTTGAAGTTTTAGCTTTAATAGAAGCTCTAAAGAAATTCAGGAATTACCTTTTAGGATCTAAGGTCAGAATAATTATCGATTGCGATGCTTTCCAGAAGACTATGTTCAAGAAGGATCTAAACCTTAAAGTGGCGAGATGGTCATTACTTCTAGAAAAATTTCACTATGTAATTATTCACAGATCTGGGCAGAAAATGAAACATGTGGATTCGTTAAGTAGAAATGCTGTCATGATGGTTACCTGTTCTCAGGGAGAAGTTATGGCCAAAATTGCAGCTGTGCAAAGAAGTGATGAGCATCTCCAGTTGCTAAAATCCTCAGTCGAGCAAGGACTAAAGAAAGATTTCCTAGTGAAGAATGGTATACTATACAAGTTCGACAGTTGTTGCGAGTTACTTGTGGTACCCAAAGCATTAGAGCCAGAAATCGTATGTATTATCCGCAACGAGGGACACTTTGCAGTGTCTAAAACGGAAGATCTGCTGAAAATAGACTTTTATATTTCTAATCTTAGAAAATGAATTGAACAAGTTATCTAAAATTGTCTAGAATGTATTTTGTGCAACAGAAAATGAGGTAAGGACGAAGGGCTGCTGAATACCATACCAAAAGACAGTATCTCTTTGAGCACTTTTCATATCAATTTTATAGGACCATTACCTTCGACAAATAAGAACTACAATCATATTTTAACCGTGGTTGATGCATTCAAGTTCATGTGGCTCTATGCAGTAAAGTCTACATCAGCTTAAGAGGCACTGCAGAAGCTGAAATTGCAACCATCAACTTTTGGTAATCTGTTGAGAATAATAAGTGACAAAGGTACGGCATTTACCTCTAAAGACTTTGAAGATTACTGTAGTCAAGAGATCCAGCACATATTTACAACTAAAGGTGTTCCTAGAGGAAATTAGCAAGTTGAAAGAATTCATCTCACTCTGATTCCAGTCCTATCCAAACTATCCATAGATGATCCAACCAAGTGGTACAAATATGTTGTAGATGTAAAACGTATCTTGAACAGCACTAAGACCAGAAGCACAAAAAGTTCTCCATTTGAGCTCCTCACTGGTGTTAAAATGAGAAATCAAGAAGACCTAAAGATTATGGGAATTCTTGAAGAATGAAATATCATGATGAAAGATCGAGAAGATATAAGATAGGAAGCAAGGAAAAACATTCTAAAAATTCAGGAAGAGAAGAGAAAAACATACAATAAGAAGAGAAAAGAGGCACAAGTATACAATGTGAACGACCTAGTTGCCATACAAAGAACGCAGTATGGAGGTAGTCTAAAGCTAAGGCGAAAGTTCTTTTCTCCTTATCATGTAACAGCGAGGAAAGGCAAAGATCGGTAGATCGGTAATTCAATCTGTAGCTTTTCTGTTATTTTCATTAAATGCTATGTGGTGTGGAAAAGGTTGGAATTGTTAATTACCTTAGACTAGCATCTTACACTCCCCTTCCACATAAACATAATGCAATTCCTTTTGTAGAATTTTATAAGTTTTCATAAAAGTAAATGTATTATTTCATTATGATGCTTTTGAAAAGAATGTGTACACAAATACAGCATAATATTAAATGAAAATACAATTTCTAATAATCTGCAATTGTAGCTTAAGGTAAAATAAAAAATTTTAAAAACTTTCACGTACTTAGAAAATTGTACACAGAAACTGTTATGAAGCATATATGGATATTTTAATCTCTTGCACTATTGTTCAATTTATGAAACTAATGCAAAAAGTATTTCTTTTTATCCAAGAAATAAAGCAATTATCAAGAATACAAACAAAATACACAATTATTTGCTATTTTAGGATTTAAAAAAATAAGCTCATACAGAAAGATTCAATTTTATCACAAAAAAAACTTGCATGTACAGATTTCGAGGCTTAAATGATTTTTATACGCAGATTAATATTTTTTAAAAATTTTAATAAATTTCTTATAATGGTTTATTAGATTATAAATTTCTATTCATTAAATTTCTTATAATGGTTTTATTAGATTATAAATTTCTATGCATAATATATAAAGAAAAATACTGTTATGATCTCTCGCAGAAGACAAAATGTCATATCATACATGTTAAATAACAATACATTTCTATCACTGCTGTCATCAGATTAATTATCTGAAGTAGTAAATTATCATATTAGAGAGTCATTATCAAGTAACTAACACCATAATAATACTTAAATAGCATATGTTTATATATATCATAAAAATATCTGCATTTGCATGCCAAATTTCAGCTGCCAAAACTATAATAAATCACAAAGAAGTTAGCAATCTTAAATATCAAAATTTTTTAAAATATGTTTCACTTGCATTGTAAGGTATCTGCTGTCTTCAAATGTATTATGCAAAATATGATTTCTTCAACTGCACTATGGAGCATATGCATAATGGCCTCATGAGTGCAAAAGAAAGGATCAACACTTTAGCCCATCATATAGACCAAGGAAAATTTTACTGAGTTTCCTCTGAACATAAATATCTCAATGCAGTTAAGATAACATTTACATACTAATACCTTGTTTAAATAATATTAGAAACAATCTAAATGACGAAAATGGAAAAACATCATTAAAATTTCTCACTAAACACGTTTCTACAAATTTGAAACCCGTTTGTTTAATTCTTAACAAATATAGAAAATTATCATTAAAAATTTGATAACTAAAGACAATAAAATTAATACCTCTTGATGCATTTTTGCTCTCTCATAATCTAAATCCCCATTTGGTAGACGACTATGAGCTAAAATTGTATCTGAACTCACAAGCCATGATGTCATACTACGAAGGTCACTTTCAAAGCCTTGCCACACATCATGTGCTTTTAACCATCGCCTAAAAAAAAAGGGAGAGAGAGAGAGAGATAGAGTCATTTTGTAAGTAACTTTATTTTTTTTAAGTTTAAAATTCCTCTAATTTTGAAAACAAATTTTCATTTTAAATTTCTAATTCAAATATGTTTTAATCACATTACATAAAAAAAGGCTTCATACATATTTAGATAGTTTCATTGATTAATTTGAGAATTAAAAAATACTTATGATGATGAATTACAAGTTTTTGAAAGAGCTTCAAATAAAGAATTCTTACTTTTATTAATAATAAAATAGCCAAATAAAATACTTACTGCATTTTACTAATGCTTTGTGCTTGGATAAATAACCTTAATTTATCATATACAATATAAAAACATTTTATGAGCATGTATTTGTGCTCATAAAAATATTAATTCTTTATTCTGATAAATAAATCCGTTTATTCAAACATAAATGTAAGTTTTAGTATAATTTAGGCTTTCTTACTCATGTCTTTCATCATGAGCTGCATTCAGTTTATTCCATTCTTCACCAAGTTTTTCTGCAACTCGCTCAATCTGTACAGCATCAGATTTGGAAGCTTTTTTCACGACATTTTCCTTCTCTGCTAAAACAAGCTCTACATTTGGCTTTAAGGCATTTATCCCATCCTTAATAGCCTGATTTAAAAAAAACACTTTTTAGTTAAAATTAAAATAAACTTATAATGAACTTAATGAACTTTTCAACTTAACACATTTGCTGCTGATCACACATTAGTGCGTGATTCGCATTATTGCTGAAGAGCCAATCACGCCTTGGCGTGTAGTGTGGGGTCAGTCACACGCTGGAGGGGGAAAAAGCATCGTCTCATAGTTTATTTGCAAGTTCAAATGGCATGATGTTTCGACTATGTATACTGGCATTGGTGTGGAGTGAAGGTTAGAAACTAGTTGTAAATGTATGTGGTTTGGAATGGAAACAAAGTTTCATTTCATGCCAAAATCATACACGAATAAGATTCTGAAATACATACTTTGCAATAATATCATAGTAACTATCTTATAATAAAATCATTTGCAATATATATATTTATTTGCGATATAGTTTCACTCAAAAATAACATATATTGTTACTTATTTTGATTAATTTTTAAATGTGATGCACCAATGCATAATGCAGCATTGCAGAAATAATTTTACCTCTAGTGCCAATCATGCATTTGCATGTAGTCATAAAATTCTATGCTTAAAAGGCTTAGTAATCAATATGGTACACATAATAATCTTTTATTAACTAAATCATATTTCTTATAAGTAAGTCGGCATATGGGTCCAATCTATTTCTAAAACACAGGATTCTCTATCACCACAACCTCCCATGATCAGCAGTAAAAGTGTTAATGAACAGTATGACACACTGTACACATGACACTTCAGTTTTAGTTACAGTATTTATTGTAACATTTTATTTCCCATTTAGCAAGTTCTAAACTTAATTTAAAAAAAAAAAAAAAAAAAAAAAAATCTTTTCAGTTACAATTTGCTATGTATGTGTATATAAAACATAGAGGGGGGAAAAAACTTAATTTTAATCTACTTGATGGTTATTAACTATCTAACAAAAACAAACATGATGAAGCAAAAACTTTGAAATTAACAATGGACTAAATATAAAGTTAAACAAAACAAAACAATTGAAAAATCTTTTTTTTTTTTTTTTTTAAGAAGCAACCAAAATAATTGATTGTGAAACTCTTTTTTTTTTAATCATGTATAGATAAATTACTGTTTTGAGACAAAACTGAATTTTATAAACAATTACTTTTGGGAAAAAAACATTAATTTAATATACAATTAATAATAAGAAGAAGAAATATTTCTACTACAGTTATATAAACCAACTTACTGTCTGAAAGGGAGGAAGCTGAATTGACCAAAAATAAAAAAATCTAATTTTTAAAAATTTTAAATAAATGAGGGAAGAAAAATTAAAAAGAATAGTTTTGACATACTATTGTGTATAATAAGGAAGTAGACAAAATAAGCATGGTATACCTTATTTGCTAAAGTAATAAATAAACAAATAAAAATAAAATTATAGCAAAGTTAAAAATTAGATAAAATACTCTAGTTGACAATCTGGAAGTATGTTTACAGATAAATGAAAGTAGAGAAATTACTGCTAAACCATGCTTAACAAAGATCTCCCCTACAATCTTTCATATATCTGATGTCAATTCTGAGTACAGCAATGTGTAGAAACAAAACAAGATGATAAACATGATAAAATCATCCATGCTCCAGCTGATGAGGCAGACGGGTTGTCTGTGAAATCTCCTATACTTTTATTTATGTATTTTATCTCATTTTTAACTTCATTTTAACCATGCATCAAAATTTAATCTTAACAAGCAAATTTTTAAAATTATAATACTAATTATTATATTTCTAAAATTATAAAGGCATGTGCTATAGATAATAAACAATTACCTTTAATGAACCTTCTTGCCTTCCAAAATCTTCAAAATCTTTACCAGAAAGTTCTGGCTGTGTTAGTTGCCGATTTACTGCAGCAATAGCTTCCCGAACTTTGTTCACTTTTGCGATAAAGTCAGGAATAATTGCTGTATTTGAAGTTTGTAGGAGAATTACATTTTGTTTATCAGTTTGTGTTCGAACAGTTTTCACAGATTTTTCCCTGGATGCTTCAATTTCATCAATACGCATGCTGATTCCTGCCAGAAGTGTAGTTGTATCTTTTAACAGTTTTTGGAGATGCATTTTTGAAACACCATATTCAGCTGCATCTTGTTGCAAGTCTTCAACTTCTTTTTGAAGTTTCTTAGCTTCACTTTCTAGAACCTAATAAGTAATCAAAATATTAGTTTTATGAATTCCTTATATAAAATAATGATTAACTAATTATAACACTTATGATTAAAATCTCTTGCAATTTTGACTTTTCCATCAATATCATTGTTTCAAACATTACATCAACAAAACATTAGCATCATTATGAGTTTTGCCATGACACATGCTAGAATTACGAATGTATTTTTCAAAAACTATATTTAAACATCAATCAAGATCAAGATCCTTCAATCAAGATCCCTTCTTAGCAGCAGTAATAAAATAATTAAAAGAAAATGCACTTTGATTTGAAAAACCAAAGAATTTTCTAGATGACCTAATATTATACTCTTTAATTTATGTAAGATCTTTGAATTTTCAAGAAACATGATATGAAGCTTTAAAATCAAATAACTCAGATAATTTTTCCTAAATAAGGTCAAAATTTTTTAGTTTCATTTCATAACAACTGTAAACATTTATTAAATATAAATCTAATACAGACTACAGAATTCGAAGCTAAATTTTATAATGTTTAGAAAATTTAATTTTTTTAATTTAAAAATGGCATAACATGAACACTAACTAGCCTTATTCAAAATATTTTTGTAACAAAGTGTATGTCTGAGCATTACCTTTAAAAATAAAGGAAATAAACGCCATATTAGTTTATAGACACACTGTATATCAATTAGTTTATAGACACACTGTATATCAAAATCTTTAAAAAAAAAAAAAAAACTAGCATTGCCATCATGCCTACACATATTTAGAAATAGTTCACTAATTTTTCCAGAACATTAATAACAATATTAAACATTTTATATGACATAAACAAGATATTAATACTAACTTTTTGTTCGCTGGGTGAAATTTTTTCTGCATCATTTAACTTGGACATAAGGCACAATGAACATTCATAAAGGTTGTTCCTCCTCTCTTCGATTTGAGAAAAGTTTAAAATTTTTTTATTTAATTTTCTGTGATAATCTTCAGAAAGTTTCTGTGTATGACTCCATTTTTCTCTCAAAGACTGCATTTGGTGCTGCAGTTTTGTAAAATTCTGGTCTGGATGATCAGTTTTTCTCTCTAGGACATCCCAATCACTAATGAGCTGTTTCACATGGTCTTCAGTATCCAGAGCTTTTTCCTTAAATGCCTGTGAAAATATATGATTATATAATGAAAGAACACTATACAATAAAAAAAATTAACAAAAAAAAAAAAATCTGAAAGGATTCAGATTTTAAGTCACATCAGAAGATTCTGAATCCTTATGTTAAGTTTTCAAGGGTCCAACTGATAGCAACTTCTTCTTAATGGACAATAATGCTTGTCTCCAACCTGTTTCACCAGTGATGAATTGAGACAAACAAATCCAATGGATAGAATAGCTCTTTGAATTCAAATTGAAGTAGGTATGAGATGCACTAGGATACCGGTTTACATCACTGCAGCATACACCAACACTCTTCAGGAGCTTCAAGGCACTAGTATTGTGAATATACATTGTTACTGCAGGAATTCCTGGGCCATCTAATACAGAGCATGGTAAATCACTGTAAAATTTGATGGTCAGGAGTTATCAGATACTTTGCTAATCCCCCCTTATGTATCTCTAAAAGTTGTTAACATCAACTTTTCCTTACTGAACTTTATATCACATTACCTATGCTCCTATTAAAATGTATTTTTTACAAGAATAGGTAATTGTGCATGCTGAAGATATGTGAGATATGAGAAAAAAATTAAGTTCCATGTTCTAAGCTGCAAAATCATTGAAGTTACATGAGCTTTTATGGTTGTTCTTTTAGTTTCTCCCTCTTGTGCATAATGGAATTTTTGAGCAATCAATCTTTGTTCCCCTCCTTCCACAGCATTTAATGGATTGTCAAAAGCTCAAAAAACTTAGGGAACCAAATTAAAACATAATTATTTGAAAACAAACCTTATCATACTTCAAAATTCAATGTAATTGCATCAATATGCAAACCTCACAATTCAAGAGAAAATCTATAATATAGTGAGCAAAAAGGAAAACAGGGGCCTATTTAAATAGGTGACTTGAATCCCAGCATTAAATTTAATTTACATTTCTGCTGGTGTTGGCCAGACACTAACATATGCTCAGGAATTTGAACCAAAGACCACATCTAAGCACATCACAGCAGTGCTGGTTGATTGGCTCTCAAGATACGTTTGACTGTGAGTTTCTTTCAGTTTCTAATGTAATTAAAACGAAGCTGCAATTCACATGCACAGTCTAAATTAGTAGATACAAATTCTTTTTATTGAAGCATGTCAGTAGGTTTTTAAACAATATTCTTGATATATCTTGATCAGAACATAACTAGGCTACAGTAAATCAAATTCTCATGAAACATCCAGCTTGTGTGATTATTAAGGTATGCTTACCAAGGAAAGAATCATAATGCAAAGCAACCACAACCTACAAATACTTCAAAGAAAACGAATGGCTGGCTAAACATGCAGGTATTATATAAAAGTCTGCATTCCTGTAAGAAATACTCAAGTGAAATTTCGCATGCCCTTTTTTATGACCTATCAAGAAACTACTGGGCCAGATTTCCTTCTAAAACACTTCAGTATGCTCATCTAGTAGACAAGTACTTGAAACTGAAGGATATCATTTAAATACAGGCTACTATATCTGCTAGACTGTATGCTCTCAGTAAGGTACAATTTATAAATTAGCCTTTAATTTTGCACAGTTTGTATTACATATGCTGATATGCCACCAATGTTCATCCAAATGTACACATATTGTCAATTCATTTCAATATATAGATATGCCCAATATAAACTGAATGACTACACCAGCTCCAATACAGCAAAAATCCAATCAATAAAATCATATAATATACCAAAACTTACAGAATACTTAACATCATTTTTATATAAACAAAGTTCACAGAAAACATCAAAATCAGAAAATGCACTGACTAGGTTAAACAGAATGTGCAAACTTGCTGACTAATTAGATTTTATATGTATTTTAATCAAAACATAATTAATCACACAAAATATACATAATATAAAACATTTATTAAACAAAAAAGAAACATGGATGAAAAATTCAAAACTCACTTTCAAAAGATCTTCTAAATGAGCAACTGAGTCAAAATTTTGCATAGCAGTTTCATTCAAAGCTGATTTTTCTAGATCCTCTATACGTAAGCGAGTCTGCCTTATTTTTGTGCCAATATCTCCGGTTCTTGGAGACCCTGGTTCAGAATTTGGAAGCAATACAGGTGATGCTCTCAACTGCTCTATGGTAGTGCGTTTTACATCAACTTCATGGTTTTCAACAAGACTCTGGGGGGGGGGGGAAATCACAGATTTAGAAACAATACTTTGATTATCTTCTCAGTGCTTTTGTTTAACTGTCATGCACTTCCTAAACATTCCATATTCAGTATGTTAATGTTTTATTTTACTGATTATGAAGAAACACAAGAGGATTATCAGTCTAAAGGAAGGAATGGCTTTGTGGAGGACCTGGAAAACTGGTTCTTGGAGGGAAAAAATGGTTCATATTAATTGTGCTTTTCAAATACAGCAGATAACTAAAGCAGTTATTACATATTAAATAAGTATTATAGGTTATTGGAGAAGTTAAACAACAAGAATCAGCATAATGTTTGTAAATTTTTGCAGTACTGGTTTCGATGGTTCAAATACAGAATCATTATCTTCAGCTGGCTAAGTGCAAATGAACGAGGTAGAATATGGTGTCAGTACCTTGACTTCTTTCCACTCATGTTTATCTTTTCACAATATTCTATCTCGTTCAAATACCCTTAGGCAGTTGAAGAAGATGGTTTTGTACTTAAACCATCAAAACTAGTCTTGAAAAAATTTACAAACATTAAGCTGATTCTTCTTGTTTAACTTCTCCAATAATCGTTATTTGAAATGTCATGTTAACCTAAAGGGAACTAACTACTCTTATATGCACCCTCAGGTTGCCAAATTTCTCGCCAAATTACTACCTAATTTTTTTGTCTACATTTCAAATTTTAAGCCTAAAATGTCTCCAAAAACCCCGTTTTGAAGACACAATTTAAGCTAAAAATCTGGAACAAAAACAAAAAATTTAGATACCAAAAATATTTGACAGGAATCCATGTACACAGCGATATGTTTTAACTTCAAAAAACATCTACAAATTGCACATTCTAGGCAGCGAAGGAATCTACAAACTACGCACACCTCGCTTACCATGTACACAGCATTCTGTTTAAACTTTAAAAAAATCTATGAATTGTGCAAAAATCAACCACATAAACTAAACTAAATTACAAACAATTCAAAAACCAACAATAACAACAGAAATTCATAGTAAAGAAAACAATGAACATAACATTCTACAAAATAAAAACAGTAAAATAAAATGCACTTACATGCTTATACATTCTTAAATAAAATTTTGCCAGTCACACAACGTATCTGAACAAAAATGCCACGATTTCGCTATATCACATGTCTTTCTGAGATTCAAAATTTCAAAAGTAACAATAAAAACTCCCTCCAAAGTTAACTTACTATACCAAAACCACAATCCAAATCTATGTATGACAGCCATATACTTTACCAGCACCCATTTGACTGCAAATCCACACAAGAACTATCAGAAACACCCTTCTTCATCCGAGTTCTCATAGCAGCTCTGCATTTCGAACTCTGTTTGAAAAGTTCCACAGAAATTCCAAAAATAAACTTTAATCATCATAAACACACCCGTGAACACTGTGAACAAAAGACTCGTTAACAACTCCAATATCGTACCTTTTAAGACTAAATTTACTTTCCACACAATCTAAAAATATGCGACTGAAATCTTGCCACCACGTCTATCATTGCAAAATAGGCCATTTCAAAACACGCACGACACGAACGATCGAGCAATTAAACCACTCCAGCAAAAGATTTTTCAACGTCAACAAGGTTGCCATACAACATGCAATCGCGCCAAAAACCAACACAGAACACATATCACCACATTTGGTGATGGTGCATATAAGAGTAGACCCACCTAAAGTATTATAGCTATTATATTACATTACTTACAAAGTCTAGAAGTCTTGCATGATATTTAAAGAAATTTAATACCATATTTTTTTCCTCACTTTAGTTCTGCACATTTAGATAATACATATGAAATGTAACTTATTTCATTTTTAGTATTTCTATATCAAAATACATCACGTACAATTTCTAAGGAAAGGAGCAGGGCATCAATATGAGCCATATTCATATAGGAACATAACGCCAGAAAAGGTTAGAAGGATCCAAAGGCACAGAAGCAATATACGACTACTCAGAGTAAAAAATATCCATTACATCCAATATAACAGCTCATTGTAAACAGTGAATACATTGAGGTAAATACAACAGATACTATTAGTTAATGTCATAAGCAGTAAAGCTGGCCTCCACTAATGCTGCATTAACTGTGGACAAGGTCAAACAAACCCCGTACTTCCAGAGATAGCAGCAATGATGCAGGCAGTTCAGGCCATAAGTTCTATGTCAGATACAGAGAGTTGAGTCATCTATTTTAGCATCATTTACTGTATCCAACATTTATATTGAGCTATTACATTAGATGTAATAAAATTTTTACACTGCTGGTAGTCTTGAATCAGTACCTTGTGTCTCTTCTAACATCATTCTGTGGCATGTCTGGCATGCTTTCCAATGTGAATGAATGTTCCATATTTTTGATCATTTCATATTGTGTTTTCTACCTTCCCTTTTAATACTAAATTTAAGTCTGTATGCAGAGTTTTGAGACACCCTGCATGTCATTTGCTTTCCATATACAATTAATATCACAAATAATTTTTATACAAATATTAATTGAATTTTTAATATTACCTGAATTTTACTGGACAGTACTTCCCACTTTTCTTGAACTTCAACAAGCTCTGGTTCAATCGCATATTTCTCTTTCATTTTATCCATTTGTTTATTAGTTTTCATGAGTTCTGCTTCTTTCTGTTCTCGTTTCATGAGTTCTGCTTCTTCTGTTCTAGTTACACCTTCTTGAAGAGACTTCGATATTAAATATTGGTAAATTCAGCACTTATGGTATTGTTGGAAGAAGGAGTGAAGAACTTCTTAAGCTTAGAAGTGGTCGTAAAATGATGGGTTGTTTGTTTCATTCAGAAATCAATAAGTTTTGTTGGCCAATTTACAGGGTAGCTTATCCGCACCCCTTTTTTTGAAATGGCACATCCTTTTGCTCTCACAAGCACGTAGGAACCAACAGATTCTCTGTTACATTCAAAACGCCCTAAAAATTCACAAACCGAACTGGTGCAGCGAATCTAAGTTTCTGTTCTTAGGAAGCTTCTCATAGTTATAAACAAAGTTTGCTGCAGTCTGAACAGTTCTCCTTTTTTCTGGAATTCTTTCACTTGATCTTTAGGATTACCCGCGCTTCAAAACAAGAGTAGAGGGCACATAGTTTCCGACAACTGGAACATATACAGCCTTATTGAAAAGAGACTGTTAGCTCATTATAGCCCGCAAAATTATTATTAATTATTTCATATTATTAATTATTTCATATCTTTTATGGTTTATTACATTATTACATGGGATTTACGTTATGGTTTATCATTCGTTATAGGACTAATAGCCCCAATTAGCTTTCAGCAAACTTTCGTTTCATAAATTATTCAGTCATAAACAGTGCTTGTTTCTGTCTCATAGTTGTTAGAGCCTGAACCAGTTTTTTATTCAATTTTTTTTTTTGCTGCACATTCATACTCCAGATGGGATCTATCAGTTCCCCTATGGTATTTAAAAAGCCAACTGGAGTGCATTCAATACTGAAAAAACCAGCAACCTCCACCACCTTCAATTACCAACCTCTTTCACAACCTCACGTATGCTCCTTTCCCCCTCGGGCGGAGTTCCCACTTCTTCATTGCACCTTTCCTACTAGCTGCACCCTCTAGAGCATTACATTCACCTAATTCAATGTACTTCACCCCCTCCCTCCTTCAACAATATGCCTACAATACCCCCTCCACCCGGCCTTTCTAGTTCTGGGTGACACGTGGGTGATGTTGCAAATATATTAGGTAAATCCAGGTAATGCCCCTAACAGGGTTCTGAACATCTTAATTATTGCGTATCATTCCTCCCCTATCTAGGCGGAAACGAGCATGGAGGAGGCAAAGGGAAACAGGAGGGAGCGAAAACCGGGAAAGAAAGCGCCTACGGACGAGACAGGCGCGGCAGGGAAAAGGGAGAGAAAAGGAGAAGGGAGAACAAAAACCCAAGGATAGGGCAGATGAAAGCAGGGGCAGCAAACAGGAGAAGGAAACGGGGCAGAAAAACCACAAAAGGGATGGAGGCAGCCAGGGGAAGAAAGTACCTAGAACAAGCCTTATCCAAAAAATTAAGATATTTTTCAATAACTAGCCAGCACAAAATACAAATACAAAATGAAAAGATGCATTAGTTTTTAACACACCAAATAAATAAAACAAAAATATTATTAAAAAAAAAAAATCCAAGTAAAATATGAAGTTTGTTGCAAAAAAAAAAACTATTAATAAAGGTAACAAATTTAACCAAACAAAGCTCCATACTTTTGGAAGATAAATCTGTCTGCAAATCCACCAGATTTTCAATCTCCATTCAAAGATCTTTAATCCTCAATTAAAGCCACAAAATTTTCTATTCTAACCTCAGAAAGAATATCCTGCAAATAAATAACATAATACATTATTAAAAACAGATTTCAGAATATACAGAAAATAAAAGAGAGAAATAAATTCTGAAGTATGCATGCTGTAATTTTACAGCAAATTGAAAATGATTCACAACACACTTCTCTTTGTGAAATAAATTAGTTTAAGCTTACATCAAAATTATTGCAATTAACATTAACTAGAAAGGCTGAATATTTGGAGGTCAATCTCCAGGAATCTCAGGATGACTGGGAATATTTAATTAACATCTAATGAGGCAGATGTATTTCAAATTTAATTCTCTCTCAATAAATAAACTGATCTTTACTTTAGCCCCTCATTTTACAGAAATTATCCTGCAAATTTTCTTCTGCATTAAAGTTAAAATATCAAAAAAGTTATTTATTGTCACTTATCTCATTTTTCTGACAGTAATAAGAGAATAAGTTCATTAACTTTATTATGACGAGGAGTGCAGGACTGCATCTGTCATTGCTATGTATTTTGGGCACCCTATAGGTGATTATCTGCCTTAAGCTCCATCGTACCTTTGAAAGAGAATCCCCTAAGGCACAGATCGAAAATAACTCCCCCCCTCTTTCCTAAACATCAAGTGTTTCAAGAGGACTTTCAACTTGCCATGTATAAGCATCTCTGTGCAGCAAAGGCACTATACACTTATAAATATCTAAATCTTTTCCAGGATTTGAGCCTGGATCCAATGATAGATAATGCAACCAACATTGTTAACTACAATACTGATCACATCAGCACATCAAAAATATTAACAACTTAGGTACAGGATAAATTAAATTAGTTCTTCAAATGAAACAGCATTATACAGAATACATGAAAACATCTTAATGCACTGATATGCAGCTAAAAATATTTATGGCAAGCTATGCTAAGTTTCTATGCTAATAAGTTAAAACTTATTAAACTTGTAATATCAGTATAACTAACTACTACAAAATTATAAGTTATAAAACACATTTTAATTTTTTTAATGAAATCAGAAATTTTTGTTTACCAATAGAAATTCAATCTAATACTATAGATTTATCATAAAAACAATTTTATAAATACTTAAGGACATGCAAGCATAATAAATAGAATTATTATTCCACACAGAAATAAAATTTCTATTCCAAACATTTATCATTTCAAGTAGTGCATAAATTTATGATCACATTCATTGTAAATTTTTATGATCATATAAATATTCCACATCTGGTAATCTCAATGTGTCAACTTTCAGAGAAAAAGAATCTGATGTGGACACTGCACGACTTCCTTGTATGCCTATGAAATATATTTTGATGCACTTGAACTTATTTCACTTGGCAGATACGATTCTCCAATTCTTCAATAAAGTGGACAGTTATACAATTGTTAAAATACGAGTTTTACTAACAGCAACTGTTTATACAATTAATAAATCAACAATATTACCTGAAATATTAGGATAAAGTAAAAGTTACAAATAAATATCTTTTATCTAATACTATATTTTTAATTATGATGATGTAACCATCAACAAAAAAAAAAAAAAAAAAAAAAACACTGGAAGGTTATTAATTTTTAATTTACATCTGTAATATCTTTTTACTTTGTTTAGAAACCCTTCCACTAATGTGCCTTTTTGGTACTGCTGACTGCAATTGAGTTATGCAACATATGTATGCATAGGAATCACAATATAATAGTCAAAATGGATATTTCTGCTGAAATTTGAAAAATTGAAATTTTTTTGCAATTACAAAACTTGCTTTAATCTATACAAGGAAGTAAAAAATTAGAAAGGTGCACACAACTAGATGTTATAGCAGACCCATATTTAAAATTTCAACATTCTACAGCTGATCATATTTGAGTTATGCAAGATACATATGTACATACAGATGCCATCTATCTGGGGGAAAGAGTTCTTTATTCTGTTGGTGTCATGCAAAAAATCATCCAAATGGATACGAGTGCAGTCAAATTGGATATTTGCAATGAAATCTTAAACAAAATGTTTTGCAATTACAATACTTCCTTTACTTCACACAAGGAAATAAAAAATTAGAAAGTTTTTAATTGCATAGGAAGAAAATGCAGGAAAATTAAATAATTAGTAGAAAAAATAAGCATTTCTATGTGTACCCTTGAAAATGAATTTCTTAAATGAATGAAATTCTTAAATGCACAAAAATATTGGAAAAAAGTCTTACACTACAAAGTTGTATTTCAGAATCACCAACACTCTTGGCCTTTTCTGGCGCTGCTTTTTCTGCTTTCATTCGCGCTGAATGAAGCCATTCTTGAAAATGAAAAAGTTGAGCTTCTATACTGTTACCCTTTCTTACAGCCTCTTCTAAAATTGATCTATTTTCTGTTACCTGATGGTGAAATTGCATTAAATTAAACAATCAATGAAAAATAATTAAACTATAAATACCAGAAAATCAAAATGGATAAGTACCCAGTTTAAATTTTAACAGAGTAAGTAAACAAATAAATTACAAGCAGTTAGCAAAAACACAGCAAATGGTATAACTCAAATTATGAGAGTTTAAAATTAGTTCTGTTAATCAGCCATAAAATTTTGTAAAATTTAAAGAATGCATATAAAACTTTTAACAAAATAAAGTGGAACACATAAAAAATGAAGTTTTCAAGATTAAGAACATAAAAGGCAATGCAATGCTGATTTCAAATAGTAATCAGACTTTGAAAACTTGGTATGATACTAGTGAAAAAGCCAAATATTTTGATAGCATAGCAAAACAACTGACCACATGCAAAGCCTTACCTCAAATTAGCCAATGTTCTGCATCAAAATTTTTGTTTTTCATGCACATACCATCACACATGAAGAACACAGAAAAGTGGAACAAAATATATGTTTGGGATAATTTAATGTTAATATTTCTAATATATATAGATATATAGAAATTCAAATATTCTAATTAATGCATCATTAAAATATTAATTTGTCTGTCTAACTATAAAAATTTTAATAATTTGGCACATTTTTTATTGGGTAAAGTTTAAAGAAATGTTTTCAATAAAACAATAAAAATCTTAATAGATCTGATTAAAAAGTTTTGAGACTGCCTCATATCTATAAATTCTTCCCAATATTAGATGTGTCAATTCTGTTCTGGGTTTCATGACGGCTATATATTGGTGTACTCAAACCTGCAGGTGGACAGCTATAGTCTTCAGTATTTAGTCAATTAAAAATGAAATATCTAGCATATTTTGTCAAATGATGATATATTTATGACTATACAGCACAGATAAAATTGAATCTTGTGTTAAACTTGTAAAAACCCATAAATGTTAACCCCAAAATATTAGAAGTGCAATATTGCAATTACAGTATGCCCACTATAGCATAACTCTAAGCCCTTGTTTCAACATTCCAAAGAAAGAGACACTTTCAAGTTTAGTGTCTCTATCATTAACTTTCAAGGCGTAAAGTGTCTCTATCAGCTGCCCAGATGGTATAGTGGTTAGGGAAGCCGACTGTGACACAAAGGGCCGGGTTCGAATCCAGGAGAAGGCGTGGTTGTAACTGTCCGTCTCTTTATAGGAGGCAATAGTGGGCCACCTATCAGGTTCCTCCATATTAAACAGACCTCTGTCTCTGGCCTTAGTAGTGGACAAGCCAAAGTTGGCTGAGGGGGAAGGGGAGTGTCTATATCATTAACACTGGCAGGAGTGACTAACAAAGAATATTCTAATAGGCCTTTTCTGCAATTTAGGAATATTAACATTGCACACCGATCAATAGAGAGTTAATAGTTATTATTATGAAAATGTGCTGAAAACCAATGAAAATAGGAAGAAAGAATAGGATTTCCTCCAAGATAATGCCTAGCTGCAAGCTGTTGCTACTGTGGCATCAGCTGTACTCTTTGAAATTGTTATCTCTAATCGCATTCTTACTGGTTAAAAGGAAGTATAGCTTTCTGCCAGGTCCGAGTTATTCTGAAACTTAATCCCATTCTGTATATTTCTTTTGATTGGTTATTTATTGTGTCTTGTTTATGATTTGTTAAACCATGATCTGTTATAAATTTATATATGACCTCGTAATGCTTATGCTGCTATACTTTCCTTATTATTCTGCTTGCATGTAACTCTGCGGTATATTGAATTTGGTATAAAATTTGCTTTGAACAAGGGCATTTCTATGTTTAACAGCAGAGCGTGGTTCCTCCAAAAAGTAATTACTGATATTTCCCTAATTGAACCTTCCAGTGTAAATTTATCGTTCGCGGATTGTGAATGATGGTTTTGAAGAATGGATGGCTTTTGTGTAGCGAACGTTTGGGTTAGCGCCATGTGTGGTGTCAAAGAGTTTCAGGTCAGTATTCTGCAAGGAACTGGGACATTTTTGGAAAAGAAGCAATGCGGACAGGTTTTGAAATCAAAAAAAGGCTTATGCCTTAATACTTGCGCTCTAAGTGATAATGTTATTGCTTTTCAACGTGAACACAGATGTAATATGGAAGAACACTACAGTATGTCAGCGCTAAAATTGCAGTGAGCAATTTTGAACTTAAACGTCTAGCTACCATAATGAACAGGGTGTCATGAGACAAATTCGACAGTATGAACGTAGAGTGTCTAGTCTCGGCTCTGAAGAACGATTTTGAATTATTTACATTTTTAATGTCTTTGCCAAAGGAATATGAAATATAAGGCATCTCTAGAAATCAACCATAATAATTTGAGTTAGATTTGTTATAAAGTAGACTTATTGAGTGAATCTTATGTTGATTAAAAATGAAAATAAGTATTCTAAACCAAATACGGATAACTCTTGTTTTTATAGTGCTCATAAAGAATTGTTTTGTATTATTGTAAAAGAAAAGGACATTCTGTTAAATTTTGTTGGAAAAAAGAACTGCGTTGTCAAACTGTGGGGAAAATGGTCATTTCAAAAGTGAATAATTCTAAAAAGCAGGCAAATTCAAATAGTAATAAGTACATCACCTGCTATCTTTTTATGGCTGGAATCTGTACATGATCAATTTATTATTGATTTGGTTGCAACTTTCAATGTCTTCACAAGCATGGTTACCTCAATTAACCTAAGACTGGAACTGTTAGTGCGCGTCTAAGTCGCGGTTTTAGAAGTGGAAGAATTGGTATATTGCAGTAAAACTAAGAAGGTGTTGAAATAATGTTAAAAGATGTCTTTATTTCCAAAATTAAATGGACAATTAATTTCTGTAAAAATATTGAAGCAGCAGGTTTAAGCGTCATTTTAAAAATGAAAGTTTATATTGAAACAAAAAAAAACGTGGGTTTAGATTTGGATATTGGACAAATGCGGACAAATTTTAGTGATTTTCACCAAATTATTACAGCTTTAGCAGTAAAGAATGATGACTATGGCACAGAAGGTTAGGACATGCTGGATCAAAATTAAAATAATGAATCTTCCTGCAAAGAATCTTTGTGAAGATGTGTTCGCCAAACAAAGTGCTTGCCTATAGGAAAGGGTCCTCGCATAAAAGAATCCAAACGCTTATAACTAGACACTGATATATGTGGTCCATAGAACCTCAAACACTCCATAGGAAAAGGTTTCATGACTATAATTGATGACTATTCGAGATTTATGGAAATCAGATGCTCAAAAGAAAAAGTGACATGCTGATGAACCAAGCTGTTCTTTAAATTGATCCAAAGTTACAACTGCGCTGTACAAGCGAAAGAATATGTCGTGGAGGATGCATGAAGTTGCTAAAAGAAAGGTGGAAAAAATAGATCCTAACTCCTATACACCTTTTCTAAATGGTGTTGCGAACGAGCAAATAGAACTGTGCTGAAAAGCTGAGCAATGATACTTGAGGCAAAATTACCAAATTTCCTTGGGGGGTGAAGCAGTACTACGGTTGCTTATATAATAATCAACTCCCAATAGTACGATTGACAATCGTGTTCCTATTTTCTGAAGTATGTAAAATCCTGATTTAAAAACATCATGTATTTGGCTGTGAGTTAACTCTAGTGCCACCATCCCAAGAAGAAACTAGATGAAAATCTGTCAGAAAGGAATTTGAGGTATTACACAATGGGATTCATTAATGATTCCGGAGGCGAGACGAAAATGTTTCAGAAGTGTTAATTTAAGGAAGAAAAGAAGAAAGTAGAAAATAAAAATATATTTCCGATAGTTCTGATTTGAGTGAAAATGACAATAAAAATGAAGACAAATCATTCAGACATTGATAATGGCGAATTAAATGCTACAAAATAAGAAGGAGGAACAAAGAAAATGTTCAAAGAGAAAAGAAAGCAGCCAGTAGGTATCCTGATCCTGAGATTTACCAAGTAAATGTTTGCACAAGAAACACTTGATATTTGTGTGTGTGCTGTGTGTGTATTTAATTATGGCAAAGCACTAGGGACGAGAACTGAAATCTGTGGAATATACGCGTCTGACCTACTAGAGTTAACCGACACCTGAAGAATAAGAGCCATTTAACCTGGGATCTACAATGCCATTTACTGCAAATGTGTACTACGTAAAAAACGAGAGGAACTTACAAAGCCAGGCTTGTTGCTCGGGCTTTATGCAAAAGGAAGGCGTTAGTTATAAAGAAACATTTCTCAGTGATTGTATGTGTCTTTACGTTTAATCCTGGTAATTATCAAAATGAAGGGTTGAAACTTTTACTTTAGATGTAAGACAGCTTTCTTGAACGGTAAGTTGATGAGGTCATCTAAGACCAGCAAAGGATATGATGATATGATGGTAAGAAATGAAACTAAAAGAGTTTATAGGTCTTAAAAATCTCCTCGAAATGGTATCGAAATTTTTAATTTTGTTATTAAATTAAATTTTAAGCAATGGATCTAACCATGTATTTTCTCGGAAATTTAAAATTGTAAGAAATAATTATGGCTCTTATGTGGATGACTTATTAATTGCAGGTTCAGATGTAAAAGAAACAAAATTATAATATCATTGTTGTCAATTCTTTAAAATGTCAAAATCTGAAAATTTGTTCAGGATGTTTGGGTATAGACTGAAATTGAGTCGTTGTTTATATTTAGATCAGAACCATATATTGAAAAATTATTGATAAATTAAAATGTTGATTTTAAAACAGCCCAAACTCCCATGAACCAAAATTACAGCAGCTGATTTTCAGAAAGGAAATCATAATGGCCCTACAAAGAATTAATTGGATTTTACTTTACTTAGCATATATCACAGGCCAGATATATGTTTGCAGTAAATTGCTTAAGCCAATGCAGAGCATCCTACTGTGTTGCCTGGTGTGCTCTAAAAAGAATTCTTAGGTCACTTGAAAAACACTTAAATTTTAAATTGATATACAAAAAAGGGTCATTTGCAAAGGGCAACTTGTTTGTATGTAGATGCAGTTGGGGGGGGGGAGATACTCAAGATAAACATCAATTACTGGTTATTTATAATGTTTTCAACTGTCCTATTTAGTGCTGTCATAAGCAAAAGATTGCACTTTCATCAAAGAACTGAAATAATTGCTTTATGTAAAGGTTCAAGGTTTATAGATAAAAAAATAAAAAGTAAATGAAATTTCCATGTTAAAAATGTTTATTATTTTGAGGATACCAGTCATGTATCAAAAGTATTGTTAATGAAAACTTTTCGGGTAGGTTGAAACATAGATATAAAATTAAGTTCACGCGTAGATGTTAAGAAAATAATATTAGAATTGAATATCTACAATCAGGTTTACAAATTGCAGATATGTTAACTAAGGCTTTGTCCAAAAAAAATTCTATGAAACTGTTATCCTTGCAGGTTTAATTGGTAGCGATTAAGGGGGATGTTGAGGATATTTGTAATCGCATTTACTGGTTAAAAGAAGTACAGCTTTTCTGTCAAGTCCGAACATTCATTAGCTTTTGCCAGGTCCGAGTTTCTGAAACTTAATCGCATTCTGTATTTCTTGTGATTGGTTATTTATTGTGTCTGGTTTATGATTGGTTAAACCATGATCTGTTATAAAGTTATATATATGACCTCTGTAACCGCTTATGGTGCTAGTGCTTGGACTACTATTTCTGCTTGATAAACTCTCGTGTATCTCTGCATATCTCGGTAATAAATATTTGCTTTGCGAACTACGGCATTTTCTATGTTTAACAGAAATCAACACAATTAACATCCTATAACAATCTATTGGTAACATGTGAATTCTGAGTACTCTCAATATTATAAAGGTAAGGTACTTAGATATCACTGTAACAGGTATTTACATATTAATGTAACAATCTTAGAAGAAATCACCAAATTTTCAGAATGTACCAAACTCGGGCAAACCTGCTCATACTCATTCTTCTGGCTACCATACTCATAACAACCCTTCAATCAAGCAATGCTCCCAGTTTTGTATGCGTTTTCTTTGGAAGAAAATACAGTAAAATTTCAGCAAGAATACAGAAATTTTGCTGTAAACTTTCTAAAGGGAACAACTGAGTTTCCTCAATAGCCGCTGCTGCTGAGGATCGGACAAAACCAACTCTCTACAATCTCTAATTTTTTTTTTTTTTTTTTTTAAGAAAAGAGATTCCTCTGTACCTCGAGAGATGAATGGTGCAAAAAAAAAAAATTACAAAAAGGTCTAACGAAATATGTAAGTGCTTTGTATTTTAATGCATCATGTAATCCTGTTTAATAACTGAAATTTGTATTTTAAAATGTGAAAGTATGTTTTCTTTTCATATGTTGATAATGTTTACCGAATTATGATATATATCGATAGTTTGGATTTTTTTTTTTTTTTTTTTTTTTTTTTTTTTAAAGGTACAAAAACCACCAACTTGCATTCAATAAGTAACTGTTACATTTTCATCTGTAAAAAAAGCAAAATTTAATGTAAAAGACTAATTGTTAACAAAAAACAAGAACACAAATCTGAGATAATATTCTCATTCTGAATAAGAGAATCAGTCTCAAATCTTTTCAATCAGCTTATGAACTACTCATCAAAACGCTTACAAGTTTATTAAAAATATTTACAGAAATATTATTTATAGAAATACTTATATGTGATGAAAGGTGTAAGGTAAAGAGACTATGCCTAGCTAGCTTCATCAATTACTTAATTATAATTAACTATCATAAAGTAGTTATAAAATGTATTTTGTTCCTCTTTTCAAACATACTGCCACCTCGAAATAAAGACGGTTTTCATCACAAACAATATCCATTGAGATGCAGACAGTTATTGGCAACAACCATGCAAGAACAGGCTTATCTAATCTAACCTTAGAACCAAGAAGATTGTATTTATTCTTGTAGAAGTCTAAACGCTCTTTTAATTGAGCAGACTGCTTTGAATCAACTATCTGCCTCCCTTGACGAATACACTGTTCCACTTCTGGCTTCATTTCACTGAGAACTTTATACAATTGCTATAATAAAAATGCACTTTAAACACCCAAATATGCATGCTTTGCAAGGAGGTTAAAAAAAATTATATACAGTACAAAGTCTTTAATCCGGACGTCCATAATTCAGATCGCCTCCTGGTACAACGGTGCTTTGGTACACCAGGGTACCTGGGCCGAAGGCCCTACCCCTTGTAGAACATTTTGTAGCTTCGAATTATGTCAGAGAAATAACCAGTTAATTTCTAGAACAAAAGCTGGTGAAAAAACATAGATCATAATTAACATGGCATAAACAGTTACGTAAAAATTTGGGTACTGGGAAGCTGAAATACAAATAATTAGCATAGAAGATGGTTAACGTGCTAATAGCGGCGAGTTAGGCATAAACCGTCGAGCTGGTGAGTATAGTCCTCTCCGTAGTGGTATAAAGTCCTGCCGATAAACGGTAGTTGCTCATTCATCAGAGCCAGTCACGTGGGAGGTCAACCTCCCAGAAACTGACCCCACTTGATGCTGCTTGAGAAACCAGGTTAACTGGTGAGTAGAATAAGTGAGATCAAGTAAGAAAAATGAAGTAGAACGTTGAATTACTGCATTTCATGGAAAAGCAAAGTCCTTAATATCCTTCGTCGGCTATCTTCATCAAATACATTTCAAGCTACAAACTTCGCGATGCGTTTTCACATAAACTTTACGCATGCACATAATACATATAATGGACGGTATAAGCTAGGCTAAAATTATCTAATTATCTATTTAAGTTAATGTTGCAGATTGCATTTTTCCTTAATCTTCTAATTGGATCCGGCTTATTATTTTTTGCAGACTGTTAGAGCAATTTTATAAAAAGTAAGCTTGAACTTTCGATTATGTCCGATGAAAGAGTTTCCGATTCTGCAGCTGCCAAAGGATCTACAAAGTTAAAGCATGTTTCGATGTCCATCAAACAAAAAAAAAGGAATTACTGCAAAAAATGGATAACATGAGGAAAGTGACAGAGAGGTTAGTGAAAACGAAAAAATTTCGATTAACAAGTTAGTTCGTATTCTCGGCACAGCAATTACAAGACTTGAACATCGGAACTTTGTAACTGAACAAGAAAATTATGTCTGTTTATAGAATTAAAGAGAAAGTATTAGCACATTAAACGAAGCAACTTAAACAACTTATACTGAAATAAATGTTTAATAAAGTAAACAAATATTGTTTTGTAAATTCTGATAACCTTTAGATCATAATTGCTTTTTATTTCATAAATTATGATTTCATATTTTTAATTTTATAATTTCTGCATGCCATCTTAACAGAATTAAACTGATGATCTATAATCCGGAAAAAACCCTAATCCGGAATCGCCGACAAGTCCGGATTAAAGTCTTTGTACTGTATATATAGCTTTTATTATGTTTAAACAATTACATACACACCAATACAACTTAAAAATTTATACAAGTATATATTTATATATACTTGTATAAAACGAGATAAGTTTCCTTGATAAACAATATACTACGTGCCTTCTATTTTAATAACATAATAATCTGACAGCATAGTAATGTAAACAAAGAAATTCAGTCAAAAACAACAACACTGTTTTCTGAAGCAGGTAGGATTAGTATTAAATTTCAAAATAGAAGCAATTTTAAATTCAAATATAAAAACTAAAAAAAAAATTCAATCAAAACTTTCAAATATTATCTTTAAGCCTTTTAAATGAACAGTTTATAGTCAATAGATTAAGGTTAACTGAAATTCAACCACATTTCCAATCTATTTTTTACATAAAAAATCACTTGTAGAACATTTTGTAGCTTCGAATTATGTCAGAGAAATAACCAGTTAATTTCTAGAACAAAAGCTGGTGAAAAAACATAGATCATAATTAACATGGCATAAACAGTTACGTAAAAATTTGGGTACTGGGAAGCTGAAATACAAATAATTAGCATAGAAGATGGTTAACGTGCTAATAGCGGCGAGTTAGGCATAAACCGTCGAGCTGGTGAGTATAGTCCTCTCCGTAGTGGTATAAAGTCCTGCCGATAAACGGTAGTTGCTCATTCATCAGAGCCAGTCACGTGGGAGGTCAACCTCCCAGAAACTGACCCCACTTGATGCTGCTTGAGAAACCAGGTTAACTGGTGAGTAGAATAAGTGAGATCAAGTAAGAAAAATGAAGTAGAACGTTGAATTACTGCATTTCATGGAAAAGCAAAGTCCTTAATATCCTTTGTCGGCTATCTTCATCAAATACATTTCAAAGCTACAAACTTTCTGCACATGTGTAGCATTTACGCATGCACATAATACATATAATGGACGGTATAAGCTAGGCTAAAATTATCTAATTATCTATTTAAGTTAATGTTGCAGATTGCATTTTTCCTTAATCTTCTAATTGGATCCGGCATATTATTTTTTGCAGACTGTTAGAGCAATTTTATAAAAAGTAAGCTTGAACTTTCGATTATGTCCGATGAAAGAGTTTCCGATTCTGCAGCTGCCAAAGGATCTACAAAGTTAAAGCATGTTTCGATGTCCATCAAACAAAAAAAAGGAATTACTGCAAAAAATGGATAACATGAGGAAAGTGACAGAGAGGTTAGTGAAAACGAAAAAATTTCGATTAACAAGTTAGTTGGTATTCTCGGCACAGCAATTACAAGACTTGAACATCGGAACTTTGTAACTGAACAAGAAAATTATGTCTGTTTATAGAATTAAAGAGAAAGTATTAGCACATTAAACGAAGCAACTTAAACAACTTATACTGAAATAAATGTTTTATAAAAGTAAACAAAATTGTTTGTAATTCTGATAACCTTTAGATCATAATTGCTTTTTATTTCATAAATTATGATTTCATTTTTAATTTTTAATTTCTGCATGCCATCTTAACAGAATTAAACTGATGATCTATAATCCGGAAAAAACCCTAATCCGAATCGCCGACAAGCCGGATTAAGTCTTTGTACTGTTATATTAGCTTTTATTATGTTTAAACAATTACATACACACCAATACAACTTAAAAATTTATACAAGTATATATTTATATATACTTGTATAAAACGAGATAGTTTCCTTGATAAACAATATACTCCTTCTATTTTAATAACATAATAATCTGACAGCATAGTAATGTAAAAAAGAAATTCGTCAAAAACAAATCCACTGTTTCTGAAGCAGGTAGGTAGTATTAATTTCAAAATAAAGCAATTTTAAATTCAAATCTAAAAACTAAAAAAAAAATTCAATCAAAAACTTTCAAATATTATCTTTAAGCCTTTTAAATGAACGTTTAGGTCAATAGATTAAGGTTAACTGAAATTCAACCACATTTCCAATCTATTTTTTACATAAAAAATCACTTCCCCCCCCCAATTTTTGGAAGACATATACGTTGTGCAAGAACAGAAAAAAAATAACAGTTCTTACTTTCAAATAATTTTAACAAAATGCCTAAACCACATTTATGATAACACAAAGCAATAATAATCGCTTTCAACAAATATGCCAAATTTCAAAATGTGCCAATATATGAATTCACATATATCTTCGGAACATTTTGAATAATAATTTGTAATTTTTTGCAGGTATGCTCAGAAATACATCTACTTTAAGATGGTGGTAAGAATTTTATAGATTATAACTCAAAATTTTTTCGAAAAATTTATAAAAATTATTTAAAAATACAAATTTAAAAAATAAATCACAAAAATTCATGAATGTTATTTGGAATGAACCTAAATTTTGAAATGTGAAAGGAAGAATCAAATAAGTTTAATAAAAAAATAGATATCAATAAATATATACCAAACTCAATTAACATTGAGGAGCTAAAATTTTTAGAGATAATTTTTTAAAAACTACTCCGATTTTTACAAAACTTGGCAGTTTGGCATAATTTGAATAGTAGAATGGAAATATGGAAAAACATTGGCATGTTATTTCAGAAAAAGCCTGTTTTTGTGTCAAAATACCTATATTATAACAATGCTATATATAAACCTAATACACCGTATTTGAAGGCACATAAGACACACTTTTTTTTTAAATTTGGTCTTAAAAAGTTACCTGTGTCTTATACGTGAAGGACACAGGTTAACTTTCAATACTGAATGCTATTTTTAGCCTGGATAAAGGTCTAGACACACATAACTTTTTCTACATCTACATGTGTGTGGCCTTCTAAATAAGGGTGTGTCTTATATGCCAGTGCGTCTTATATGCCAGTGTGTCTTATATGCTGTCAAATACGGTATGTCCTATGTCGCACTTTCGAGACATGAAAAATGCAATTTGAATTTCTTCAATCAGCCCAGTAGAATGAGAGATATAAACTTGTCCCAATTTCTTTTTTTTTTTTTTTTTTTTTTTTTTTTTTTTTTGCAGTGTGTACCAATGAGTTCAAATATAGCTTGAACAGTGATTGTTTTATGTGTTTTGATCTGGAAAGAGTGAGAAATAATGCAGCTTGCTATCCCTTGTTTGTAAAAGATCCACTCACACAGATGTGATTTCACAGTTGGGGAAAAATCATCAAAAATGACTGTGTGTATCTATGATGCAACCAGTCATATATTTGAAGTAACCATTCTGTAACCAGTCACAGATGTGTGGATGTTGTCTTGGAACCCCATGTAATGCTATTTAAAAGTAATTTTTGGTCCACAGCTTTTACTAATGGATGACGGTGTCTGTCCACATCGAACATCTCTAGTGTCTAGTTTATTTGAAAACAAAAAATATCATTCAAATGACTTGCCTATTTTACTCAGCAGACCTAAACCTCATTAAGTATGTAGGAGAAACCCTAAGCAGCCGAACTGTAGCTTATCAAATGCTTCCCCAGACCATACCAGCGATATAGTCACTGAACACTGGTACACAAGTTTGGTCTGGGGTTTGAATCCCAGCTAACAGGCCAGCTGCATGGGCATTTTCATGGTTTTCCACATGTGCAATGTGTATATGAGGTAGTTTCCCTTAGAAAGTCATCCACAATGGTATTTCTTTCCCTAGGGAGATAGCCCTCTTGTGCTTTGCCTTATTCAACTAAACCAAATCAATGTCAAACCATCCAGGATCCTAAAAATGCATTTTCAGAAGAATGCCATACATTCCAAAATATGTGATCAAGAGTTTGCTAAATTCTATGAAATCAAGACATGAAGTTTACATTCCTGTCAAAAGTGATCATTCCTCACATTGAAAGATTTGTTACAAAACACTGGAGATCCCTTTCAACAAATTTGATATTAAATTTAATATTTTGACATTAATCAAATAAGAAACATGCCACCTATGCCACCTAATGCTTCTGTATAAATTGTTTTTAACTTTTTTAATAAGTAACCGTTAAGTTTCCTTTCCATCAACAACCTTTAATTTTTGACAAACAGTGTAAATTATTTTAATTTTGAAATGAGTATGAATATGAATAGTGAAATTTACCAAACATTTTTCTAACTGGCTTTCAGCAGAATCTGAGTCTTCACCTGACAGATTAATAGAATTTAAACCATCTTCAACTTCATTCAGCATATTTCCCACATGATTGAGTTTTGCTTCAAAATCACTAGGTTTCTGGAACTTGATAAACTTTTCTTGTAATTCAGAAAATTTTTGCTACGATTAATAAAGAAAATCAAATTAAAAGAATGAATAAATTTGGCATTACATTACATTCACAACCTTTTTTTTAATCCCTTCTCTAAATAAAAGTTTGAATATAAAAAATACCTCTACTAATCGAAGTTGTTCTTCAAGCCGATGAGCAGCTTCCATACGTCCTCGGGATCTGTAACGCTCTACATCTTCTTCTAAATCTTTTATACTGGCTTCTTTTTCAGAAAACTCAGCTTCTAATTGCTAAAAAATTATTTTGCATGATAGTAAGCATAAAACATTTATAGTTAATTATTAAGTATATATCACAAGAACATAATTTTCAAATACCTCAAAAAAATAGAATTTGATATCATTTGCAGTGAACATCTTTTAAGACATTTATACACATCCAGCCTACTCAATGATTTTCAAGTTTTGCTTCAAAATCAAAATTAAAAATCTTAAACCTAAGGGATTCCCCCCTATTTTTATTTCGTTCATTAATACCACAAATTCATTGCTATTTAATAAGGTCTTCCATGACATATTCTGCTATGTATGGACACATTTAAGGGACTCAGTTCACCCTTTCATGAAATAAATATTTTGATGCTAATACTTATTTTATTAAATTATTATATTCTATTATCAGGGATGCTTATAATATAAATATAATACAGTAACCTCAAATGCTAAGCAGATCCTTTGTAAAAATGTTTTGCATTACCCAGCACAATGCCAGATTGTTATTGCTCCAGTGTGGGTTATAAACAAAACTAGTTAGCAACTGGAAAATCTGTGATTTGAATCCTGGCAACAAAACACTTGATTTTTCATGTTTCTTCTTCAAAAAAACCTAATGGTATCTATAGCAGCACTCGAACTAAAATGTAGTAGCCGACAATTTATCACAACCTGGATTTGGCTGACTGGGTTATGTGTCTCTCTGCAATCACCTTTTAAATGGGAAATACTAAATGGAGTTTTCACATTTTCCCATCCATGCACTCATTGTGTCAGTGATTAACATGCTCAGCTAGCATATGGGAGATCTGTGGTTTGAAACTTGACCATAACACAGCTGATTTTTCATGTTTCTGCTCTGAAAAACTTAATGGCCTCTACAATAGGAGCTGCATCTAAAATGCAGTGGCTGCCTATTCATCACTACCTGGATTTTGATGATTGTGTCTCATGCCTCTACCTGGTCACCTTTTAAATGGGAAAGAATATATACATTTTTTGCATTTCTTCTTACATGTTCTCATTCTGTAAGGTGATCAGAAGTATGCCTAATTAGCATATGAAAAAACTGCAATTCAGATCATGGCTACAGAACAATTAATTTTTCCTGCTCCTGCTTCAAAACACCTTATGGTCTTTACAGTGACAGCCGGCCTACAATATTGATACGAAATGCCCAGCCACTATAAGATAGCAACCCTGCAAAGTAGGTATAGATTTGTCAAAAAATGGCACGGTTGCCAGATTTAGTGCAAAATTGCCCATTTGGTGACATCTATTAGACAGAGTGAGAATATTCTAAAACAAATTCTTAAGGATGTGTATTAGATTTATATACAGCATCATTCTAATATAGGTATTTTGACACAAAATCGGACTTTTTCTGAAATAACATACCATTCTTTTTTTTCCATATTTCTATTCTATGACTCAAATTACGCCAAACTACCAAGTTTTGTAAAAATTGCACGAGTAGTTTTTAAAAAATTAGCTCTCTATATTTTAATGCCTCAATGTTAAGTTTGAGATTTTAAGAGTTTGGTATATATATTTATTACTCTCTCTTTTTTTATTAGAATTATTTTATTCTTCCTTTCAGATTTCGAAATTTAGGTTCATTCCAAATAAAATTAACCCATTTTTTATCATTTATTTTTAAAATTTGTATTTTTAAATAATTTTCATACATTTTTCAAAAAAAACTTTGAATTATAATCTATAAAATTTTTATAATGATCTTAAAGTCAACATATTTATAAGCATTCCTGCAAAAAATTACAATTTTTTATTCAAAATTTCCGAAGATATACGCGAATTTATATATTGGCGCGCTTTTAAATTTGGCATATTTGTTGAAAGCGACAAAACATCAAATGTGGTTTAGACACTTTGCTAAAATTATTTGGAAGTAGAAATGATGTGATCTTTTTCTGCTCATGCACAATGTATAAAGGTAGGAACGAGTTGCCTTTTTTCTGCTCCGGCATAATGGAAGGGAAAGGAAAATTGGTTGCCACATATTATAAAGAAGTTTGTTAAGTGAATTATTATTGGCGAAAACTAAAAAAAAAATTGTGCCAAGATAAATTTTTGAACTTTTCCGTAAATTTCGCACCAAGTTTTACAAAATTTATTAATACTTAGGCATAATTTGAATCATTGAATAAAAATATGGAAAAAAATTGGTATGTTATTTTAGAAAAGGTCCGATTTTGTGTCAAAATAGCTATGTTAGAACAATGCTATATATAAACCTGATATGCATCTTCAGTCGCGCTTTCGAGACATGAAAAATTCCTTTGAATTTTGTCAATTGGGCCAGTAGAATGGGAGATATAGAACTATCCCCCCCTTTTTTTTTTTTTTTTTTGCACGGTGTACCAATTGTTAAAAGTACCAAGCTGAACTGTACACATGAGAATAAACTACAGAGTGGTAAGCAAACTGTTTCAGATCTTCATGTGGATGAAAAATCTGAAAGAACTGAATCTTCAGACTGTGATAAGCAAAACAGAAATACATCTGAGAACTGCAGTGGAAAAGTATTTAACCCAGTTATAACTTAATGAAAAACCTGGGACTAAAATTCATTCTGAACTTTAATTTGTATAATTTAAAATTGTCATACGGTAATTTGTGTTAATAACTTGTAAATAGTATAAATATTTGTTTCTTTTACCTTTATTTATCTTATTTGTTTGTTCTATTACTTTTGTTGTTTGTATTGAATTTGGCTTCTGATGGATAGCTTCCCCCGCAAGGTTGGTATAGGGTTGCCAGAAAATGGCAGGTTACCAGATTTGGCGACAAAAATGGCAATAACCCATAGACACAGCCAGAACATTTTAGAACGAATTCTTACCGGTTTACACCAGAATGTTTTCAAAGGCATGTCAAAAGTTCTATAAACCCTGCTTGTATGCGAAGTAGCAGTGTATTCATTGAGTTTTATTCTGAGTGTATTGAGCTCTGAGAGCAATCGATCCAGCCAGGAACTGCACTTTAGTGTTTTACATGAAGTTGACTTTATGCAAAATGCTAAAGTACAGACACCATTATAACCTAATAGCCTGAAGGCTGTGTTGTCGATTGTTTCAGCGTGTTTGTCGCAGTTTTTCAATGAATGTAAACATGATTTTGGAAATGTCCTGAGTAATACTGGTAAAAAAATTTTGTTACACTTTTTCATCAATTATCATCAATCAGTGCAAATCCACGAACCCACAGAATGCAACAATATAAAAGCAAATCATCAAACCTGAATTCAACTGATTGGGTCTCATGCCTCTTCCCTATCGCCTTTTAAGTAAGAAAAACTATATAGATTTTTTGCATTTTCCCATGTGTATGTTGCATAACTGATTAGCATATCCAGCTAGCAACTAGAAGATCTGCAGTGCAAAGATCTAGTTGACTTTTCTATTTCCTGATCCAAAATGTCTAATGGTCTCACACCTTAATGATGCCAAATGTACTTTTATTAGATATTGTTTATATTATTTAACTTCATGTTATTAATATGTTGAATAGTATTTTTGTTAGCCTAATTACCCACTAGTTATAATTAAATAGCTATCATAACTAAAATTAGAATTTTATTACTGCAATTATTTTGCTATAATGTAACTGATTACAGCAAATTAGAGAAATTCTGCAGCATCATAGGGAAGAATTGAAATTTTATATGCATGCATATTGAACTCAATTCATTTCAGTAAATTGATTAGCCATTTTTAGAGGGGATGCAGCTTTATTTTTAAATCCATTACAAATACTAGCAATTTTATTTTCTATTTATAACATATGCATAATCTATGTTGAAATCACTTCTCAAAAACACTATAAATCATTACAAACAGCCATTGTACTACTGCTTTTTATAACACATTTACTTTTTCAAAATAACCTTTTTAATTAAAAGCTATACTTTCACTAATCCAATTATTTCTAACCATTTTAATTAAATTTTATGTCAGTAAATATTGTTTTAGTACACTATTTAAATCATTCTTAATATAATACAAAATTAATCAGTTCGACAAATTAGCTTGTAAGACAAGCAATGAAAAAAATTTCATGAAGAAGTAACTTAAAAACTATTGTATGAATTAAATAAAAGTTTATTTATACATACTGCAAGTTCATCAGGCACATCTTGAGAAGATATGTCATTATCTAGTCTGTTTTGCAGGACAGTATCAATGTGTGAAATCCAAGCTTGCACAGTCAAAATGTGACGCTCACATTGTTGAGCTTCTGCAATACTGTTCTCTAATACTTGCTGCCTTTCTCGACCCTATTCAAAATGCCATTTTATAAAAAAAGGGAATATATTTAAATTTTAATTCATTGTTTCACGGTTAAAATAAATTACAAGTATACCTCACTTTGTGAGCCACATGTGATATACTTGAATACAAGTTAATATTTTAAAACTAAAATTCAGTTAAATTTAGTGGAAGAATGAAAACTGTATAATTTATTTTATTTAATGCAATAATCATCATCACAGTAATGTCATCTGAGACATAAAAAATGCAAATTAATAATTATATTTTACTCTAGAAACATGCAAACTACTTTTATACGAGTAAAAACAAGGTATTCATATACGTAATAAAAATAATGAACTTGTAACTATTTTCATCCATAAGTGGTATTTAAAATAAAATATGAATAGTTAATGGTTGTATAGCAGTCCAGTAGTACATACCTGTCTACTGAGGTCTTCAAAACGTTTAGTAACAGTTTTTACATCTTGATTTATTTGATCTATCAAAACACCCTTCTCAATCAAAAACTGGCCAATATTCTGAATTTTTGTAATTCTTTCTGATGGGTGATGTCTCAAATAATTTTCCAAATCCTACCAAAAAGAAATGAATATTTCAAAATGAATTATAGATCAAAATTAATTTTTAGGATGAGAAAAAGAACACTTACATCTAAATTTTCGGAAATTTCTTCAGCATCTGCCGCAGACTCTGGAGATCGTTTAAGTTTCTTTTCCAGCCTGTCCAGCCAATCATTCTCTCTCATTACTAAATCTTTTATAAAATAACTCTAATGAATTTAATACATAAAAGTACATAGGGAAATACTACATGTTTAAAGATTACAGAATTTATTAAAAAAATACAATAAAGTAAAAATATCTATATTTTAAACATATTTTGACGTAAAAATTTCAGAAAAAATTCCAATATCTTACTTTGTGTTAAGTACTTTTCCAGTGAATGTAGATTTTAATTATTATATTTTACATTAATTTTTCAAGCGCATTTTTGTCATTGCAAGCAGACTGTTGCATGAACTTTGATCTCTTTCATTTTCAAATAAACAAGATGCATTTGAATTTCAACAAGCTTTCAAAACCTTATACCTGTGTTAACTTTCTTTACATTTAAAATTGCTGAAGATTTACATGAAGGGAAACTGAAATTTACCTAATTTCTTGACATTACTTCTGAATCAAAAACTGATAAATTTCCTTAAATGACACACAACTTTTTCTCCGTCCTTTCTCCATAATTGGAATTTAAATTATATTCATTATGGAAAATATGAATTATAGCCAAAAAACTTGTAATCAAAATAAATATTAACAGATACAACGTAATTTGAATTTTAATGATTAAAAAATCTATCTCTAACTTATAATCATATTTCATAAAAAATACAAAAATTATTTCTCATTAAGTGCATTTTAGACTTACATTTAAAAGTAGCATTTGGAAGAACATTATTTTTGAAACATACAAAAATTCCGACCAAAAATTCCATTAAATTTTGCAATTTAATTGAAATATTTTATATTTGTTTATAATTAAAATATATAAAAAAGCTGCTTTCTGAAAACTTCAGATTATAATCTAACACCTCAAAGAGTTTACCATCAAATTTTCAAAAAAATGCAAGGGAGATCTTAAAATACAAGGTGTTAATAAAGTCTCTATACATTTTTTAGAAATACACTTTAATTCCAATTTCTTTGGAGGAGATTTGAAAGAATGCTGTCAGCAGAAGTACAGCCACGGTTTGTTCCTGTACACATGGATTAACGTACCAACAAGTGCAGGAGGATTTCAACTGCAAATTCAGAAAGCAAGCCCCTACCACAGCAGGTATTAAAACCTTAGTAAAAAAAATTCAAATGAGCTGATAAAGATGAAGACCATTCTTGGAGCCCTTCAATAACATCACAAGTTGAGCATAGCATACAAGAAGTGATTATGCGTAGCTCTCAGGCATCTACACAAAGAATCAGCCGGAAACTCGGTGTTTCGTTTACTACTGTTTGGAAAAGTCTACTCTGTCATTTAAACAAGGATGCCTACCACATTCAAACCGTGCATAAGCTTGAAGCCGAGGCCTTTGCAGCTCAGGAAAGTCATGTGTTAGTGAGAACTTAATGGAGAATGTTCTCTTTAGTGAAGATGGCACATTCCATCTCAGCAGCCATGTTAATAGGCATGGGCTGATCAACAACCAAATGTGTTATACGAATCTCAGGGAGCCACACCTAACAGTTTATGTATGGATTGGAATAACTAAGCTCTGTGGACCTTTCGGTTTGCAGAAAGGACCACCACTAGAGAAATGTATCTCGATATGTTCCAACAATATCTTAAACCATAGGTAGTATCAAATGACATTATTGACACTGTTGTCTACCAACAGGATGGGGCACCTCCCCATTTTGCCATTATTGTGCGTAATTATCTTAATAAAACTTTTCATGATAGGTGGATTGGTTGTGGCTCTTAATGGCTTTGGGCTCCACAATCATCAGACTTAACTCCCCTAGAATTCTTTGTATGGGGGTTTTTTCAAGTCAAAAGTGTACCAAGAGAAGACTGGCAGCATTGAACAATTAAAACCGTAAATTATGGCTGCAGTAGCTAAGGTGTTCCAGAGTGCAGTGGAATGGTGGCAATTGTACCTACTCAGGGGGGCCACATTGAATTAATTTTACTAATTCATTGAATTAACTATTAATTAATTCATGTACTAATTTAGTGTTCTATTATGTTGCATTTTCATGTAAATAACTTATATTTCAGAATAAAGCCTGTTTAAGCAAAAATGTATAGGAACTTTATAATCAACCTGTTTAAAAATTATAAGATCACAAGGAAATATCAACCTGAACCTGGCATGCAAGTTTTAGTTTAGCATTAGAAACAATGAGTAAAACTATGCAGTTATAATTAGGTTTCTAGTTTTCTCCATAAATTAAAGATATAGAATATAAAATCTTATATTTAAAATGAATTATACATAATGGCAAATCCAAAGGATACGAAAAAATAGTTTGCTATGGTAATATTTTATACTAAATTTATATCACAGAGACTCGTGCACTTATTTAATTTTAAAAACATACAATTTTAGACACAACTGTGCTTTTATTTTATTAGATTGCAGGCAAAAATATTTTTTCAAGTGGTATTACTTTTTTATTTTGCTAGAATACAAACTGAAAACGATAATTACAATGTCTTATTGACTATTTTAACACCTTCTGTAGAGGTTTTCATCAGAAGTTATCAAATTGGTCAGTAAGGAAAATATATTAACAACTTACTGCAAAATTCACTGTATTTTGTTGCTATTTCTTTATATTTTGCAGATGAATCTTTAACTTGTGAAAAAATTTCATTCCATTTAGAATTTAGTTGTGAAAATTCTTGCAATGATTCTTCAAAAGAATTATTCTTTTCCATGGCAGCTATATTCTGAACAGTTGAAGTGAGTTTCTCAAATTCTTGCTGCTTACTTTCTAGTTTACTTTGTAAAAACTGAAATACAAATAAATTATAAGTAACTATCTTTTGCCTTTTCCAAGATTTGCAAATATTACATATAAAAGGGAAAGGGGAAATTAATTATTTAGCACAGTAACTTTCATAAAAAATTTTAAATAATTTGTTACAGATCTTTTACTGAAGTTAAGGGAAAAAAGTAGGCATAATTATACATAATTGAATTTCCAAACTCACTTGAAATTTCTTGTTTTTTGAATTCAAATCTGAAGAATTTGAAACTGGCCCATCTTCTGGAATTTCTGTTTCTAATTTCTGCAACCAAGAACTTAGGTCTGTAATTTTTTCTTTAACTTCTTGAGTTCCATGAAGAGCATTCTTTAATTTGCAATTCTTACTATTTGCTTCTTCTACAACCTGAAAGCATAAAATGTGTTTAAAATAAAAATGGGAAATAAAAGCAAAATAATAATTAAAACAATTTTAAATGACAGAATGTAGAAGAATATTTTAAAGCTCTGGTAAAATTTTATTATTCTTATAATATTATGATAAACTTTAAAAAAAAAATCAATTCAAATTTGTAAATTAAATACAAGAAAACAAAAATATTAACTTTTATATTTAACAAACAAATAGAAAATGTATTTCCTATACAATTTTAGAACAGTACTGAAATTGTTAGTCCACAGGGGCTTTGCCTAAAGGACTACTGTTTCCGTTTTGCAATTTTGCATTGGTTCACTATAAATGTCTGTTTCACTTTTCAAACTGTTGCCAACAAATGTCAGCGTCCTGCATTACATTTGAAGAAATTAAATAATGAAAAATCTGCATAAATGTATGCATATTTCTCGCACTGTGATAAAACAATGGTATATAGAGCCATCGAATTTTGAATGACTTAAACCTCCTGCCAATATGGGCAAATGGAAACCCAAATTTGAAATTTGGAATTTGTTTTATTATTGATTTCATATTTTGTAAAACTTTAACAAATTTTTTATTAACAAACTCGAGGATTTCAAAGCGAGCAATGGCAACATTGTACAGAAAAAACATTTTTATCTCCAGCACGCAAGTCTCTGCATCAGAAATTCTAAAGATATGCTCATTTTAAAACTATTTTGTGATATTGCTGTTGAACTGAATTTTATGGTTTAAGTGCGAAGAAGATATTTAAGAAGATATTTAAGAAATAAATGCAACACACAAAAAGGCTCCTTTGGACGTAATTTAAAATCTGAAACCTTTTTTTTTTTTTTTTTTTTTTTAAGATAACTAAGAGTTGAAGATAATTGAGACTGTAATGTGATCTAACATTTATACATTTAACATTAAAAAATATTTATGGAGAAGGGGGCTCGAATGACATAATAGTTTGTCCATATAAAGATAAAAGCTTGGCCAGCATTTAGATTTATGCACATCTTGCATACACATAATTTTTCTCAAAATTTCAAATTTCAGAGATAATATTTTATTATATAAAAATATTTAAAATGGATAATGATGGCATGTTATAAAAACAAAACATAATATCCCATTCTTTATATTAGTAGCATTTAGATCATAAAGGGTTCTAAAAGAGGACAAATAAGCTGCTAAATGAATTGACAGCAACTTTCCTGAATAACATTCTAAGTATGTTCAATACGTAATGTTGAGATAACTGCGATCTAGCTGACCAGTTCATTTTCTGAATGTCCTCATTCTGCAGAAAGTCATCAACAGATACAGTCCATTGAAGTTAAACAATGACACCCCTCGCCAACAAAAATGAAATGTCAACAGTTTTCTTAAAAACTTTCATAAAGTTTTATAGTCTCTCTCCTGCAGTATTAACAATTCACTTTTGAATAGAAGCAGCCTTTTTGTATAATTCTGCTTCAAATCAGTAAACTAGCTCTTTAAGGAGACTGATTTCTGAACATGCAAAGAGTCTTTAGAGAAAAAGTCTTTAGTTCTTTTTCTGACAGATGAAATTATGACAAAAATTAATTTGTAAGCTGATTTACCCATTAAAAGGATTTGCAGTTAAGGTAAAATAACATGCTGAAAAATATTAATTTAGAATGTCAAACAACACAAAACAGTGTTATATTTGTAAATTTTTACAGAACTAGTTTAATGGATATTTACTATTTAAGTTTATCTATTTGCTATTTAAATTTGGATGCCAGCTTACCAAATATAATGGTTCAACAATAACAACAAAAAAAAAAGGAATAAGAAGCCATTTCTAATAAAAATTTAATGAAGTTTTGTGCTAAAGATTTTTAAAATGTCAATCAAAGAAAAATGAAATTACTATTTAAGTTGTTAAATAACATTAACAGACCTTAAATGTTAAGTTCTACTATATTGTAATTATGATATACATCACATCTGTCTTTGAAAATATGGATTGATACAATAATAATATTCACTACCCTTTATTTTCAAAATGACTAAAATCTCATAATTTGTTAGAAACTTCTGTTTTTTCAACTTCTCTACATATTCTCAATGTGTAGTTTTTCCTTCACTCGTTTCAAATTACTTATACACTCGTTATTTTACATTTTATTTACTTATCATTATAATATTCAACACTTTACTATTAGGAAAAATAATAAAAGCCCTTTTTCATTATATTTTCAAATACATGGAAACTTTATTCACAGAAACAAAATCTGAACAATATAGAATGATACATAAAAATACATTTTCACAGATAAAAAAAATTCTTTTTAATGGCAATGCAACAAAACAATGAAAACATACAGAATGAAGTATCATTAAAGAAAAATTATCACATCACATTTGAACAGATACCGATATAAATTTTTGTAAAATGATCTTAATGTTTCATATATACTGTCTTTTGATAATACAACTACTGGTGTAATGTAATATTTATGTAAAAACTAGAAAAGGCTTGCTTTCTGTGTGCTAATGCTCATCTAGAAAAATGTTTTATGTCTTCCTGTAACCTTGGTAGACTCATCTTACCAAGGAAAAAAAAAAAAAAAAAAACCTCTATTAAAAATTTACATATTCAAGCAAATATAAGCAACTGTTGAGTGTTTCATGAACTTGTTGAAATATTATGCTTTGAAAAAATTCACAAAATATTACATCCATTACATTATAAATTCCTTTATATTAGGCTTATTTATAAAGGAGTCATTTGTCCATTTTGTGAGGAAAAGCAATCTTCATTTCTCTTATTTCATTTGTGCAGCCCTGAAAAAGGCCCTTTTTTAAAATAAGACTGCCTCAGGATAAGGTCACCTATATCACACTAGGAAACTGATCACATTTAAAATTTTACTGAAGCGATCATTTTACTTTTTTTCAGATACTCTTAATTTCATCTTATGGAATTCAGAATATGTTTTCTCAACACATAACACTTATTTTGCAGCATATTGCGCAAGATGTTTTCTTGACCAAAATTGTTATTACTGCTTTGCTTGATAAATTATTTCTTTTTCGCAGCTATTAGCGCAAAAAAGTGTCATTAAGTTCTGATATAATCAGTTTTTCAGGTTTTTGAGCTTTAGCTTATAAGTTGCCGGGAACTTTTAACAGTTCCACTTTCACGATAGGTTAGTCTTCCTCCCAAAAAAACACACTGTAAAGCAGGAAAACGTCTTTAACCTTTTGGAGCAGCAGCTCTTGGTAACTTTTAGGCGAGCTTTCTACAATTTTTATATATATATATATATATATTAAATTTCTTCATTTAATATATATATATTAAATGAAGATATATATATATATATATATATCTATATAATAAACAATATAAATAAAAAAGCTCTAAACTGAGAAATATTCCTGACCACGAAATAATTTTTTAAATGTCCAGTGAAAGCAACTTTATAAAAGTGAATGTGCCATTACAGCTTTAGTTAATGTACCTAATAAACTATACATAACTTAGCTGTAGTAATTAATTTAAGGTCTTGAATCTCCAAATAAAAAAATCTGATGTGTACACCACATGACTTCCTTGTACGGAATATTATACGCATTATTATACGCATTTTTTCTTGCATTTCATTTAAACTTATTGGATTGAATTTAATCTACTTCGCCGACAGCGCATAAACCACAATAGAATAAATGCATTCTTTAAAATTCACCCTATTTGTTATTCACCCATAGAGACAATCTGGCGCTAGGTTCACTTAACAGTATTATATTTTGTTCATATTATAACTCATAATGCACAAAATTTATATCATTTAAAGAATTATCTAATCGTTGCCACATGTTCTATTCAAATACTATAATAAAGCTATGACAATGTATAAAAGAAATTAAGCAAACGAAACAAAAAAGAAACAATTTTTCACAGACGATTAAGTATTTCTCATTTAATTAATTCAGTTCTCACTTCGCGACAAGGCAAACATACATAAAAACTCAAAATATCTGTATTAAAAATTACGAAGTAAATCTTAAACACCTATTTCCTCAAAAAAATTCCAGACAGGATTAAGCATGATTTAATTCGCAATAATAAATGAAGGCGTTATCTCTGTTGTTACGAAGCTACGTTTCTCTAGATTGGCAACAAATCCACTATCCTGCAGTTTCAAATGTAAACAAGCAATGGCCGCCATCAAAAAAATTATTAGGCTTAGCGGCACATAAACAACTTTAAAATTGTTGATAATTCTAAAAATATTGCCTACAGATTTATTAAAGGCATAAAAACCTTAACCGGAAGATAAGAACAACATAATTCAATCATTTTTAAAGCAAAAAAAAAAAAAAAATGTAGAATTTACAAACATATAAGAGTAAAGAAACTGAGATCACCGAGCTGGGTAATAGAGTGGATATATATATAAATATATTTATATACGTTTGGTGCGGCCGATTGCAACCAAAATACGAGGTGCACATCTACATGTTATAGCAGTCCTATATACAAAATTTCAACGTTCTGAGGCTACTCGTTTTTGACTTATGCGAGATACGTACGTACATACGTTCGTACAGACGCCACAAAAAATTCTCTTCAGAATTAATTTTAAAGCAGTTTTATAATTTTTTGAAGGAAAAGAGTATTTTATTCTGTCCTTACGTACAGATATCATGCAAAAACATCATTAAATTGCATTCTAAAGCGGCCAAATGGACATTTTCGTTGAAATATGCTGCCTAAAACATTTCACGATTACAATACTTCCTTTTTACTTCGTACAAGGAAGTAAAAACAGTAACTACACAATGTAACTTCAGTTTTAATACTGTATCTCTTTTGTGAATTTTGATATATGTCAAAAAGCATTTTAACCCATCAAAAAAAAATATATGCATCACAATTTTATTTTCAATATTTTATCTCATTTTTGCAAATTTTGAAACATTTCAAAAGATATATAAGTTCTCTCTAACAAGTTCAAATACTGTCAAAATATACAGAGTTGTTTTATATTATTAAAAATAATTTAATTAAGAATGATTATTCTAATATTCTTGTGAGGTATTATAATGAATAAAAAAAAAAAAAAAAACAGTCCCTTAATATGACATTAAAAGTTGGTTACCTTCTTCCATTTTGATTTTAAATCAGACATTTTATTCCTGAGTTCATAACTAAAGGGAGAATCCTGTGCATTTTCTATAAGCTCTTTAGCAGTTCTCTCTATTTGTTCTACATCAGGCTCGAGCTTTTTAATATCATCTTGCAGTGCCTATAAAAATAAATATTATATTTAAGTTCTCAATATCTTCAATTAAATAGCGATCATTAAAAATAATAGTTATTAATTAATTAAATGAAAAAATTATATTAAAATAATTCAAAATAAATTTTGGCTAAAAAAATCTTTAAACATCTATGAATTATGAAATACATAAACATACATCACTAAATTTTCCCATGATAAGATTTTGTGATATAAACACTGATTCTCAAAATTAATTACTAATGTGTGCATCTATTAGAAAATAATGATGCCTTTGAGGATTATATACACAGTGAAAGTCAGCAAGTATATTTTACAGTGAAAGTCAGCAATTCATAACCTAAAGGATATAACAAATTTACCCTAATAATTGCTCTTATATATGTTGAATCATTAAGCTTTTCCTAAGGAACATCATTAATTCTTAAAGAAAATGCTTAGTATATTCTAAAAGCCAGCAATACATATATTAAAAGAATATTGTGTTACTTTCGTGAAAATATGAAATACAATAAAACAATCTCACTCGACAAATCAAAGGAAAATATCATATCTATATTGTTGTGTGCTCACAGGTTTGTAAAAGATTAAATACACACAGGTCCAATGATAAGTTGATAAATTTTATTTTATCAGAAGAAACATTTGAGAGTTCTGGAACATTCCACAGAAATATTCGCACAGGTATTCACAGTAATGGGGAATAAGTTAGTAAGTTACACTTCAGACTAATAAGAATGTTAAACATAATGCAAGCAAAGGACATCTAAAAGATGAACTTTTCAATGCTCCAAAGTTGCTCTGAACTAACAACTCACAACAACAACTGAGAGCAGATGCTCTCTCCAGCCTTTACACCAGGCCACTGAGATATTTTACTTTTACACCAGGCCACTGAGATATTTCTAGTACTTTCTGTTTCTCAAAATTACTGGAAGGCATTTGGATATGATTGAAACTAATATATAATGATCAATTACATTTATTCAATTACAATACCTGTTACGGTGATATGGGGCCTAGACCCAAATGCCACCAAATGGTTTTCTGACTTCTGGAGATTTATCGCTAAATTTGGCAAAAATTAGTCATCAAAACCATTGCCAACTTGGCAATATCTCCCAATTGAGCAAGACAGCTATTCAGCTATTTACAATGTTAAATAGACTTGCCCCTGTATTTTTATTTTTTCAGCAGGGCATCATTCCTCTAAATTTTCATGTTACATTATACAGAAAAATGAAACAATTTCACATATAATTTTACTAAAATTATCCATATATGTACAAAATTCTTAACAATATATATATAAAGTACAGAGATAATAATATACCACAACCAAAAACTGAGTTATTTCTCAGCACTTTTATCTTGAAAAAAGCAGAAGGCGAAAGGAAAGGAAAACTATTATATGGATAAGTGCTTGCTTATAGCTATGAAGGAAACATAATAATACTGTGTAAAAAAAACATATTTTCTGAAAAATTCAACACAAACTGGGCAATTTACAACTATTAACACTAAGTAATATATACAGTGAAATATTTTTTACATTTGATAAGACAACACAGAAATACTATGAATCTTTATATCATCTTCAATTAAAATATCATCTATTTTGCTAAAATATACCTTTTCATGGAACTTTCTGTGAAAATTTATAAATATTCTTCCTTCAAGGAAATGCTTCAATGAAGAAATTTTTAAACAAGCAAAGTTCATTCTGAATTTTGTTTAGCAAAAAGACGAAGCTGATTGAAAGCATGAAGACAAAGATTAAAATTAATCCAGAACAAAATCATGATTTTATTAACAGAATCTAAGGATCTTGGATTTTGAGGAAATTTTGAAAAGTCTTTATTATTGACATCATTTTACTCCCAGCAAAAACGAATTTTCAAGCTAACATTTATAAAGTAACATATAATCTTGCATTATTATGTCATTGATATTTATGTGAACATTTAAAAATGAAAGATTTAGAGCATGGTTGCAACTTTGATTTTAAATTATTTTAACAAAAACTACAGAATGTGCTTGTTTAGAGCTCACTAATATAAAATGGATAGTCTGAGTCCCAATATAAAATGAAAAACAAAATACTGTATTAATTTACTCCCATACATATTACTTGCATAATTTTCCTCTCAATTTTTGTATGAAAAAATCAGTAAATAAAGGACAGGAAAATACATGCAAGTAAATACATTTAAAAATTTCTATGACATATCTTAAATTACAAACATATCATGAAGGTAAAAATAAATGTCATTAATATGTTTCCAATCTTTGATATCTTATATATCAGCAAGGGTTAAATAATAACAAAATAAAATATTTTATTATTACTAAGCAATAAGTTGAATAATAACACCAAAAAGTAAATGAATTGAATTTCACTAATCAAACTTTTTTAGTTTAGTATTTTAACATAAGCACAACATGCATGAATTTTATCACGTTTTTGCTATTTATTTAGTTATTAAGTTAAAAGCATTTCATCCACCTTTAAGAATTGAAATTCAAAAGGATTAAAATTATTATTACTACTACTATCATATCCATGTGAATTTAGTGAATCAATCACTTTCTCACAGCATTTTAACATCAATTAAGCACTGTACTTTTTTAATGACAACAAAAGGATCATTTTTCATGGGACAGAAACAAGACTTGACTTTTACCTGCTCAAATATGTGTTCAATTTATAATTAAAATTTAATTTATCTACTTAAAATACATTTTATATACTTAAATTACACTGAGGTGTACTTAAAGTATCCTCACTAGAAAGGAATTAAGACACTCAAATTTTACAACTTTTTTAACCAACACTAGATATTAATGTTGGTTATCTTTCCATATTTTAATTTTTTTAACTAAAACTAGCTATTAATTTTAGTTATCTTTCCATATTTTGATTTTTAACAAGCAAAGAAAATAATTAAAGAAATAAACATAATCTTTTTTTCCTTTTGTCAGTTTCAATATATTTTAAATTATATTAAAAAACTCAATATAGTAATATGCAGCAAAACTACTTACATTACTCTGTTCTAATTGTGCTTCTAATATGCTTGTATCACCAACAGCTGCATCTTCAGCAACTAAAAACTTATCTACATCTTGAATCCAGCTGATGAGACCAGCAACTTCATTCTAAAATATTTAAATATACATTTTACATCCATTTTTGTCTAATTAATACAAATAAAATTAATATGTTAGCAAGAGAGTTAAAACATAAAACACTATTTTACACATAATTTTTCTATATAATTATTCACAGCTTTTCCACTTTCATTCTTTACATCTAAACATGCCTTAAAATTGTGTGATTTTAAATCTCTTCCTATAACTTAACTTTTTGCAATGTATTTAACCCCTACTAGTTACCCACTTGAAATTATTACCACTGCCAAATTTTTCTCTACATTTTAATATTAATCTAGGGAAAAGATGAAAAACATTTGTAGCAAATTTAGTATAGTGTAGGTGATTAAAATTTCAGAGCCAAAATCATTGAGAAAATTATTAACTACAGCAGCAAACATGATGGGGCATAGCCATGCAATTTATATATATATATATTATATATATAAATTTAAACCAAATTCAAATTCTTAACAAATACGTATAAAAGTAAAAAGCAAATTTAAATTCTAAAAAATAAAAAAAAATTTTTTTTTTTAATGTGCAAACATGTAAAAGGTTTAATTCTCGAACTAATCTACAATATCATTTAAATTCAGAAGCATAAGCAAACCAAGTGCAAAATCTATCCCTGAAAATAAATTTACTAATTTAATAAATTAAACAATTTTTTTTAAAAAAATGCATATGTGAATGACCGTTGAGTAGGCAGGAGACAGACTTATCAAGGGGAAGTTGCCTCCAAACATAACTCTCCAATCATTCAATTCGTATTTCGTCATTCATGCAGGCAAGGGTAAAGGTCAAAACCAAAAGTAATTCCAATAAAGTGGTACCCTTAGAAATTAACATTTAAGTATTAACATTTAAGAATTAAAGTTCAAAAAGGAAAATACTAATGAAGTCTTTTGAGAAACAAGCTAGTAAAGTCAAGAATTAAACTTTTTCTTAAAAAATTAAAAAAAATTTTTAAAAAATTAATTTTTTATAAAATAATATAATTTTTTATAAACAAGCTAGTAAAGTCAAGAATTAAACTTTTCTTAAAAAATTAAAATTTCTTTAAAAATTAATTTTTATAAAATAATAAAAATCTACAATTCAATGTATTTTAGAAACCCTTGTCTACAGAAACTTCGCCTACACAATATGCATATCAATAAAAGAAACTAAAAAAAGAACTAATACATAATCCATATAAACCAATAAGAAACAAAAAGAACTAATTCACAATTTTTAAAAAACAATATATATTTTAAAATATAATTTCATTTTTAGGAATACTTAGATACTACATAAAAAATTTTAAAAATACTTAAAGCAAGTAAATAGTAAGTTTTAATTCTAACTTACCTACTATATGAGTGTTGGGGTCTGCAAAAGTGTTGTGAAAGAGAAGTAAGTGTGTTCTTCAAATTATATAGATGGTGCTTATATAGGTAAAGTTGAGTGTCAAGCTGCTATCTTTGTTATAGTAAAAAATTTTTTGTAAACATTAATATTAAAAATTAAATTAAATTAAATTAAAAATCCTAAAGGTAGTAATATCAATTATTTAGGGAGTTAAGTAACTGAGCCAATCAAGAGTTGTAAATTTGCTTGAAGGAAATTAAAGTGAAGTGGTATGTGAAAAAAATGTAAACTGTTTGTAATTTGAAATGTGTGTTCTGTTGAAAAATTGTGAAAATTGTTAAAAAAATTAAGTGAAAGAGTTTTTGTGTGAAAATTGCAAAAAAATAAAGTAATTAAGAAAAACTGAAACATTTTAATATTAAAGTTTTAAAGTAAAATTTCCCAAAATTTTTTTGAAATGAAGTCTTTAAAAAACCTCTAAAATTTGCAGAAATTCCTTTAGGAAATTAAATAAAACTTAAATTTGATGAAAGAAAAATATTAAAAGTTTAATAATTGATTTCAATTTGATTTCAATTGGTATATCAAAACTTAACTAAATACTGGCTAAAGTATGGAAAATTAGAAGAAGATTAAAATTTTCACTCAATTTGGGCTATAATTGAGACTTTTGAAAAGAGTTGGCCCTTTATTAGTAAAAGGAAAGAATCCAGTATTGATTAAGTATACATATTTACAAAATATTTACAAATAAAAATTTACAATAATTTCTCTACTCTTTTATATCCTTCATTACCCTCCAGCTAAGGTTTAAGGTAATGTTATGATATCCAAAAGAGCCAAAAAATTATAAAGTCAAGGCCTGCCTTTTTAATATAGAAATTAATAAATTTTGGTGGTACTTGGTTTATCAACTTGTACATTAATTAGTTTTATAATTTCTTCTTTCTTTCTTCCTTTAAAAAATCGTCATTTTCAGTACATATATTTTTTATTCTGATAATTTGGCTATGAAACGTGTTTTCTATTACTTTTCTAGAGATATTAGAGTTCCAATTAATTAGTTTAATAGTAGGTAAATGGAAATGGCTTAGTTACTTAACTCTCTAAATAATTGATATATTACTACCTTTAGGATTTTTAATTTAATTTAATTTAATTTTTAATATTAATGTTTACAAAAAATTTTTTACTATAACAAAGATAGCAGCTTGACACTCAACTTTAACCTATATAAGCGCCATCTATATAATTTGAAGAACACACTTACTTCTCTTTCACAACACTTTTGCAGACCCCAACACTCATATAGTAGGTAAGTTAGAATTAAAACTTACTATTTACTTGCTTTAAGTATTTTTTTATTATTTTTTTTTTTTTTTTTTTTTTTTTTTTTTTTTTTTTTTTTTTTTTTTTTACTTTTTTTTTTTTTTTTTTTTTTTTTTTTTTTTTTTTTTTTTTTTTTTTTTTTTTTTTTTTTTTTTTTTTTTTTTTTTTTTTGTTTTTTTTTTTTTTTTTTTTGTTTTTTTTTATTTTTTTTTTTGTTTTTTTTTTTTTTATAGTATTTTCTAAAAATGAAATTATATTTTTAAATATATATTTGTTTTTAAAAATTGTGAATTAGTTCTTTTTGTTCTTATTGGTTTATATGGATTATGTATGGTTTCTTTTATAGTTTTCTTTTTATTGATATGCATATTCGTGTAGGGGAAGTTTCTGTAGACAAGGGTTTCTAAAATACATTGAATTCTAGATTTTTTATTATTTTGTAAAGAATTAATTTTTTAAAAAATTTTAATTTTTTAAGAAAAAGTTTAATTCCTGACTTTACTAGCTTGTTTCTCAAAAGACTTCATTAGTATTTTCCTTTTTGAACTTTAATTCTTAAATGTTAATACTTAAATGTTAATTTCTAAGGGTACCACTTTATTGGAATTACTTTTGGTTTTGACTTTTACCCTTGCCTGCATGAATGACGAAACACGAATTGAATGATTGGAGAGGTAGGTTTGGAGGCAACTTCCCCTTGATAAGTCTGTCTCCTGCCTACTCAACGATCATTCACATATGCATTTTTTAAAAAATTGTTTAATTTAATTTTAATTTATTAAATTAGTAGATTTATTTTCATGGATAGATTTTGCACTTGATTTGCTTATGCTTCTGAATTTAAATGATATTGTAGATTAGTTCAAGAATTAAATCTTTTACATGCTTGCACATTTTTTTTAAAATTTGCTTTTTTACTTTTATACGTATTTGAATTTGTTTAAATTTAAATTTCATTCCTTGCAGCAATGGCGCAAAGAATATTTAATTAAATATGTATTTAAATTTAATTTCTTCTTATGAAACAATTATATATTATATATTATATTATATATATACAGATATATAAAGAACTCAATCAAAAGCCAGCCTTTTTCTATGGAATCAGGAATAATTAAATATGTTTTCATTTTTATAATTTCTTAAAATAAGTCTTTCTACTCAATAAGGGAATTCTGATACTGTTCTGTTATTGGGACCAGATTCAGATATTGCCAAAAGCTGATGATCTGGCAAAGAGTTTGAAGCTGAAATACAATCACCAAAACATTTAAATTACAATATATGATTACAAAAATGATTCAGATACTTTTAACCTAAATATTAAGAGTATCTATATATAAGTATCTATATATTAAAAAAGGAATAAAAGTATACCATAAAGATCATATACCAATCATAAATTGAAAAATTATTTTTTTTTCAGTGTTTTTGGTGCCAGAAGAATTAATATAAAAAATACTCAGAACAAAATTTTACAAATGGGAAGGGAGGGATTAAGAAAGAAAATCATTACCAGAGAGAAATAAATTATCAAATAAAAATAATGTACCTGAAGCTGTTGAAGTTGTGAAATATATTTTTCTAATTTCTCTGTTTTAAGTTGAATTTCTTTACAAACTTCTGACCAAGTGGTTTCTAAATGTTTAAGTTGTTGCCTTAAATCATTAGCCCACAGAGCACCAGAATCAGATTCTAAAAGATTCTTTCCTGTAGTGATAACAAAATGCAGATCATGCTCTTCCTCTTCAACAGTAGATTGTATTTCCTACAATAAATAACTTAAAGTTCTAAAAGCAATAAATTGCAAAATAAATAAATAAAAAAATTTCTTCCTCAAATCAAGCACACTACATCTATTAAAAACTACTACAGGTTAGGTTAGGTTATTTAATTACAGCAAAGCTCGAGGGCTATTTGCCTAAGGGAAGGGATGCCTTCGTGGAGGACTTTCTAAGGGAAACTGGCTCGTATACACGTCACACATGGGAAAAACCATGAAAACACCCATGCCAGCCCGTTCGCGGGATTCGAACCTCGGACCGAACTACCAGTGTTCAGCGACTTTACCGTTCGGCCGCTGGTGGGCACTAAAAACTACTACAGAAATGTATTATAATACATATTACACTAGCAAACGGATCAACTCGCATAACTCCAAAAATGGCAAACCTATTGGTCAATGGTTAACTTCTGAAAAACACTTTAAAAGAGAAAAACAATTAGCTTCATTTTTAATGTTATTATAGAATTAATTATTATATTTAGAAGCCTAAAAAGACTTTTAAATTATTCAAATATAAAACACAAAAGGTTAATAAATATGTATCATCACCGTCACCAATGAAGGTAAATTCACAATCAACATGGCATCATGTAATTGCATATCGTGCAATTACATGATATACATCACATCAATAAAATTAATCTGTTGGCAGATATTTTTCTTCATTTTGTAAAATAAACTGTATTTTAAATGCTTTTCCCACCCTACTAATATGATTCAAGTTATTAACAAATGCTTTTCCATGAACATGATTATAGCACATAAAATTATGAATCTGAAATCTTATAAGATCGTTTTACATTCAGAATTCACAAGTTATAATAGTTCAATTGTAAAGCTAAAGATAATTACATATTTTAACATTTCGCCCAAAAGAAAATTTTTAATTTTATAAAACCTCTAAAAACTTGTTACATAAAGTTTTAGCTTTTTGCAAAATAATAACAAATGCAAAACTGCTTCAGATTTTTACATGTTACTGATCCACTTTTGGAGTAAAATTTTTTAAAAAATACGCTTACTGAATATATCATAAAATGGAAAGGAAGGGAACAGTATTAATTTTCTTTTTAGTCCAAAGGGATTTCAGTCCCGAAGGACTATTGCTTTCGTTTTGGCATTTTGCGTCGGACTCATAAACGTCCGTTCACTTTTCAAACTGTTGCCACAAAATGTTAGAGTCCTGCATTATATTTGAAGAAATTAAATAATGAAAAATCTGCATAAATGATTGTCTATTTCTCGCATTGTGATAAAACAATGGTACATAGAGCCATCGAATTTTGAATGACGAAATCCTACTCCGAATATGGGCATCTGAAATCCCAAATTTGGAATTTGTTTTATTATAGATTTTATATTTTGTAAAACTTTAACAAATTTTTGATTTACAAACTCAATGCTTTAAAAGCGAGAAATGGCAACGTTATATAGAAAAAAATACTTTTATCTCCAGCTCGTGAGACTGTGTATATCGGAAATTCTAAAGATATGCTTAATTTAACATTATTTTGCAATATTGCTCTTGAACTGAATTTTATGGTTTAAGTGCAAAGAACATGATATTTAATAAATAAAGGTAACACTCAAAACGTTAAAAAAACGCCCCTTTGGACGTAATTTAAAATCTGAGAAATTTCAGATTTTTTTTTTTTTTTTTTTTTTTTTTTTTTTTACTTTGTTTCATAGAAACGAAACAATTTACTAAAAAATTAGAGAATATGAATAACTATATTTCTCCTTCAATCTCTCTAAATACAAATAAAAGAAATACTTTTAAAACAGGAATTACTTTTTGATACGTACTTTATGCAGCTGATATTATGCTTTTGTGAAAGATAAAAAGACCCAAAGTATAAATAATTAGAACCGATTTATTAGCAATGAGAGGAATGAAATAAATTCTGAAAATTTGTAAACATTAGTGATACAGATAAAGAAAAAATGAATAGGCTAAATACCTTTAGTTTCTTTAGTTCTTCCTCCATATTTTCAATTTCAGACACAAGAATCTTTTCAGACAACAAAGCTTGATGCACATCAACCAACCATGCGTCAAGAGCCTTGGCAGCATTTATTAATTTCAATGGTGGGGTTTGAAGCATTTCATGATTTAAGCTGCGCTCCATTGATGCTATAAATTATTTTTACATAATAAGACTAGTTCTAAAAAATACAATGCTCTATCAATTAGAAATTACTAATGTATATTATTTTTCTAATTAGAAATCAAAATAATGTAAAATCTTAAGTTTTTTAATTACTTTATAAAGTATTTCTCACACCTTCTTGGCCTGCCTTTGTGGCGTAGTGTTCCAGCACACTTGGCATGTATTGAGAGGTCCGTGGTTCTAGTACCAGCAAGAGCATTGCTCATTATTCATGTCTTCTGCTTCTGAAATAACCTAATGTCTGTACAGTGGTGGCCGAACTAAACAAGGTGGTGGATGATGATTCTCCACCACCAGGATTTGGCGACTGGGTCCCCTAATCCCAGACACCCTTTAAAAAAGGGGAAGTATATAAGGTATTTCTCCTGCCCTCTTAGCATGCCTTCATGGTGTAATGGTTGGCACGCTCGGCGCGTATTCGAGAGGTCTGTGGTTCGAGTCCCAGCGAGGGCATTACACATTTATCACATCTCCTGCTTAAAAAAAAACCCTAATAATTCTACAGTGGCACCCTAACAGGGACAAAAGGTGGTGGATAATGATTCTCCAATAACAGAACTTGGGGATTGGGTCCTCTAAAACCCAGTCGCCCTTTAATAGAGGGAGTATATAAAGTATTTCTCCCGCCTTCTTTGCATGCCTTCCCGATGTAGTGGTCAGCACACTCAGCGCGTATTTGAGAGGTTCACCAGGGGGCGTTACTCATTGTTCACGTCTCTCAGCATTAAAAATCTGAATGTCTCTACAGTGGGGCCCCAACTAAAAAAGGTGGTGGATGATGATTCTCCACCACCAGGATTTGGGTTCCCTAATCCATAATCGCCCTTTATAAGGGGGAGTATGTAAGGTATTTCTCCCACCTTCTTAGCATGCCTTCATGATGTAGTGGTCAGCACACTTGCTGCGCATTGAGAGGTCCGTGGTTCGAGTCCCAGCAAGGGTACTGTACATTTTTTATGTCTACTGCTTCAAAAAAAAAAAAAAAAAAACCTAATGTCTCTATAACATTTTAAGTCCTAAAACATTTGTATAATTTCCTCATTGACCTGGTGACTCTGAATGACTTCTGTCCCATGAAATAAAAAAGGGCAAAATGTTTTTATTTTGAACTATTTAAGAAAGATTGTTATATAAAAATGGATAATATTTTTGTTAGCAAAATTTATGTTAATGAATTTTGATAGTAATTTATGTAAATGTGAGATCTGCATTGCACAGTTACATATAAGAATATTATTTTTTCGGATCTTTAATATTCTGTAATTAAATAATTGTCGCTTCTCACAGTAAACAGCACTAGTATACAGAAAGAATTCCCAAGTCTTTCTAACTGCATATTATTAACTTTTAAGAATAAAAAATACCTTACTTTTAAACTTAATTTTATAATTAAAAAAGTTAAATATAAAAATAGAAATTTAGTTAAATATAACAATTATGCCATAAATTAATTACAAGCTGAATAGTTGTTTGATAATTTTCTTTAATCTTCATTTATCATTACATACAATTTGCTTTAATATATACTTTTTATACGAGATATTAGTTTTTAAAAAGATTTAATTTTGCTTTAGAGAATTCTACACTGAAAATCATTTTGGAAAAGTCAATTGTACAGTACAGAAATGGTAATTTAAAGAATTTGTGATCAAATTTTATATAATACTGGGTTTTCTTCCATAAAAAAATTAGAATTTATTAAAATGAGGGAAAAGTAATCAAAATTCATATTTATTAGTTTGTGATACAAATGATAAATATATATTTGTTGAAGGTATTTTAGATAAATTATTTTCAATTTTTAAATTAAAAAAACTTTTAAAAAATAACTAAACTAGCTTCACCTTTGGATTTTCTTAAACTAATAATATTCATACATAAAATAAGAAGTGTATTTATACAAGAAATTATTAAAATGGTAAATTACACTTAAATAACATACATATATTGATAAACTTAATATTTTAAAAGTTTCTGCATACTTTTTTCTTTCATTTGATGATTGTACAAATACTTTAATTTCATACACGGTAATATCACATTTGCTTAAAAAATACAAATATTTAAAACTCATTATATAATATTTAAAACTTTTTATGATGTCCTTCAGTATATTAAAATCTATATTTTTACCTAACCTCCCAGACATATCTTCCCAGTCTTTGCAAAACTGATCAACCTCAACGGCAAAGGACATGAGGGCAGGAGATTTCTTTTTAGCTTCATTCGTTTCTCTCTTCAACCTTGAAATTTTTTCTTCCTGGGCTTGCAAAGACTTAAGGCGAAGCTTAAGAAAAAGAAGAAAATAAATTTAAAAACTGAAAAAACAGGTAAAATACATATAGGACAAAAAATAAAGCAAATTTGCAATATGCAATTAAAAACAAGTTTTCGGATACATATTTTTTAATAAATTAGAAAATAACACCAAACTTAAGAACAGTTTAAAAATCACAGTGATACTTTCTGTCATCTATAATTAATCAAAGAAGCAACATTTCAAATATTTTGTTAGTATTAATCTGAACCTAAGCAAGGTCCACAAGGGCCGAGTGGTGAAATTACTGAACACTGATAGTTTGAACTGGATCTCAATCCCAACCAACAGACTGGCAGGAATCTTTATGGTATTCTCTTCGAGTAAAATAGATACAAACCAGCTCCTTATGGAAAGTCCTCCATGAAGGCACACCTCCTCTTTGTTTAGATATTCCTCCTATGCTGTACCATAATGTAAATAATTCAATCCAATCCGAAACTAGAATCAGAGCAAATATGGAAATACACAACAATCTTCTGAAATGTAAAATTGTCAGCTATCTTTCAAAAGAAATTTTTGAACTTCTGATACAAGGCTGGTTCCGAAACTACTTAAGCCTGTGTTTACCCTAAAAATATTTACAGATTATCTTAACAATAAATTCCTATCATTATCAGAAGATGCTTTTTCATATATAAATTTAATATGCCGGAAACAAAAGCAGCATTTAACTTTTGCTCAAAATTTAAAAAGTTTCAAAACAACTAATTCACTAGTGATGAAATGGGTAATTAAAGGCATCTAATACTAGTTATTTACTCCAAGTTATATTCCAGATGTTGAACAATACTGCATGAGAATTTGATAGTTTTATTCACCACAAGAAACCTACATTCTTAGCTCCAGCATCCTAAGCAATCAATACAGTTGGTGCTGCACATAAATTCAATATATTTACAACCCAAAGCAAAACATACTTAACTTTCATTTACGAGAACAATTTATGTGATACCCTTTAAAATCAGGAGCCTAGATGGCTGCCTATAGCACCCATGCTAATAGCCAGGCTTTGCTAACACAAATACATGTTAGTTTTTCTTTCAAGCCCAGCATGATGTTATTCCACCCCATACATTGATGACCCTAATGCATTTTACAATAGTAAAATGATTCAATCAAATCCAAAATAACCATCCCCCTTAGCACCTTCAATGAGTGCCTCCGCAGAAATTTTTAAAGAATGGTTTCATGCACTAATTCTCAATGGCTCCATGTACTAGCAAATAAAATTATCTATTTGATCACTTTAAAATTTTGATTAAATTTAATGCACTAAACCAAAACCACTGCATTGTTTCAGAAGAACAATTAGCTTGAAGATAAAAGGAATACAATAAAAAGTAATTAGCTTTAAGGTAAAAGTAATTACAATAAATAGTAATTAGCTTGAAGATAAAAGCAATACAATAAACAGTAATTTGCTTGAAGATAAAAGCAATTATAATAATATAAAGGTAATCTGTATATGAAAGAGTTAACAAATATGCCAAGAGTGAGTATTCCTAATCACTCATTAACAATTCACTTGCTTTCGAAAAACTAAGTTTATTACATCTTCTTACAGAGAAATTATTTAATTGCTAGTTAACATAGCCTACATAGCATATAAATTATAAATAATTTCCCCAGCAGTATCATTTTTTAATAGAGTAAAATGTAATACTATTCAAATCAGTAACTTAAAAGGTTAAGCTCTTTTTTTTTTTTTTTACTACAACTGTAGAAGGAAAACTGGTTCGAGTAGATTTAAGGATGCTCCTTGGATCATCGCTAAGTTGTTGTTTCATTTATCACCAAGTTTCATTTATAGTAAGTAACCTGAGTAGTTGAATGTTATGGAAATCCTATTATGACACAATCGGCTGCATGATTGTGACGAATTTGTATGATGAGAAAAAGATTAAAATGTAGTATATTGAGATTATATATTTTTTGTTGGCTGCTGCTTTGACTTTTTAAGTGAATATAGATGAATTTGTACATGGACCAACAAGGGAGTGCGCAATGCCTAGTTTGTGCAATTCTCTGATTTTTTTTAAGTGAAAATATGTCGATATGTACATGGATACTAAGTTTGTGCAATTTTTTGACTTATTTTGGATTTGTGTAGCGGCGATTTTTAGAACAAGACAAAGAATTGCACAAACTCAAGTGTCCATGTACTGCCAAAAATTGCAAATTATCGCCAAGGGGCACCCGTAAATATATTTTTACTGGAAAATTTTTAAATGTATTTATCTGAAGAAAATTACCAAGTAAATGTTCAATATCTTACTTTACACTGCTCAGCTAATCTTCTGCTCTCATCAGGTTTTGCATCAAGAAGAGAACGCTCTGCAGATTCCATCCATCGGTAATGTGAATTAAGAATTAGTTCAAGGGCATCTTTCTCACACCTCAAACGGTCGGCATCCACTTGCAATTGGACGTTCCGCTTCTGATTTTCAACTGAAGATACAAGCATTTTCCAACGATGCTCCACTTCAGAGAGAATCTTCTTAATTTTTTGTGGATTCTGACCTTCTACAAAAGGAAAAGAAGGAAACTTTACAAATGAATTTTGAATTATATTCTTGCAGCTTTAATTCTCAGATGAAATTCATTATGTCAGATTTATATATGGGAAACAAGCAAACAATGTAATCATATAGATTATGTCCAAATAAAAATGCAAAATATATATTAAACACTCTTTAAAGAAATAAAACATTATCTCATAAAGATTTCACAGAAGATTTTTTTTAAAATGGAACTTTCATTTATTTGCTATATTTTTAATTTTACAACTTTTCTTAAATTGTTTTAATCATTTAAAAAGGGAAGGATAGACAATAACTATAATATTTTCTGATTAACCGCATTCCCACCAAAAAGTATTCATACGACAAAGTATGTCATCAAAATGTTTAAATGGAAACCTAGGTATGCAGCATGTCTGTTTTGACTGGTGCAAAACATGGAAATTGTGCAGAGTCAAGTTTGTGCAATTCTCTGATGTTTTTTATATTTTACGCAAAAAACATATCACTTTGCATATGGCAAGAACAACGGTATGAAAAATAAGGATTTTTTGAAAAAGGTAAGTTATTTTATTTCTGATGCTGCTTGCTTTTCTAATTTTATTGATGACTGTTCAATAAAATTAGAAAAGCAAGCAACATCAAAAATAAAATAATTTAAAAGTTAGCTAACTTATCAGTAGGGACTGTGAATAATCAGAAAGTACCATTATTTTGTTTGAAATATTCATCCCTTTGAAACAATTGCTCATATAGCAAAGTATGTTAAAATCTAATAGTTTTCAAAATAAAAATTTAGTGCTTCCCCTTTTTTTTCCCTCCTCTCTTCTCTTCTTCTCAGCTATATATGAATTGACAGACATTTTAAATTTTCTTAAATTTAACATTAATATAAATGATTTACACATCTGCTTATATAAACATAAAAAATAACTGACATTAATTCATCATATTATTTGTTTTAAGTTTTGAAATTAAAATGCATTTATATAAATGAAAATTTAATAAAAAATAATGAAATTTAAATCAATTTTGCAATCTGTATTTTCTAGAGTTTTATTTCTAAAAATTAATTATCACATGCAGTTTTTACAATAACAAACTATCACATGCTTGAAACTAACTTATCACATGCAGTTTTTACAGTAACAAACTCAAATTACTATCAAATTTTCTTAGAAGCCTTTTAAATTATGTTGTACAATTTATCACAAACCAAATTAGCTCTTACTATCTTATGATCAGGGGGAAAATAAAAACCTTACTTGATTCTAAATCTTTTATGAACTGTTGACCTTCATAAATGAACTTTTCTATTTTCCCTTTTTGGATTCTAAAATCAGCCTCTGTTTCCTACAATTATAAACGAACAGTGACACTATAAGGATGCACTTCAATAACTATAAAAATATTTATTTTGATTTGGTAACATAAATTAATATATAAATTAATGTAACAGGAACAAACTAAAAATTATATGCATTTACATAGAAAATTGCAATTTTTATTTCAAAAACAGTATGAAACAATTTCAGATTAAAAGTTGCTACTCGTTTGTATTTTGGTGCAGAAAGCAAAGAAAAAGTAACAACAGAATTTAATATTTGCGGAAAGATTAACATCATAAGATGCTCTTAATACAATTTTAATTGATGGATAGACATGTACTGAAAATAGGAATAGAAATTATCCTATAAAAATATATAAATAATAACAGTTATAAAAAAAGATAAAATTAAATATTTATCATTATTATATTTTAACATATCCATGTCTGAAAAAAGACTTTTAAAGTTCAGTATAGATTATCAGTAGGAATTATTAATTGACACAGCCAAGATGACTCAGTACTGTGAAACATTTTATAGGACATTAGATGAGTATGCATTAAGATTAACATGCGAATGTTCAACATCTTCTGTATATTTAAAACATGAAAATATATATAATGTGGTTCTGTAAAAATATTTAATGTTTTTAATTAGATATAACATGAATTAAATGCATTTTATTTAAATTAATCAGATTAAAAATTTAAAAATTAATATTCTTAAGAACTGCATCTATCACTTTTAAACAGTTAAATTTGCAAATTAATAACAGGCAGATTAAATATAAAAGAATATCTTATGTTTTTCCAAATGGCAACAAACTCGAATGAAGAGAGAAATAATGCAAAGTCATATTTTGAGACTAACAGCCTTTTTGGGCTTAAAAAAAAAAGATGCTAAATAATGAGCCGTTTTATGCCTTAAATATCTATGACTTTTTTATGTCCTTTCAATACAGTTCATTGTTTGCTTGCAAGTACTCAATTATTTTTAAGTTAACCATTTCACTTTTCTTTAGCCTTTCTTTTCATAGTAACAATTTGTATAGTTTCAAAATTTAACATATCAGTTTTACCTTAATAATATATTCAATTTCACTAATGCTATTCATAGAGCAACAAATGAGGATCAATTGTCTATTGTTAATCAATAGTATAGAATAAAGCATTAATTATAAGGTCTACTGGAAAGTTCTGTCCGATAACAATATTTCAAGTTTCAACATGATACGGCTGTCTCCTGTTTATCATAGCATTTATGTACATGTAGTCTTCTATATTAAAAAACTCTTCTAAATTCTGTCCGATAACGATATTTCAAGTTTCTACATGCATGCCCATGTTCATTTGAGATATATACGGCTGTCTCCTGTTTATCATAGCATTTACGTACATGTACTCTTCTAAATTAACTGAAACAAAAATGTCTCAAATCATTATTAAATATGGTGGGATGGTATAAACATGGTTGCAGAAAAAGCTCATTTTGTACCCTAAATTTTGCACGAATTTCAACAAGAAATACTATAGAAGAATGTTGGAATTTAATGAAAGTTTTTGGTGAAAATACAAACAAATGTCCAATGAACAAATGTCTGAACAAAATGTCCAGGAGATAATTTGGAAACTTTGAAGCAGGGGATTTCAACCTAAATGATGAGCCAACTTCCGGCCTGCCATCTTTAATCGATGACAATATTGTCAAGACCATGATACAGCAAGATCATTTTCTGACGTCGGAAATTGCAGAAAAGCTTAACTCAGCTCAACAAACCATTCTGGACCATATCTGTAAATTAAAATTAGTTTGTAAATATTCCAAATGGATCCACATGAGTTAACCAAGAAAAATTTGTATGATTGAGACTTCATATGCACATCTCTGCTTACTCAAAACAAAAAGCAAACCTTTTCATGGACCAAATAATAACTTGTTTTGAAAAATAGATTACCTATGAAAACATCATTAGGAAAAGAGCTAGGCTGAGGAAATCTGCCACATCCACTATTCTCCCCATACTTAACACTCTGATTATAACTTGTTTCTCTACTTGCAAATTTTTTGAAGGGAAAAAGTTCAAAACTGAAGAAGATGTCAGTCAAGCACTACCTGAGTTCTTTGGCTCTGCCGCCCAGATGGTATAGTGGTTAAGGGAGCCTACTGCAGTACCAGATTTGAATCTCGAAGAAGGCATGGTTGTAACTGTCCGTCCCTTCATAGAAGGCAATGGTGGAAGCCTACTATGATGTTGCCTGCACAAAAAAATGGCAACCACTTCCGGCCTTAGAAGTGGCAAATAGGCCTTAGAGTAGGCAAGTGCCTGTCATTGGGTTAAAAAAAATTTTTTTTGGCTCGAGGCACAAGATATTTTTCAAAAATGGTGCTTACAAATTATCACCATGCTAGGAAGATGCATAAGTAACAATAGAAATTATAGTATACAAAAACCATTATTAAAAGTATGAAGAATGTATTATTGCCTTTCACTTCCCAAACAGATATAATTTTCCGGTAGACCTCATACAGTATACTATATTATGCATTGTAAGATATAACAGAATGCAAAATGTTATTATTGACAGCACTGGATAAATATCAGTTCTGTTTTGTAAAAAATTATTCCTTTTTAGAACTACAAGTTTGCTTTATGTGATTATATTATTCTCCATTGGTAAATAAGTCATTCAATCTTTAACTCATTCAGATGAACAACAACAGGTAATACAAGTCATAAAAATGTATGCTAAACTGGTCGAAAAGAAACTGCAGAACACATTTGACTCACATATATATTCTAAATTTGGATGCCATTATCCAATTTTGTTTTTAGTCCAGCAATTTGCCCAAAACGGCTATTAATTTTGTTTTGGTATTATCTGTTGATTCACTATAAACAGAAAATCACTTTTCAAATTGTTGGCACCAAATATTATCGCCCTGTATTATATTTAAAGAAATTAAATAATGAAGAATCTGCATAAATGTATGCATGTTTCTTGCATTGTGATAAAACGATGGTACCTGGAATACTAAAATTTTCTGCACCCTTAATTGCATTTAATTGTAATCAGTCAAAAAAAAAACTTAAAATAACCAAAAAAATTACTCTTTACACCTTATGCAAGCCTAATAGGCACTGTAATATATCAAAATGTTTGTTAAAAAACATTTACTTGACTGCAATTATTACTGTAATCTAAAACTTAACTAATTAATCTTAAGCAGGTTAATTAACTTTTCCCCCCACCCCCAATCTTTTAATCACCCTTCAAAATTAGTATGGAACTGGTAAGAGCCTTGACCCTCCCTCCCCCAGCACATTATTAGACCACTTAGCCAGCCTAGCTCCTCCTCCGAGCCAATTGCTTTCTTGCTTTCCTGACTACTCTCTGCTCACAGACCCACAAACTTCTACAAACTTCCTAATAATTGCAATAGAAATCTTCAAATGTTATGCCTCTTTGACATCAACTTCATCTTCTTCCATATTAATTGCTTCAAACTTCATCTCTACCTGATATGCCTTCCCATGCTACTACTAATGTTCGAAAAAAGATTATGCGGATATATTGAGATAGTGGTCTTGACCCAGGAGCCCGAGTAGATAAACCAAGTTCAACGAGCCAGTACCCAGAGCCATCAAATTTTTGAATAGCGTACATCTCCACCTGAATATGGGCATCTGGAAGCCCAAATTTGGAATTTGTTTTATTATCTATTTCATGTTTTGTAAAGCACTTATGAGGTTTAGATTAAGAAACTCAATGAATTCAAAGTGAACAATGACAACACTGTATGGGGGATGGACAGATTTTTATCTCCAGTGCTTGAGACTGTGTATCGGAAATTCTAACAATTCACTCTTTTAAATATTTTGTGATATTGCTGTTGAATTGAATTTTATGGTTTAAGTCTGAAGAACATTATATTTAATAAATAAAGGTAACGCACAAAACGTGAAAAAACACTCCTTTGGGCGTAATATATAATGCGAAAGCTTTCAGATTTTTTTTTAATTATTATTTTTCTTTAAACCATAGTTTAATGTCATAAAATTCTTTTAGCATGCATAATAATATAAATGTAAATAAAATAGATTATTTAAAATGAAATAAGTATCACAATACATATAACTGGACTTATCTGATGTGATTCATACTAAAATAGACAGAATGAAAGCAGTTGGTTATGTAACTACGGAAAAAAAAAAAAAGATCCTGGGACTTCAGAAAATTTAACAATTGACTTATTATAAAAATTAGTTTCTTTTATATTAATTTTCATTTTTCTTTTACCTTCTCTTTGCACTACCATAACTTTACAACACAAAACTCCCTATAGCATGTTTTTTACAAAAAAGAACTAATAAACTAAGCAAATGTTTACCTCTAAAAGAAGTTGTTGATCGTCAAGAGATAACGTATCCCATGGTGAAACATCATTCCCAGAGCTTTCATAAGCTGCTAAGCCAACAGAGGATTCAATACGATCTAGCCATAAACTGATAATTTCAAAATTCTGATACCATTCCTTCATATGCCAGCTGTCTAAACGTCGCTTTTTTGCACCTCCTTGATCACTATCCTACAAATGAATATGAATGAATTATGATTATGAATAATTGATGATTATGAATAATTAAGCAAAAATTGTATTTAGTCATCTTTAAAACTTCTGATTTTAAAATATTTATGAATATTAAAATCACAGTTTTAACTGAGTTAAATGCTTTAAAATATCTAAGAACTGATAAAGCTTTTACATCTTAAATCTGGTAAAATGTCATTTGGAGCATTTTGAATTTGCAACCACAATTTTTAGATTCATGGTTGCAAATTCAAAATATGCCTGTATTAGCATATGCATATTAATTTATTTTATACAGGCATATTGCTTTTCACTAGAGGGAAAAAGAGCAATATAAATAGATTTAACTATATAAACTGATTATAATTATATAAAAAAATCAAAAAATAATGCACATATTAAAATATCAGTAAACAAAATAAATAGTCATTTTATAGTCTACTCAAATTTAAATATATATCTTAAGAAAAATGGATACAATATTGAAATCATTGAGGAAAAGAAACAAACCTCTTGGCTAGTGAGGGACTGAGAAGATTGTTCATAACTTGCCTCATTCTTGTTATTTGTCACAACATCTTCTTCCATACTTGATAACTGAATCAATAAATTATTTTTATGAGATTAAAACTTTTACATTAAAACAAATGTACTAAAAATAATACCATGAAGTCACTTATATAAGTTATTTATATATACTATTATGTGTGCATGGATTCATATGAGTGCACACAGAACCAATGACAGCTTGAGAAAACTTATTTTTCTGAAAGAAAAAACAGTTTACAATTCTGTCACTCTTCACAAAAGTATTCATACAGCTCTTATCAGTATGACAGAGCACAATCAGTACTTACCACTTCAAACTATTAAGAATGTTAAACAGAACATAATGCAAAGTGCATCTAAAGATAGAAGCTTACATGGAGATCTCTCAGTACTCATTACCAAAACCTGAGAACTGATGCTTGCTCTGGTCTCTCCATTTTCCCTTTAGCCATCAACAAATTTCATTACATTCAATTTCTTGAAATTGCTGAAAGGTTTACACAGTTACATAGGATCGGATATGGCTACAATTAGCTAGTGATACGATTATAGTTACATAGGGGTCGGAAACAAATGTCACCAAGTCTGGCGACAATTGGATATTTCTTGCCAAATCTGGTGACAAAAATTAGTTGCCGAAACCATCTCCAACTTGGCAAGATCACCATTTATTTACCTCAGTGTTAAATGGCCTTGCCTCTGTAATCTTATTTTCACTGCAGCACTCTACTCTCTTGAACCCTTTCGTGTTATATACAAAAATAGTTATATACAAAAATAGTTTTTTTCACCAAAATTATTTACATATATATATAATTTACAACAACAGAAATAAAAGCATGATATATAACCAAAAAAAGTCATTTTAAAATGAAAAACCAAAAAATACAAAATATTTTAAATACATTTTTCTTCTAATTAAAAAACAATAAAAACCAAAATTTAAAAGATAATTAAGAATAGCATTTGTTGATACTTTCTGCACTGTGGCTAAGGTTGTGCTTTTGGTTATTAACAATGATCTAGATTCATAGGTTGTCTGATAGCTAAAGGTGCTTGCAATCAGTATACAGTACAAAGTCCATAATCCGGACTCACCAGGACTTCGGCTATTCCGGATGCGGGGGTTTTCCGGATTATAGATCATCAATTTAAATTTGGCATACAGAAATTATACAATTAAAAACATGAAACTGATTTATGAAATAAAGAGCAATTATGATCTAAAGGGTAGCAAAATTTACAAAAAATATATTTATTTGTTTACTTTCGTAAACATTTCTTTCAATGTAAGTTGTTTATGTTGCTTCGTTTTTTGTGCTAATACTTTCTCTTTAATTTTCTCTTCTATAAACAGACATAATTTCTTGTTCAGTGACAAAGTTCCACTGATCAAATCCTGTAATTGCTGTGTCGAGAATACCAACTAACTTGTCAATTGAAATTTTTTTGTTTTCAATAACCTCTCTGTCACTTTATTCACTATCAAAAGCATGCATCTGTAAATGCTTCACTAGCTTCACGCGCATGCATAGTGGATGCGTGCATCAAACGCGCATGCGTATGTTTGTGGCTCTGAGGTCTGGATTATAGATCATTCTGGATAATGGACGTCCGGATTACGGACTTTGTACTGTATAACTCAAAGAGCATTACAGCTACAATTCCCATTTCTCAATAATTAAAAGAATCTTGCTGCCCTTTTATTTTCCATAATTTAATATCTTCTTCTGTAACTACTGCCAATAGTCATCCATGAACTATGCAGTTCAGATAAAGGGCTCCTGAGTTCAAACACAGAAGTGAATTTTGTGATTGTTAACAGCTTTGTAAGAGTACAGCATGCTTCTCTTATGATGTCAACGGGCTACTGGGAAGTGCTAGTGAAGAAGTAGAATATTGTGCATTAAGTGAAAACTGTGTTGTGACTTTTCTCACTTGTCTGACAGTAACAGAACAAGCCTATGAAATACATCATGGCAAGGACAGCAAGACTGCACCTGTCGTTGGCAAGAGCCTTGAACACCATACAGATGATAGTACAACAGTTCCACTTCCAATTTTGACGGACGGCACAAAGGAGGGACAGGTCCGAGGGTTTTCCAACCGTCTTTCCCCATCAACAACCTGTCGAGAGGACTTTCAGCTCGCTGCACATTTAGTGAGACCTCACGCCGGGCAGACAATATACATTTACAAACATCCACGTCTTCTCCGGGATTCGAATTCAGCCCTTTGGTATTTGCAGTCAGCACCACTACTATCCTGGTTGGGCAGGTCAGGTGAAAACTAGAAAACTGGATGGTGGAGATGTGAATTCTAACTGGATGAAGAGGATGTTGAATTTCAAGTGATTGCTGATGGGTTGAAGAATGTCATATGCAAGCAAGTGGAAGGGGTGTAATAAAAAATTAAGTAAATCAAGTGGTACGAATTTAACCTCTTCGTCATCCGTAATGCATCTAGCGTGTTCAAGGGAAACTTCTGCAGGGAGGCCATAACACGCATCAAGCGTTCTTCTACATTTTAAAACTTTTAAATGTTTAAAGCGCTTTCTAAATATTTACTTCTTTGAGTTTTTATTTTTGTTTGTTCTAATACCTCCTAGAGGACAGTACTAATCAGGCATTCTATTTCTAATTGAATTCCCCCCCCCAGGGTTTTATGAATATTTGCGCCATTTTACATAAGATACAAGACAGTGAGAGATCTTCAACGTCTACTCAGTAGAAAAAGAGAAAAAAATGAGGTTGTGAATCGGAAAGCCAAGAAGGATATATGTTTGATGAGTACAGTTCATAGTAACTCTATGATTGATGTTGAAACACGGAAAAGAACTTTTAAAAAACAATAATTGTAAAAGATTACAATAACAAAATGGCAGATCGCCTGGATCAGATGTTATTAAATTAGTCCTGCTGTTAGAAATAAGCAGAGATGTTATTACTTTCCCATTATGCATTTTTTCCTTATAAGTTTACTTAATGTTCATTTACATTCACCCACTATGAAAGTTATGTATGTACACAGAAAACAACACTACACGCTGCGAAAAACAAAGGGCTGCCGGGGAGAAATTTTCGCAGGAGAGGACGGCGAAAGGGTAAAGCAAGGATAAATTTTAAAATATAGCAGTAAGAAGTTAATGTATATTAAACAACTGCAATAGTTTCTAGTATTAAACAATTTATAATAAAATTTGACATACTCTTCTTCATAATTTTTTATTTTAAGATTTTAAATTAGACAATTTAATAAGATAAATATTTTCATACATAATACTTTGAATACACACATAAGTAACATTAATATTTTAAAATACATAGCACTGAAAGCAACATTACCTTTTTACTGAGACTTTCCATCAACAGCACAAGTGAATCCCACCTCTGTGTAAGTTTTTCAATCTTTTCGGTAATTTCGATAACACCCAGAGATCCTTTATCAAGTTTATCTTTAATTTTCTGAGCTCTCTCAGTAAGTTGATTAAACAATCGGTGATGAATATCCAGATCTTGCTCCACAGACTGAAAATACAGAAATATTTCAATATTAGCTCATTTCTGTTTGTTTTAGGAAGGAAAGATTAATATATCAGAATATGTAAAACTGGGTCTTATATGAAACGAAACTAATAATCAAAAGAAAAAATTATCTTATTTTAATTGCAAAATAGTGATGTAAGCATAAAAGAAAAAAGTGAAGTGAGCATATAAAGCAAGGGAAGTCATATTTAAAATGCATTAATAATCATTAAATACCAATCAGTAAACATTCTATGCAGTTGTAGAACTGCAGTTATTCAGAACATTTTTCAGAAACTAAATATGATTAAGAAGTCAATATTTGAAAATATCATTAGGTAATTAATTTTATTAAAATAATAACAATTCTACAAAATTTATATAAATTTGAGTTTGGAAAGATAAATGCTTAATTATATCTTTTACCTGGAGAAGCTTCACTTGTTCAAGCAATGAAAGACTGTCAGATCCTGATTTTTGACCAATTGTTGAAAGTTGTTGTTCCTTTCGATGAAGCCATTGGCTGAAACATAACTCTTCATCTTCCAGCTGTTGCCACTGGGGTACAATTGTTTGCAACAATTCACTTCGATCTTTCACTGTCTGGCAGATGTTAGACCATCTTTCTGCTATTGTAGATAACTGTTTGGCAAGAGTAGCATAATCTGCATAATAATCCATTTGTAAGTAAATGTTGTTAAATTTCAATTTTTTTTTTTTTTTTTTTAATAAGACCTTTTGACACATATAAAATGCTTCTTACCGCTCTGACTACCATTTTCATCAATAACAACTACTATTTCAGGAAGATAATTTACAGCTTCTTGTTTTCCCTTAACTTCGTCTTGCAGATTCTGTAATGTCATCACACCAAAATAAATCAATTTACTTTAATCAGTAATTCATGTTAACACAACTCAAAACAAAACAAAAATACACAAAAAAAATTCCTTTTTCTAATAGTTCTTATTCATTCATCCAAAAATTCTTAGTTATTCAACCTAAACATATAAAAAGTATAATAAATATTCTTTCCAAGTGCATTTACTAAATTTTTTCTTCTTGCCATAAATGAAAAAGAATTACTATAAAATCTTGAACTTGGACTTGGCATAAACAGAAAGAATCATTTTAAAATATACATATTAAAACATTCAATGAAAATTATTTTTTTCCATCACACACACAAAAAAAATCCATCAAATTTGCATATTTCAACAAATAAAATTGATAATTGCGTAATGCTACTTTCATAAAGTTCAAAAGAGTATAAAAATCAAATTCTAAAAAGGAAGCATCAGATTTAAAAAAAAAAAAAATAAATAAAAAAAAAAGCTTTAGCCTTTTCTGATACAGTAGAAACCAATTCTATTTTATTTCATATTCAATGATTACTTTCTCAAGAATTCTATGCACAATAGTCACAAAATGCACAAACCTTTTGCATTTCAACTTGTTTCTTTATAGTTTCTAAATTTGGTCCTAATGGTGGTAAATGGTTTAGTTTATTTTCCATTTCATCGAGCCATTTATTTAATTTTTCTAAGTGAGCTTTCTGCATATCTGTCAATTTTTTGTGCAACCTAAAGAAATTAAATTATTTCAATAATACAATGGATGAAGAAATAATTTAATAAAAAAGGAACTGAGTAACAGCACTTATTGCACATTTTTAACAAACAATTTACAAATAACAAAATGACACTTTCTAATTACCCATACCCCTACTGGAAAGTCATAAAAAAACTATACATAATGCAAAGCAGTTATGTTGCCAAAAAGTATTTATACGGTAACCCAGGTACTATATGCATAGCATGTTTGTTTTGGTCGATACCAAAGTTGTATAGATGTGGAGTTCATGCTGTTTTTTAAGGGAAAATATGTTTCATATCTGAAATAGTTTTTATATGTGAAAACAAATTGCTGCACACATAGAGAGAACAATACAGCAAAAACAGAGAAATTTTTTTAAATGGTAAATGCTTTATTACCAATGTTTCTTGCTTTTTAAAGCATTTTGATTAATTGCTCCTTTACGATGCTCTTATAGCAGGAGCGCCCAACCCTGGTGCCCACAGTCATAGGTGGGCACACGTTAAATGATCGGTGGGCACCCACTGTGCGATCACAAAAAAAAAAAAAAAGCATTTTAGTTTTCAATAAAATTCTATGTGAAAGTTTTCTCATTTGTAATGAATAGAAATTGCATCCAACACAGATGCCAGCACAAATCAAAATGCAACTGCTCTCTTTTTTTATGTGCATGTATTATTAACACTATCGGACTACAAATTCACCTTGAAAAAGTAAATGATGCCCACCATCAACAGATATTCTAAAATGCAATCTTAGGCACAAAAAGGTTGGAGTCTGCCTTAGAGCATCACCATTTTGAGAACAGCTACAGTATAAAGTCCGTAATCCGAACTTGTCGGGACTTCAGCAATTCCGGATTAACAGTTTTCACGGATTATAGATCATCAATTTAAATCTGGTAAGATAGCATGCAGAAATTATACAATTAAAAATATGAAACTGTAATTTATGAAATAAAGAGCAATTATGATCTAAAGGGTATCAAAATTTACAAAAAAAAAACTTAATACTTATTTGTTTACTTTATTAAACATTTCTTTCAATGTAAGCTGTTTAAGTTGCTTCGTTTTTTGTTCTAAACATGCATGCGTAAACATTAAACACGCATGCGTAACATTAAACGCACATGTGTAAAGCATACAAACAAAAAAAGTTTGTGGCTTTGAGGTCCGGATTATACATCATTCCAGATAATGAATGTCCAGATTACAGACTTTATACTGTATTACTTTTTGCAAACTAGCTTGGTGAAAAATCAGGGTTCATAACCACATTTTAGTTAAAAAAATAAGCACCTATAAGCACTTTTCAAGCACATTTTAAGAAAAAAAATAAGCACCTGTCTAATTACATCATAACAACTGCATAACCTTAAAAATTAGACTTGTAATTTAAAATATGAGAAATGAAGTACTTATTAAGAGAAAATAAGCATTACCTCAACCATGGAAAATAATTACTTTTTTTTTTTTTTTTTTTTTTTTTTTTTTTTTTAATTTTAAATAATAGTTCAATTTACAGAACTAGTTTACAATGAGAGAAAAAAATATGAAGAACTAAACTATATTACAAGATTTAATGATGAAATTTCAGTTCAAAATAGAGAAAGTTAATAATAAGGCATATTTATTGTATTCACTTGGAACCTAATAATAAATACAATTTATTTTTCCACTCATATTGATATTTAAATAATTTAAATCTAAATTCTGAACATTTTCTAAATTTTCATTGTATATCAGTTTTCTCTTAAGAGATATTGCAAGCAAAGTAATTTAAGTAAAAAAGAGGAACATTTCTGAAATCAGAAGATAGAAATTTGTTTCGTGCAGTCATATTTAACAGTAAAAGCTTAACTAACCCGCATACTTGGCGAATATTCGGACAGTCGAGCGTAACTTAAAGGAGCGGAGGGGGGGGGGTAGACCGTAGCCGCTCTTTAGAATTTTCCGCTAAATAAATGCTTTTGACATTTCAATATGTGCATCATATAAAAATAAACCAACGGAACTAAAAAATATTCTGCTTAGCAAGCACAGTAAAACTCTTTTAAGTGTTCATAAACAAATCTCGGACCGAACATCAACATTAACTATATCTGGAAAATATCGCAAACGTTATTGCACAATACGTGCGCCATAATTCTTCCCTACGTGATATTACGCAATTGGAATCAACAACTGCCGATATTGGGAGAATAAAGAACTAAATAACTGGGGTGTTTTTCATTCTAATTATCAACAGACGGCGTTAAATTTCTGGAATAGAATCATTCTTCGCTTGGGTTGGTAGACCGCAGAACGTTTAGTCCTATTCAATCCAGATTGCAAAGTGACCAAAAAAAAAAGGGGGGGTTCCGTTGCTTGTTTTGCAGCTAACTGTAACAATTTCAATATTCAAGATTTTGCAGAGAAAAAGGAGACCTCCCAATTTTCGTACCGTATAATATATTGGCCAAAAAAATTAAATTATTTTGACTATTCGATTACTTTCCCTTTATTTAAGCCATTCCGAATATTATTCCTTAGAAAGCTAATCTGTGTTAAAACACAACCATTTTTGGAAGTTTACTATACTTCAGCAGTTACTGCAACTATGTTATTATAAACATTCATACATATGCTCATAATATAAGCATAACGATCATAATAAACACAAATATGAACTGACCAAGCAGAACGAGAATGCACATTTTTAAGATCTTGATAGAATTTCAAACGTGTGTAGTATTTGGGTGGGAGGAAAAGAATGCCGAATGCAGTGGAATTTTCTACTGCTTTCGCAATTCTTTGACCAATAGAACGACGGCACCTGTCTGTACTCTTCGTGCACACCAAAGGTTATGTTAATGCAGAGAAAGGGGGAAAAGCTATTTCCGGGAGTATGACTCACCATCTGACATTCCATATTAGGAAGAAAATTTGTTTATTTAGTTTCGGCTTTGGTACGGGGAAAAATAACGCGTTCATTAAAAAAAAAAAAACCACTAAAAGCAAAAAATAAGCACTAAAAACAAAAAATACGGGCTTTAAAGAAAAAGTAAGCATCTATAAGGGCCTTTATATTTTATTTTCAAATATAAGGACTTATAAGCACTTATAAGGACCGCTACGAACCCTGAAAATTATTCACAATGAATTTGCAATTCTTTTAAAAGGGGTGGGGATAGTCAGAAAGTACCAATAAAATTAACATATTGCTTCATTAGTGCTTAGAAAAAATTTAAATATTTAAGGTTACATTTGAATAGAATGACTGCATAATATGTGCTTGAACAAATGCTACAAAAAATACTAAATAGACTAATACTGACTCAAATACTGTGAGTGTGAATTATAAACAAGAATAAAATTTATATACTCATTCTGTCTCTCTAATGCTTTTGATCTGAGATCTTCCCATCGGTTATATAACAGTTGCATTTGTACTTCAATTTCTTCATGCTCAGCAGCATTTACTTTTCCTTGTGTCAGGAGACGGTTGCCATTAAACAAAACATCCTCCACAGCTTGAGAATGATTTTTGAGTTCTAACATGAAAGACTGTGGAAGGAGAAAAAAAAAAAAAAGATGAATTAACTCCAAGCATTTAAAATGCATTAAATGCCAAAAATTAACTAAACTGAATATGCTTCAAAATTTTTATCAAAAGATGAGAGGAATAATACTATTTTTTTTTTTTCTTTGGTACTTTTCATTCACTGGAGTACCAGTTAATAGTGCACGAAAACATGGTATGTGTTAACCTATTTCTTTCACCTTAACAGTGGCAATACTATGATGTCACTATGAATAAGCATGAAGAATGTTTATCAGTTCAGTAATTTAATCTCTGATGCTTCCAATTGCTTATAATGTTTATTTATTTATTTATTTACTTTTAACGGATCAACACAGTTTTGCTATTACCAAACCATGAAGAGCTGTGATTAGTTTCTTTCTAAGACAATCATACTATTTACCCATAATGAAACTGTATGGGAAAATTACAAAATGAAATCTTATTATTTTACTGCCAAATTATATGCCAAAAAGAAAACTTTATGCAATAGTTGTGGTTTGAAGGTCTGGCCATTCTTTTTCTGATAGTTATTCGGTTTATTTAATACAATCAGGAATATTAATTAAGTCAGGAGCTCATATTGTGACACTGACTTCCAAAAGTTGAACATGCAGCAATAAAATAAGCAAAAATGGAAAAGTAAAGCTATGATTAACACCAAATTGCTCATGAAAGTAGCAAATATGTTTACACAGGAAAAAAAGCAAGCATTATGTACAAATATGAAAAACTATATTTGATTTTTGTCAATCATATGATGTCACATTTAGGTAATTAATAAATTGAAGTTTAGAGCTAAAAACAAACAAATAAATGTTACATTAATAATTCAAGTGACCATCCCAGACCTTCACACAAACTTGACAGTATTGCCTACACTTCCAACCAGATAATCAACCATCCTAGATGCCACCAATGATCATTTCTCCATTATGGAGGTTTCCAACTGTCTGATGCTGGCTGGAGGAGGTAAATATGCACAGGCAGTATGCCCGAGAGCATAACAAAGATTTTTTATGGGATTAAGGGCATGGGAATATGGCAATAACTCCATACAAAGAATGCAAGTACTTATTATAATGCTGACTCGATGGAAATGGGCATTATCTTTCATAAACAGGAAATCAGGAACAACTGTTGCAGCATAGAGTCTCACAATGGGGTGTAGGACTTCATCCTGAAACCTCGCAGCTGTCACATAACCATTTTTAAAAATGCAGCTACTTTTAATATCCCACTGAAATTCCAGCACATATCACTGATGCTGCTACCTTTGAATGCATACAGTTCTGGGCCTCCCGACTCTGTGTATATCCCCTTCTCCAGACACTTTCGTACTTTTCTTACGATTCCAGAGCAAATCTTGACTCATCTGTGAACAGGATATTGCACCAATCTAAGACAGTCCAATTGAGATGTTGATGACAGCACTTTATTCTTACTTCTAGAGCAGGAGGTTAATGGAACACAAACAATTATTGCTATTTTAATAATTGCTGATTTGATTGAAAAAGGCTAACTTTTCAGGAGGCAATTGCCCTTCTCGATAAAATCACCAACAATTATTAAGATCTGATAGTGTTTAGAACCTCATATCTATATGAACTGAAAGAAATTCAATCCAATACAATGAAAATAAATATTTCAATTTAATTAGTTCATATTAATTCATTTTCAATATATAACATATAATACCATACTAGGATATTTTTCTTCTATGTTTGAAAATATATTGAATAATATCAATTAACTTAATTAAATTGAAATATTTCTTTGGATTATATTGGACTGAATTTCTTTCAAATAGAAGAAAAGGATGAAACATGATCAGATCTTAATAATTGTTGGTGATTTTATTGAGAAGGCTAATGTCCCTTGAAAAGTCAGCTTTTTTGATGGAATCAACAATAATATATATTTCTTAAATAAAATTTTTCTACATTAAATGACACTAATTACTAAGGTCTATTTTTACAATAGTTTATATTCTACCTTTTCCAAGGGAATAATCTCTGTTAATAATTTATATATATGCAAAGTTAAAACTAAACAGGCAAAAGTGAGCAAATGCAAAAAACATGCATTCACTCAATTTATTCTACATTATTTTTTTATTTGTTTTTCTTTTGCCTGTTTAAGTTTTAATATAATAGATATTTAAAAATGATACCTTAGCAGCACTATGTGTAGGTATTGTTTTTAAATCCTTATTGCATATATTTTTTTTTTCCAATTTACGTGCATATATATGTGTATATTGTAAAACAATGCAATGATGGTACATGACATTAGAACATTTGGGTATTTCCTTACTTCATGTTCATTAAATTGTCTTCTCACACTATCAACACTATCACATTCTGGCTTTTCTTCCATTAGTTTTTCCTCAACACTTAAAAGCCAAGTTAAAACATCTTCTAATGCAGATTGGTAAGAAGTGATATCACTATTATAATTTAGATGACTAGACTCCACATTTTCCTATAATAATAATATATAAAACATGAATACACGATAACAATACATATAAATAACAATAATAAAAAAAAAATTCTATGGCAAGCAAATTCAAATCACTGTGTTTATTGAAATAATTCCATACTTAAAGAATTACTTATTTTACGTGTAAAAATTTAATGCATCACTATTTCACATATGGTCAACAATTCTAATCGCCATATAAAGTGAAGCTTATGGTATATAGATATCCTTTCCACAACAGCAAGAAAATCTTTATTACAATATAAAATTAATATTTATTTTATATTTAAACAAAATATTAGCACTTAAAAGCCGATGACACCATAATAAAAGAGCAATATTACATGAAGAAATAACCCTACTACTTATTCGCAGCCTAATTGTTAGAGCAAAACCTATTTTTAAAATATTGTTATTCATTAATGTCACCATTATTACTATTATTATTAACAGAAAAATGCCTTACATCTGATAGGTCAACAGAGTCCAATCTTCTAAGAGGTATGCTTTGATTGTGTAACGCTTGGAAAAAACACATTATATACATCATCACAGACTTTTTATCAGGGAGACTAGTATTCACATCTAAAGGATTTACAAGGAAAAAAAAAAAAAGAAAAGAAATTACACAATCTTCAAATTGTTATTGTATGTTTAAAAAAGAAAATAATTTCTTAAGTAAATGTTGATTTTAATAATACTTATGCATATAAACAGCACTCTAAAAGAAAGGCTGGATTTTAATAGGGTATCTAAACTAGAAAATTCAGTTACAACATTCATTTGGTAGTTACCATACCCAAAAAAAAAAAATGTATCATTTGCTTGAATTTTCTCTTTTATGTCAGGAATGATATCTTAAAACTTATGACCAAGCTGGTCTAATTAGAACCAATTCCTATAGCTATGCATATAATATTAATTTAGTTTCAACAGTCAAAACATCACTTTCAGCAACGTTAAGCCTTGTTCGGCTACACTGGTTCCATAGTTTTTATTCAGTACAATCTTGACTTTTAAAAGCAGAAAACATCTCTACATTCTTTTTTCTCCCTCAATGTTTTTAACTTCCTTCTGCTAAAGATAACATAAATTAAATATAAACTAAACAATGGCATAAATTCGCAAGTTTCATAAACTGCAATAAAAACCAGGCCATTTGCCAGGATTTAAATCCCAGTAAAGAGACCACTGTTCAGAATTTTACTCACTTGACCAGCTGCATGTTTCAAATTTGCAGTTACAGCTAAACTACATTTAAAGCTACTGGTCTGAATATTCCAAAGCTATCAATTTATTTCTCTCATTAAAATTAACATATAATTCAATCCAAAACCAGGATCTCTGAAATTCATACTATCTTGAATTAAAATGCAACTTCAAATTAACAATAATTTATTAATTGCACTTTCAAATTCTAAGAAAACAGAAATACTTATATTTAAACATTAAAAAAAATTTTTTTAAATTGTAAATTTTTCAAATAATTTATATAATTCCAAAACACAAAAATTTAAATTAATTACACATATCAGTTTACAAAAATGCAAACTTATATTTTCATTCCTATATTTAAAAATTAGTTGAATCAATTCAAAAATTACCCTCTGGATCTAGTAATTTATCAATCCCAAGGTTCTTATATGCAATTTGGAAAGCATGTTCTAGACGAGAATTCACATCTTTTTTTAATATGCTTTCATAATCAAACAAATGTGGCCTGCAAGTAAAGAAAATTATTTTTATACATACTATATATGTGTACATGGAAAATAACCTAACAGATCTATCACAATATTAAAAAAAAAAACAATAATTAGAAAAATTCTTCGTTACCTAAACCGATGGATAATGGCATTGAATGCCAAACCATCTGTCCAACTTGTTGTGAAATTATGCACATATACCCCAGAATAGCTGGAAAAAAAGTTTCAGTATTGATATAATTTGATATATTATGTACATGAATGCAGCAAATTTACACAAAGCAAACATTATATTTGATGGCATTAAATTTTGAGATTAAACATCTACTAGAAGTGAAAAATTTCTTTGTAACTCAGTAACATCTTTAAATTACTTTCAAATATTGTACAATGGTGAATTAGTAATGAAACTAAATTCTAAGCCAAATTTAATCAATACTTATAGATCTGAGAATCTTGTCCTGAGTAACTTGAATTTTTTTCCTCTCATTAGCAATTGTTAAAGGCCTATGTTAAAAAAAGCATATAGAAAAACAGGAAGAATCACTTTTTTCTTTTAATTTCGACTGCTTATTTTCATTTAGGTAAGGCATAAATACACTTATTGCTTTTACAAGTGATATTTTTATCCTGTATTTCAATATGGCTCCTAAATGTCAATTTGCTATTAAGAATTACTCCTAAATATTTGCCCTCTTTTTTGAAGTTGAGTATCATGGTTATTGATTTTGATTCAGTTTCAGCAACTGATATTATTTCAGCAATTGTGTTAAAAACTCTACTTAATTATTTCACATTTTTAGTGGCTTTAGCAAGAACTAAATGCCTACCAATCTGCACATAGGCACACGGTTTATATTTTTTTAACTATTAAAAAATTCTCAACTCTTTTAAAATATTATTTTGAAATGTTCAATAATGAATATGCTTACAATTTTCAATCTGCCCTCAGCAGAAAAGAAAAGTGGGAGTACAACCATGGGTGTAGGGGGGGAGAATTACATAGTTTCAAAGAGGAATGTGATCAGCTTATGCTTCAGCTTCTTTCTGGAGTGATGTTAAAAAAATAATCTAAATATAAAAAAATATACGAGTTTTCGAAAGTGGGATAACCTTCTATCAATTGTTAAGAAGCGCATGCGGGTAAAACAGGAGGGAGAACCACCGAGTCATATCCCGTAGAATTCAAGTTCCTGTATCATGGCAGCCATAATAACACACACACACACATTATTAACAGTAACATCAGAAAAAGACTATTAAAAATAAAATGTTTACATGTATTGTCTTTTAATATACTGTTTATAAAATTATATGAATAAAATAATATATAAGGTGTATAAGAAAGTCTCTTTAAAACGAAAATTTTTGCGAGTGGAGAGAGATACAGCTATGCAAGTGAGGTAATGGTATAGTAAAGCGACTACACCCAACATAATGCACACAACAGCAGTGACCCTGGTGGTGAAATTTCGAAGATAGTCATTGCAAATTGAAAAAAAAAAAAAAAAAAAAAGGAGATAGAGCAAAATTTCCAATTAAAAAGGTTTAAAGCATCAATTAATTGGTACGAAACAACATTTGGTTCACACAGATAAGATAAACTGTCGCCTGCATATCCAAAGATATCTGCAATGAACACACTCCATTTAGTGTAAATATATGAAAGGAACAGCCATAGGTATTAAGAAATATGCATTTTTATTGCAAAAAATATGTACAGTCAAAATCTTTAATCTGGACTCATCGGGACTTCGGTGATACCGGATTATAGATCATCAGTTTAAATCTGGTAAGATGGCATGCAGAAATTATAAAACTAAAAATATGAAACCGTAATTTATGAAATAAAGAACAATTATGATATAAAGGGTATCAAAATTTACAAAAAAAAAGCTTAATATTTATTTGTTTACTTTATTAAACATTTCTTTCAACGGGCACATGCGTAAAGCATAAATTACGCATAGTCGAAATTAGAAAATTGCAACCAGAAAACTATTTGATGTGTAATCGTGATATTTATAATGACGAGGAATTTTATTTAAATCATATCAAAGACGGAGTACATCGAGATGAAATACTACATTTAGTAAGGAATTATAAACCGAATAAAATAAAAACATCTGCCCTGAAGATAAGGATAGTGCTGACAGATCAACTTCCAGTTCATTGTGCACCGCGATGTGCGAGTGGAGAGAGATACAGCTATGCAAGTGAGGTAATGGTATAGTAAAGCGACTACACCCAACATAATGCACACAACAGCAGTGACCCTGGTGGTGAAATTTCGAAGATAGTCATTGCAAATTGAAAAAAAAAAAAAAAAAAAAAAAAAAAGGAGATAGAGCAAAATTTCCAATTAAAAAGGTTTAAAGCATCAATTAATTGGTACGAAACAACATTTGGTTCACACAGATAAGATAAACTGTCGCCTGCATATCCAAAGATATCTGCAATGAACACACTCCATTTAGTGTAAATATATGAAAGGAACAGCCATAGGTATTAAGAAATATGCATTTTTATTGCAAAAAATATGTACAGTCAAAATCTTTAATCTGGACTCATCGGGACTTCGGTGATACCGGATTATAGATCATCAGTTTAAATCTGGTAAGATGGCATGCAGAAATTATAAAACTAAAAATATGAAACTGTAAATTTATGAAATAAAGAACAATTTATGATATAAAGGGTATCAAAAATTTACAAAAAAAAAGCTTAATATTTATTTGTTTACTTTATTAAACATTTCTTTCAACGGGCACATGCGTAAAGCATAAATTACGCATAGTCGAAATTAGAAAATTGCAACCAGAAAACTATTTGATGTGTAATCGTGATATTTATAATGACGAGGAATTTTATTTAAATCATATCAAAGACGGAGTACATCGAGGGATGAAATACTACATTTAGTAAGGAATTATAAACCGAATAAAATAAAAACATCTGCCCTGATAAGGATAGTGCTGACAGATCAACTTCCAGTTCATTGTGCACCGCGATGTGCGAGTGGAGAGAGATACAGCTATGCAAGTGAGGTAATGGTATAGTAAAGCGACTACAACCCAACATAATGCACACAAACAGCAGTGACCCTGGTGGTGAAATTTCGAAGATAGTCATTGCAAATTGAAAAAAAAAAAAAAAAAAAAAAAAGGAGATAGAGCAAAATTTCCAATTAAAAAAGGTTTAAAGCATCAATTAATTGGTACGAACAACATTGGTTCACACAGATAAGATAAACTGTCGCCTGCATATCCAAAGATATCTGCAATGATCACACTCCATTTAGTGTAAATATATGAAAGGAACAGCCATAGGTATTAAGAAATATGCATTTTTATTGCAAAAATATGTACAGTCAAAATCTTTAATCTGGACTCATCGGGACTTCGGTGATACCGGATTATAGATCATCAGTTTAAATCTGGTAAGATGGCATGCAGAAATTATAAAACTAAAAATATGAAACCGTAATTTATGAAATAAAGAACAATTATGATATAAAGGGTATCAAAATTTACAAAAAAAAAAAAAAAAAGCTTAATATTTATTTGTTTACTTTATTAAACATTTCTTTCAACGGGCGCATGCGTAAAGCATAAATTACGCATAGTCGAAATTAGAAAATTGCAACCAGAAAACTATTTGATGTGTAATCGTGATATTTATAATGACGAGGAATTTTATTTAAATCATATCAAAGACGGAGTACATCGAGATGAAATACTACATTTAGTAAGGAATTATAAACCGAATAAAATAAAAACATCTGCCCTGAAGATAAGGATAGTGCTGACAGATCAACTTCCAGTTCATTGTGCACCGCGATGTCCCCCCCCCCCCCCCGCCGCAGAGCAGCCTGAAATTGATAAACAGATTTCGGAATGGTTAGAGAAACAAAGGATATGCCTTTATCCATTTTTTGCAGCAATTCCACTTTTTGTTTGATGCACATCAAAACATGCTTTCGCTTTGTAGATCCATTGGCAGCTCCAGAATCGGAAATTCTTTTTAAATAATCGAAAGTTCAAGCTTACTTTTATAAAATTGCTCTAACAGTCTGCCAAAAATAATAAGCCGGATCCAATTAGAAGATTAAAAAACAACGCAATCTGTAACATTAACTGGAATAGATAATTAGATAATTTTAGCTTAGCTTATACCATCCGTTATACATTAAACGCACATGCGTAAATGTATCACGTGCATGCTTCAACGCATTATGCATTGACGCATGCGTAAAAAGTTTGTAGCTTTGAGGTCCAGATTATAGATCATTCCGGATTATGGACGTAGGGATTAAAGACTTTTGACTGTACTTAAGTAAATATAGTTTGATAACATCAAACACAAAAACAAGGGAGGGAAATTCAAAAGCAAATTGTCACCCAGTGATAGAAAGTTAATATTATCTGTCATCGAGATTATAATGAGGTTTGAGATTAGGCTAAGTGAAAGCCAACACCTTTTTAATTAAATTTTAAATGCATTGGAAATGAAAGTTTTACAGACGTTACAGTACAGTACAACGTCACAATCTGCAATTGCACACTGCTACATTTCCGAAATGTGAATATGCAGAGTAGAATCATCACACATCAATCAATGGTATGAAAGAAAAAATTAATTTACCCTTTTGTTGCATCACGACACCATGCCAATAGTGTTTTTTCTAAATTTGTCTGTGGTAATTCTTTGGATGCACTTTTGAGAACACCATGCACCTATTTCAAGAAGGGAAAATTTCCACATACATCATTATAAAATAATAATTATAATAGCAATAATAATAAAAAAAAAGAAAATTTGTTTAATTAAGGTCTAAATCAAAATGAGAGCATTTTAATACTTTGATAACTTTTCCTTAAAGTACTAGAATACTTTAGACATAAACAAATTTATTACATAATTTTCAAATATAAAAAGGATAAAAAAATTGTTTGAAACCAAGATAATTCCTTTGCAGAAAAATACAAAAGCATTAGAAAATATATCAATAACTGTCAAATTTATTGAACATAATATCATTTTGTGAAGTCTTCTATATGAATGAGCATGATATATGTTAACATATTACCCCCAAACTTTTATTCCAAATTTTATTGTAGTATAACAGATATAGCATGTAAAGTTAATTTGATTAATTTTACTTCTTAAGTAGAACTGCACTTTGTCGGATGTAAAATGAAAGCTCTATTTCAACTACAGAATTGCTTCAATTCTCAAATCTATTTTTCTTCCCAAAATGTTTTTAAAAATTAAGTATGTATATTATAATCCAAAGCAAGCTTAAAATCACAGCTTTCTTCATATTTCTCATACTTTGCATATGACACCAGTTTGTTGTTACATGATTAATTGATTTTAAAAAGTGTGTTCTCAATGTCTCAAATACAAGCAATCTCAATGGATAAGATATTGATATATTCTGATAAATAAAAAAAGAATCAGATTTAAAAGAATCAGATTCTGAATGTGAATTACATTCTGTCAGATTAAAGTTTTATTTTATTTACTTATTTTTTTTTTTTTACAATTAAAGTAAGGAATTACATTTTTTGTTTCCTTTTTGGGGGGGGAGGGGGTACGTGTGTGTGTGTGTGAAAATTCTATAAATGAAACTACCTAATATAATATATATATTACATTGATATTTTAAATTACCAAAAAAAGTGTATTTGAGATTTTAATTTTGGACACTAGCTACCAGTTAGTGTAGTTACCAGTTACACTGCTGCACATGTATGCAACAAAATAAAAGGGCTCTGCACATGTATCCTGCAATTCTTTAAAGTAATCATATCATACACTGCATCATAATCTTAGTGAACTACATTCTTATAAAATGAAATATAAAAGAAATTCAATTTCAGTTTGCTAGTGATATACAGTACAAAGTCTGTAATCCGGACTCATCCAGACTTCAGCAATTCCGGATTAAGGTTTTTCCTGCATTATAGATGATCAATTTAAATCTGGTAAGATGGCATGCAGAAATGATACAATTAAAAATATGAAATAAAGAACAATTATGATCTAAAGGGTATCAAAATTTACAAAAAAAAGCTTAATATTTATTTGTTTACTTTATTAAACATTTCTTTCAATATAAGTTGTTTAAGATGCTTCCACAAAAAATTTCAAATTGTGTCATATATAGTGGACTTTCCAATGCCATACTTCTCGCATAACTTTGAGACGGATAGGCCTTTTTTATCCATTTTTTGCAGTAATTCCACTTTTTGTTTAATGGACATCGAAACATGCTTTCGCTTTGTAGATCCTTTGGCAGCTCCAGATTTGGAAAATCTTTTTGACGTAATTGAAAGTTCAAGCTTAATTTTGATAAAATTGTTCTAACAGTCTGCAAAAAATAATAAGCCGGATCCAATTAGAAGATTAAGGAACAGGGCAATCTGCAACATTAACTGAAATGCCTTAGATAATTTTAGCCTGGCTTATACCGTTCGTTACACATTAAACGCGCATGTGTAAATGCATTATGCGCATGTGTAAATGCATTATGCGCATGCACATAAAAATTGCAGATTTGAGGTCCGTATTATAGATCATTCTGGATTATGGACATCCGGATTACAGACTTTCTACTATATTTAGTTACTATTGACATGATTTTATTCCTTTCATCCCACAATAGTTTCAAAAACATTTAAAAAGAAATGCACTAAATATTCTGTTACATTTTCCAATTAACAGATCTAAACCACTGATTCAATAAATGATAATTCAAGATTTTCATACCTGCCAATGTAAAATAATACTCCATACTAATCCCAAAGTTAACTTGGTGTTACCATCCACAATATCATTTGTACTAATGTTAACAAGCTTTACCTAAAAAAAGTACAAAACAAATAATTTAATGACATTTATTTAAAAGTAGCACAGAAATTTATAACTGTGAAAACTAATTTAAAAAACTTACATTATTATCTTTCAAAACTTTCAAAGCAAGGCCTACATTATTAAGGTGATGAACTCTTAAGCGTCCTTTTTCTCGCCTCTATAAAAGCCAACAATTATAAAAAAAAAATAAAAATACATATCTCAGAAATTCAAAATCCTGCGATAAATTACAAAATAATACACATATAATAATTATACACTCATATATGTATTATTTTGAAATCAATATATGCGTATGCAATAGCATAATTTAAATTAATTAAATAAAATGTATTTTTAATTAATTTTCAAAATAGTACACATTTAATTGATTTAAATAGAAATATAATATATTTATTATATTATCATTTAAATTAAATTTAAAAAATAGAAATAAAAACAAGTTAGCCATCTCTCATTACTTTAATAATGATATAATTAGTTACTCATTGATGAACAACATGAAAAATTCTGAAAGATTTTTAACCATCTTTATCCTTTGACCCTTTGGATCTTTTCCACTTAGGTATGATGCCTTTATCTAGTCATAAGACTTTTTGTCACTTAATAAGATTTATCTTATAATTTAAAACACTTTACTTTCTTACTTTTTTAATGATGTAAATACCATCTTAATGAATGGAACTTTAGTAAAACAGAGGCTAAAATATGTAATTGTACAAATTTAATTAATAAATGCTGTTTAAATAGTTCACAATGAGCAGATTCAAAGAAACCTAGGAGGGTAAAATCTGTACTTATGTAAAATATTGGTACTTCTACATTCATATTACAACAGCACTAAACTAAAAAAAAAATCAGATTTTTAGAAAACAATTACTTTATAATAAAAATACAAAGATAATAAACATATATATGTAACTTTAAATAATAAATTATAGCCCACATTTATATTTCTTATGAAATAAATTCACATTTAGCATGCAGTGAAGGCTAATTGAAGCTGGCCATCACTACATCTGTCTTTTTCTAGAGGCCACTGTTAAGTTAGCAATATATATTTTTATTGTTTCAATTCCTGAATTTGTGTAGACTCTCTTCCTTCTAATTATCTTAGAATTTTTTTTCATACAATTTTTATTTGAAATACCATATATACCCGCGTATAAGTCGATATCGCGTATAAAGTACGCCTCACCTACTTCTACTAACAAATTCGCATAAATACAACCCCGCGTATAAGTGACCCCCCACTTCGCTAATCGATCGAGAAACTTTGAAAATTTTTAGTACTACATTTATTAAATCATTCATAAAAAACATGTCATATACGATAAAAAATCCTTGGTAAATAAACAAAATCTATTTGCATTTTCCCTTTTTAAAAGTCAAAAGAAATATCAAAACTGTCAGTTATTGCAGCGGCTATTTTTTTAAATTTAGACTGTACGCTGTTAACAAAGTATTTCATGAATGAACAATAACTATTATAAAGACTTATACATACGTAAAAACTATCTGCATTTCTCTTTTCTTGGCGTGTTGGCAAAATTTTTTATTGCTCGATATTGATTGGTTGTTCGGGGGCCGAAAATGTTTTGGTTTAATTGAAACTTGCTCTAGTTAAAGTATGTGATTAGTTCGTCACATAATTTAAGTCAAGAAATTACTTCAAGTAAGTGACTTGTTTGATAAGTCATCCAATTTGAATGTGGGAAGAAAACAACTGCATTATATAAAGAAATTTTTTAACTTCCGTATCTTTTAATTTTTTATGACCCGCGTATAAGTCGACCCCCCCACTTTGAAGTCTTTTTTTTTGTCTAAAATATCTCGACTTATACGCGGGTATATACGGTAAATGTTACAAAAATATTGAAATAACCACTTGATTATTACTCCAGAACGTAATTGTAATTAGCACAATATTTTGCACAGCCTCAAGACACAATTTAAACTGGCCCTCAGAGCAGAAGTCGGCTGTCATTTATATGTATACATTCATAAAAACTCCAAGATTCTGTAAAAACGAAATGCTAATTCTAGTAATAAAAATGAAATTATAACTAATTTTTCTCTTGAAAAAGAAATACTTCCCCTCATTCCCTGAAAATGTGAGCTAAATTTTGCTGAGGAATTAATTTTATTTATTAAATTATACAGAAGTGAGTGGCAATAATAGTATTTTGAAATGAATAGCAATATTTAACATCCTAGTTTTTTCTCTTGTTATGTAAAAAGTCTGTTTCTGCTTTCTGAAATATAATGTTGTTGGCACATAAATACTGAGTTGAACTAATAATGTTTTTGTGTGAAATCATATGTATTATTATATACAGTAAAAATATGCTTTTTCATACATACACATCCAAATTCTTCACAAATTTCACAGTCTTATAATCAAATAATAAGAACTTAATGTTAGGTAATTTACCATTAAATAAGATACAAAGTTACTTTTTTTTATAAAGATAATCCTCCAATGCAGATCCATGAGGAAATGTTGAAACTCTTGAAAGTAAATAAACTCTTTAAATTAAGCAAGTTTTTGCTATGCCATTTCTCAGCATTTAATTAACCTTCAACAGTAAATACATTACAAAAATTAATATTTTTTATATAAGAGAGATTTAAGATTAGATAAGATATTTAAGATTAGATAAACTTCATTCTTGCTACTATAAACAACAACCTAACATGGAAAAATAGGTGTTCCACTGTAACGATGCATTAGAATCCATTTATAAATAATACTACTAAATAAAGTTCATAACAACAGCTTTAAATTTTAGTTATTAATATAAGTGGAAAATCTGATTTTTTAAATAGTTATAATCACTTAAATAAAATATAACACTCACCAGTTCTATACCACACAAGACTTCTAAAAGGCTTAAGAGACGGGTCCCATCTCTTAAATCATAAAACAAATCTTTTACTAATGGATGATTTCCCTATTTGAATGGAAAAATTATTTCATTTAATGTAGACAAATCATATATACTTCGTTTTAAATCAAGCAGTTAAAAAGCATGAATTTTCTCTCACCTTTCCAAGCTGAGAATTGATCCATTTGGTAAAAGTTTTCTTTTGAACATCTTCTCGTTCATCTATCAAAATAATACTGAATATTAAAAATGAAACAAAAGAGTTATAAAATTTATAAAATTAACGACTTGTATAAGGAATGTTAAAAAAAACACAGGTCAAACTATCTTCCACATTTCCAAAACTCAATCAGAAAAATAAACAGACAAAATGGGTATTATTATTCTGAATCTTTTCGCATAGTAACCGAAAATATTTCATTTTATGTTCATACTTGTGCATTAACTTAAAATGATAATATCCTGCTGCACTGCATTTTACATGAAGAATCGCGATGACGCATGCTTTAAACATAGTAAACAAGAAAAATGTAAACAAAACGTTAAGTCACCTGAGCGGCAATTACTGACATTAAATTTTCTCATTGGATGTGATATAACACTGTACGAAAGATTATTTCCATTCAAAGCCCAGAATCAAATACAACTAAATTAGAATTATATACAAAAAAAAAAAAAAAAAAAAAAAAAACAAGAATATGATATGTTATCAATAATTTGCCACAGATAAGGATGTTTCGCACGAAGGGTGTGAGAATCGGTCTTCGGCTATGGCAGAATGCAGTTCATGATACAAGATTCAAGCATTTCGGTGTTTATTGTTCTCCAAGGTATTCATAACCCTTAATTATAACTTACCAAAGAATACTACATCCATTGTACACGTGGTTTTTAAAACCACACTCAAAACATACAACAGCTGGACGTAACATGTGCATAAAATGCCATGCTTAACTTGATTGTCGGAATCTTTAGGGTTGCTACATCTAAGTTGGTATTTGGCTATATTCGGCGCTCCTCAAAACACGCCAATAAATCGTCACAGACTATTAATTAAATATATAAATGCAATTTATTTTAACAGTAAACTTATAATTTTAATAAATTTTCAGAGGTTACTTATATGTTTAGTTTTAATCAATTTAAAAAATACCCATAATACTTGATTTAAAAAAAAAAATTTAGAACAGCCGAAATTACTCTGTCATTAAATGCTGTAACATTTAATATGCTTTAGACACATATAATTAATTTACATGTATCTGAGAGTATTAAATCAGCCAAAAGCGCATTCCGCTTAATACAAATTCGAAGAACGTTCCAACCATTAAAAAAAAAAAAAAAAATCCTAGCAAGTTAAGCAAAGGTGAAAGAACTTCTGAATCTACATTAGTCGGAACCTGAATGCTTTACTATGATACATAGACGGCCGCTGAATAAACAAACGATGCATTAAGAGAACCCGAATTAAATACTGGTTTTATAGATAACTTCAGATTAAAACAAATAAATTAGTTTCGATTGCATTACTGGTTTAGAATAAAATCCATAATATATGTATTTAATGTTATGTTATTTTATTATACAAAAAAAAAAAAAGTACACGATGATTAATGACTCGAAAGCTCGTGAATGGATTTGTGAGCTCAACTGATTGAATTCCAACTGCGTTATTGGTTAGAATAAAATTATAACTCAATAAGCAGGGAAACCTACGATGAGGAATGAGCAGGACCGGCGCTAGAATTTTGCTGCGACAGAAGTATGAAATTATAAACTTAGTGTCTTACATGTTTCAATTCTTGGGATATGTTCTCTTTGTTTAAGGTAAAAGTTTGATCTGAAATTTTCCTAAGGGGTTTTTTTTTTTTTTTGTTTTTTTTTTTTTTTAATTCACTTCGTTTTCAGTCTTTAAAAGTTACCTTATTAGAATTTGTTAAAAAAAATAATAATAATTAGAATTTACTTTCCTTTTTCCTTAGGAAAGGGCCAGAATTTTCGGGTCAATTATTATAATTAAAATACATTAAAATAGTTCACCGGTTAATTCTGGATACAGAAAAGCAATGATTTTTGTGGAAGAGGTTTCAAATTATTTCACTGTTCCTCCTCCTGACTAAGTGCCATTGAAGTTGACTGAACTCCTCTTCTATGTTCGTTTTTCTTTAAATTTCATTGATTTTTTTTAATTGGGATATTGCTTGTTTGAAGTGTTTTGTTCTTAACATTTAAATTCTTTTTTGCATTTATAGGATCATTTGAAATTTATTACTTATGAATTTCAATTTTTAGTCTTTCTGCAAAATTGGTTCTAAATTTCTTACTTTATATATATTAATTTATTATTAGGAAAGGTATTTATATGTCATCTCCAAGAGAAGAAATTTAATTAAAGCTATGAATTATTAAAAAAACTCTTAATAAGTACTTTTAACTAGCTTTCTAAGTCAGTATCCAAAGTTATCTAGGACTATTGTAGTAAAAATTATTTAAAATCTGTAAAGAAATATCCTTTGACTGTAAAAAATTCCATATTAAAATCAAATTCCAAACTACTGTAAAAGTAGCTATTGTTATTGATCGCAAATTACGAGTAATTGACTTGTCAAAGGGAACAAACCAATCTACTATAAATTAACAATAATAAAATTGAGTGATAGTGGTTCGTCTTTTTTTCAAATAAGGATCAAATTTTTAATTTTGTTAGAATTAGTTCATAAGTTAATTACAATACTCAATTATTAGAAAGATATTGGTCTACTTAAGACAAAAAAATTTTTATCATAAATAAAATCTAAAATAAAAATGAGTAAGAAATTCTTAATTTAAGATATGATATCTAAATACCTAAATTTAAGAGGTGATATATAAATACCTTTTCTAATAATAAATTATTGTTTATTAGTTAGCAGCTTTAGCACAAATTTTAGGCATTTTAGGGCAAGTTTTAGGGATACATATACCAAACCCCTTACCGGCTTAAAAGTCCTTACGCGGTCTTTATTTTCGCAATCGTTGGTCGCAGTCATACAATTCCAGTTAAAGAAGTGCTTTAAATGATGAAAATATTTATGTTTTGCCAATATTAAATTTTTAAAAAAAAATTATTTTGAACAAATAACTAAATCTAACTTTAATTGTGGTCACCGGTTCCTATACTTATATTTGGGAAAGTTTAATACTCCTTACTAAAAAATAAAAATACAAAAAGTTTGATTCTCGTACTACAAACATTGACCTGGACATTTAATTTCAAAATTTGCAATTTTTGATGTCCTTTTCAACTTCTCTTGAGGTATCAGTTAATTAACTTAGAATAATTCGATGAAAAGAAGCGTGAAGTGGAATTAAATGAAGTGAAGTAAAAAAATGTCTATAATTTAAATAGAACGTACGAGGAAGATAATTGGTGTCCACACCAGAATTGTGTTCACGATACTTCACGGTAATTAAACATCAGTTAGAGTAACACATTTGTATGCTTTAGACCTTTGAAATTGATTACATGTTTATTTATATGCTGATAATTTAAAATTTATTTCAAAATTATATGTTTGTGTTATTCGTTATAACAATACTTAGATTGGAATTAACATTATACCAAAGATGGAGAAGTATTGGAGTTGGGCCCCGGATGCTGAGGCGGAGGTTGGGGGTCCTCTGACTGTAAAAAACTCGGCTTCTATCTGACTATGTAAGCTTTCATAATAGTATGCTTTCATAATAGTATGCTTTCATAATAGATTTCCTAGTGCATTAACGTCGTTAGTGATGCTGACTGCCGTATCGACGGATCCGGTTTTGAATCCCGGAGAAGGCATGGATTTTTGTAAGTGTATAATACTTGTGCGGGAAGGGACACTCAAAATACACTACCAGCAAGTCCTATCGAGAAACTGATGATACAGGATGAGGAGTGAGAAACCCTTGTGTCGCCTTCGGAGTGTTCTCCCTCAAAATTGGGGAGTGAGAGAGGCAGAACTATATCTGTACGACCATATCTGTACTTGAAAAGAGCCCTGAAAAGAAGTCATATAACATACGGGAAATATCTGCGAAAAAGGTCTGTGGTACATATAACAACTCATTCCCCGGAGTTAGATAGTTTGGTTTATATAATTATGGCAAAACACTCGAGAGCAGTCTGCTTAACGAAAGGGATGCCTTCGTGGTAAGTCTTTTTAAGGTAAACTGGCTGGTATCCAAATTCACATGGAGAAAATAACGAAAACGTCCATGCTGCCAGCCCGTTCTCCCCGTTTCGAACTATTAATGTTTAGCGACTTTTACTGTTCGGCCGCTGGTGGGCCTCACCAGAGTTAGAACCCAGTTGAACTACTACTGTTCAGCGGTCTTACCTTGGCCACTTCGCAGGAAAAGCATCAGTATCATCTTAAAATTGTTGGTTTAAATTTGGGAAGAGTTCATTTAATTCAAAATCTCTTTTCGAACACTAAACCCAACTTTTATATATTATTCATTCAATCGTTTTTTTAAAAAATCTCCAGCAGTACTTAACATTTATTACATTTTAAATATTATCTATTATTAAATACTTCCAAGGCTAATTCAAGTAAATAACTTTATTGAATCTAGGTTTGATAATTTTCTTAAAGCACTAAATCAAATTTTAAGAATTTTTTCCGTACTCATTCATTTTTTTTTAAATCAAAGTTTTTTTAGAAGCTGTCCCCCCCTCTTCAGCTAAAAAAGCTTTCAGAAAAAAATTAATGTTACTAAAGATATGAAAAAAAGCTCTACCTCGATATATTTACACTTTTTTATGAAGTTTTTACGAGACATTAAATCTTCCAGACCAGTGGTTCTCAACCTTTTTTGCTTCATGCACACTTTCACCATTGCTAAACGATCATCTCCCTTCCACCCAAAAAACTCAAAAAATACGTATACATTTATTTAAATTTAGATTATTTTTATGCCTTTTATAAATTAAATAAGAAAATGATAATAAAAGCCAAAACTTGAAAAGAAGTCTTTTATATTCATAAAATAAAACCAAATACTAAACAGGTAAATAAAAGGTTCCGCGCATCCCACCCTGAAGCCATGAAATTCCCTCCTATGGGGAATTTTTCGCCCTATTGAGAAGACCCCTGTTCTAGACGAAGTAATCAAAATCAGCCCGATATATTATAAAAGCAAGTTAAGATGAGGGTAGGACCAGAACGTTTTCTATTTTTTTTCGGGGGGGGAGAGCACGTGTAGGGGTATTTTTTAGAGGTTTTTTGTTTTAATCTTAATTTAAGACATTTCTTAAAGACTTTTTCCCCACAGACTTGGCTACTGTTATTAAATTTAAAATATATATAAATTGGAAAAAAAAAGTATTTCCAACCCTTCTGATTTTTATCAAGTATTAATTGTTGTATACATTACACTGTTCTGTTACATTTACAACAAAGAAGTTTACAAATTAGGTTGTTTTGAACCGGGTTTTGAAATTAGGTTGTTTGAATCAACAAGAGATATTTTTTGAGGCATTGTGATTTAAAATTATTTGACCTAAAAATGCGTCAATGGACTTACTTATAGAGGAAAAAGTTATGTCGAAAGTAACAGCTTCTTTCTCTATGATTCTATTTAAAAGACGTTTATAAATTAACAAGAAATAGTCAAGTTGTTTTAGCAATTATTCTTAACTTAATCATTTCACGAAAGAACAACAAATGACATTCACATTTGTGGCGATCAATTGAAGAAGGCGATTAAAAAAGAAATTAGAAAAAAAAAAAGAAGAAAACCTGAAAGGCTTAATACATCCAAAGGGGCGTTTTTTTTAACATTTTGTGTAGTTTATTTATTAAATATCATGTTCTTCGCACTTAAACCATAAAATTCAGTTCAAGAGCAATATCGCAAAATAATTTTAAATTGAGCATATCTTTAAAATTTACAATACACAGTCTCACGCGTTGGAGATAAAAACGCATTTTTTGCACAACGTTGCCATTGCTCGCTTTGAAATCCTTGAGTTTGTTAATCAAAAATGCGTTAAAGTTTTACAAATTA